GATACAAAAATAAGAAGCAACCGTTAGAAACATATTTATATAAACCTCGAGGGCTGAAAATCGTCTCTTCAAGACTATATATATTGTGGATGGGTCTCTCATAAAAAATATGCGGAGAACTTTGAATTTTTAGACCAACCGGTTGTATGTCTAAAGATATCTATGAGATCGATTTTATGATGAGGCAGTGCGAAGTGGTTTTGTTTTTTGTACATAGAAAAGTAAAATTGTAGCCAGGCAAACATCCGTATAAAAGGCAATCAAATGACACGTTGTAGCTCATTAGGCTGGGAAGGTTTTACTTTTTGCTGAATCTAGCATCGAAGCTATCCACACATCTAAAGCATACAAATCAAGTATCTTCCAATCTAAAGTAAAGGCCCCAGAAAGCGTCGGGCTCACGATGCCAGCAAACAAATTTTGGACATTTATTTTGGAGACGACGGAGCGCCAAAAGTAGACATAACTTTACTAAAATATTTGGTATTTGATTCCCATTCCTATTAGGCCACGCATGCTAATAGCAAAACATTTTAAGGCGCAATAGGCTGCCTTTAGTTCTACGTAATTAATACGTTCTCCACCATTTGGGGTCGCTATGTAAAATAATTGATATCTGTCGTAATTTCCAGCAGAACGAAATTACAGCTGGACATATATCTTGGACAGGGATGATGGACATTGTAAGAAATTCAATGCAAAACAGATTAGGTTATAAAGCAAAGAACAAAAAACAAAGATGGATGACCGATGAAATTTTGTTGTTAATGGATGAACGTCGAAAACATAAAAACGAAACAGACGGCAGCACGTACAAAGATATTCAAAGACTTATACGATCAAAGATTAGAATAGCAAAAAACGAATGGCTCAAACAGGAATGCCTTGAGATAGAACAACTACAAAATCAGCACGACGATTTCAATCTGCACAAAAAGCTGAAGGAGACTGCTTGCATATATAAAAAAAAGAGACCAAATATAACAGTTGATAATAATAACCATATAGCCCTCGATACCAATGAGAAAATCAATGTTTGGGAAAAGTATATAGAAGAATTTTTTGACGATGAAAGACCCCCAGTTAGTATTGATAACACCCTAACTGGTCTATCGATTACTAAAGACGAGATTGAAAAAGCTATACGTAATTCAAAAAACAACAAAGCGGCTGGCCCAGACGAAATTCCTTCAGAGATGCTTAAACTACTCGATGAAACAGGCATCACAGGACTACATAAAATATTTAACACTATCTATGAGACAGGTCATTATCCCAAACAGTGGCTGTCCTCTACTTTTATCCCCCTGCCTAAGAAGACCAATACAAAAAAATGTGAAGATTACAGGCTTATTAGCCTGATGAGCCATACCTTAAAAATATTTCTTAAAATCATACATCAAAGAATATACAAGAAATGTGAGAGAGACATGAGCGACTCACAATTTGGGTTCAGGCAGGGGCTAGGTACAAGAGAGGCGATAGTCGCAACACAAGTACTTGTCCAGAACTGCTACGACCAGAGAAAGGATGTCTGTCTATGTTTCATAGATTATGAAAAAGCTTTTGATCGCGTAAAACACTACGAGTTAGTCCAACTTCTTAAAGGGCTTGATATAGACCAAAAAGACATCCGTTGCATAGAGAAGTTGTACTGGAACCAAACGGCACAAATAAAACTGGACAATACTATGTCGAACACCATACAGATTAGGAGGGGAGTGCGACAGGGATGTGTGCTGTCTCCACTCTTGTTCAATTTATATTCGGAGGCGATTTTCCAGGAGGCTTTAGAAGACGTGGAAATGGGAATCAAGGTTAATGGGGTTTGGATTAATAATATTCGTTATGCGGACGACACGGTCCTAATCGCTGACAATATACACGACCTACAACAACTGGTCAATAAGGTAGGAGAACAGAGCAAATCAATGGGCTTAAATATTAATACCAAAAAAACAAAATTCATGATCATATCCAGGAATCTAAACACGTTTCAAAACTCCACCATAACATTTAACGCTAGACCCATAGAAAGAGTGGACAAATTCAAGTACTTGGGTACCTGGCTTTTCGAAGACTGGACATCGGACAACGAAATAAAATACCGTATAGAACAGGCCCGACAAGCTTTCTTGAGGTTCAGAAGAGTGCTAACCTGCTCCGATTTTGACCTTGACCTAAGAATGAGATTCGTGAAATGCTACGTTTGGTCGGTGCTCCTTTACGGCATGGAGGGGTGGACACTGAAGACAACTACAATAAACAAATTAGAGGTCTTTGAGATGTGGCTACACCGCAGAACTCTCAAGATACCCTGGACGGCTAGATTGACCAACGATGAAATTCTAAGACGTGTTAACAAACCACGTGAACTTTTTGAATCAATTAAGAAGAAGAAAACGGCATATCTGGGGCATATCATGCGAAACAAAAAATATCAATTTTTACAACTGTTGATTGAAGGCAAGATCGAAGGCAGGAGGGGGATCGGAAGAAAAAAAATGTCGTGGCTTCGAAACATCAGACAGTGGACTGGCCTGCATGATGTACAGACGTTGATACATATCGCAAGAAACAGAGAAGCAATGGAAAATGTTATCGCAAACATCCATTAATGGATACGCATTGGAAGAAGAAGAAGATATTGAGGCTATTATAAACTACCACAAATCAAATGTATCCTATTAATTGTTTTTCTGTAATAATACTGAATTCCTTCCCGATGGAATTTATTTTTATTACAAGCTATTTTGGAAACACGGCCATTTTAAAGGCAAATTCGCGAATAATGTGTGCAAATAATGGATTTTAATTAATCGGACGAAAGTCCCTCTCTTGCTTTGCGACGCATAAAAATCAATAGTGATAAATTGAGATTTTCCTCTTGAGCATGAAGCGGTTTTTTACAAATGGCGTCCTTGGGTAAATGTAATGTAAATCGATCGAAATTGCCTTCGATTTCATAAATCAAACGTTAGGTAAAAATAATCCGCCATAGACGAATGGGAGTCGCATATATAATTTGAAAAGCGCGGTCTCTTGTGTCGGCAGGTCAAATCACTAAATCTAAGCCCGAAGCGATTGTACTTATTATCCATAATTTCTCAAATCAGACCGAGGTGAAAGGTGACAAGGTAAGGACGACTATAAACTAGCGAGATTTATGGGTTGATAACGTATACAATACTACATTAAGATTCGTGAAAAATTTCAAGATGACACAGATCCGTAAGTCACACGGACCGAACAGCTGTGCGCACCGCTTCGAAGGGCTAGGTCCCATCTGCATATACATCATATTTTTCCAGTATCACCAAGACAATACGTATTAATGAGGGGAAAGTGCCCGAAAGACTCTCTAACCGATTAGTCTCTCAATATCATGACGTAAAGTAAAGCAAACCAACCAATGAACAAATGGCAATTATATTAACAAAAATCTACCAAATCTTCGATTTTAGACTACTAATATTTTCGGATCATCAAACAGTTTGTAGAGTTGTTGTGCGCAAAAAAAATGTCTTAATGTTTCTTTTCCTATAGTAAGTCGATTTCATCAGAACACGCCGAACATTATTCTTCATTTAGAGTTAGTATACGAGGTGTGTTCAAAAGTAAGGTGACTTTTGTAAATGGACTTGCTACATACATTCAATCTTCGATATTTTTTTTGTTATGTTGGTATGGTCTGTTGATAGATATAAGAAAGTGGCCAGTTGCTTTTGAACGGGATTATCCAAGGGTGCTCATTAACATACAACGCAACAAGATTATTACCTAAAGTTTCGGAGTTTTAATTCAGGTAAAATTGTGGTCCGTAATAGAAAATAATTTTATACCTACCTGTGTTTAATATTCTTTGGGTTGGTATACTACTTAGTTTAAGTTTATTAATAACCATTCTTATTTCGTGTGTAATACAGCGTGTGTTGAATCGTGTGCGAATTATGCAAAATATTTGCGAGTCTAGTGTATCTCACGAGATGCTCCCGCCCAAATGTAGAAAACACTATTCTATTGACACTTTCTTATATGTATGAATAGACTTTACCAATCAATTAATGTATGGTGTAGTGTCATAGATAGGCATATTTTTTGTCTGATATTTATAGATCAAAAGTTAACTGGAGATCATTATTTGCAACTCTTAGATTGTTTTGTTTTATACGTTCCTTGGAAAAAAACTTGGTTATTAATATAATAATATCTCTAAAAACCAAAAAGTTACCTCGAATTAAAATGTTATCAAGATACATTGAACGGACAGTACTTTGGACGCATCGCTAGCGATTATTAGGACGAAGCTTCAAGAAAATTCAACATTGTCACGGTCACGGTCAAAGAGACTGATTGACGAGGTCATTACTAGGTCTCAATACCAAGCAGCACATAAATCAGACTCAAGGCAAACTAATGGCCACTCTCTATGTTAAAGAGTGTCCTAAAAGATCTGGAGAATTGCAACGAAATACAAAAGGAAACCCATTGGAAGAAGCGAAGCTACCTTCATCCAAGGCAACAACAATATCTTCAGTCATCCAAGCGTAGAAATCTCAGCGCTGTGGCAACCCCTATTTTCACGCGTCAGGAGCCTTGACTTGCCCGACCTGTCAACGGTGAGAGCCATGTCAATGGAAGTTCCAAACTCCAGCATTGACCTGAGACGAACCTATTGCGTGAACCTAGCCTCTTTTTAAACATTTTTTCAAAAATTTGAGGATCAAATTTTCAAAAATTATGCCACAGAATTTCACACAGGATCTCGAACACCATATTATACCGAGTGTTCCATTTCAAGTTGACATGACATATAATATGTAATCTTAACACAAAACTAAATAGCGTTTATCTACGAAAACTATTTGATTTGGAACCAGGAAGCACTACCAAATATTCTAACCTTTTCTCTTCAACTTGTGAAATTGATTAATGCTTATTTTTAACAAATCCCTTTGGAAAAATATACAATAAAGAGAACATTGGTGTCTTTCTTCCAGGATGATCACCAGGGTGCGATGGACGTTCATATTCCTGCTAGTGTACGTAACTATAGCATCCTTGCAACCAGTCGATGATTTCTCCGATATCATGGGGCCATTCTGCGTAAACATCGGTTGCTGCAACAACAGGATAGACTCGTGTTCCGAACCAATTAGAGGTAAGATGCTTCTGCTGCTATAGAGAGCCGGATTCACACCTTCCTCTCTACAGATCTACGATTACGATCGTAATAATAATACTATTTTCAATCGTCTGGATTCTTCCTGCGTCAGTTGTTGTAGAATCGAACTTGCTGAAGTTTCGCAGATAACTATAATAACTGAAGCTGACTCGCACTCTACTCTGTATCGTCTGTTCATAGATATAAGAAAGTGACCAATTGTTTTTGTATGGGATTATCCAAGGGTGGTCATTAACATACAATGCAACTAGATTATTACCTAAAGTTTCGGAATTTAAATTCAGGTAAAATTGTGGTCCGTAATAGAAAATAATTTTATACCTACCTGTGTTTAGTATTCTTTGGTTTGGTATACTACTTAGTCTAAGCTTATTAGTAATCATTCTTATTTCCTGTGTGAATTATGCAAAATATATGCGAGTCTAGTGTATCTCAGGACATACTCCCGCCCAAATGTAGAAAACACTATTGAGACCAAAGAAGTTATAAACAATGTTTATTTGACTCTCATTGAACGTGGTGCCAGCAAGCAAGCACCTTTAGAAGAAACGGCCACATGGACGAAAATTCCAACATCAACTGTATGGAAAATTGTGAATAATCCCATAATAGGGCGTAAAATTTACCAGTTATACGAAGAACAAAGCGTGCCTACATTAGATATCTTAATTAGGAGGCTTGAAAAAGGTGAAACTGGTGTTAAATATGGCAGAACTACCTTATGGAAGTGTATTCAACACATGGGTCTTAGATTTAAAAAAATTGACAAAAGGCAAGTTTTAATGGAACCTTGTAGAATTCGGAAATGGCGATTGGAAAATTTAGAAAAAATTAGGATTTGCAGAAAACAACAAAGGCCAATTATTTACTTGGATGAAACCTGGTTCGACATTTATGATACCCCGGAAAAGGGTTGGGTTGACTCAACTGATAAGTGTAAAACAAACGCGCCATCAAAAAGAAGTAAAAGAATAACTATTTTGCATGCTCGCTCTAAAGATGGTTGGATTCCAAATGGACTTTCTCGGTCTGCGAAAAATATTAAAGATTCTTCTCTGGATTACCATGAAGACAATACCGCTGATTTATTTGAAAGTTGGTTTAAAAACAGACTAGTTTCAAACATTCCTCCTAATAGCATCATTGTAATGGACAATGCAAGTTATCACAGTAGACAGTTGACTAAAACCCCTTCCTCAGCAACAATACAAAACTGCATGTATAATAACGATATTTATTTTCACGAAGATTATACCAAAAAGCAATTAATTGAAGTTCCACAAAGTTTGAACCTACAACAGAAATACGTCTGTGACAATTATGCAAAAAATCTAGGGCATACGGTTTAAAGGCTTCCACCTTACCACTGTATATTTAATTCCATTGAACATGCTTGGCACCAACTGAAATCTGCGATTCGTCGTAAGAATGTTTTTCTCCGTGTTAACTCCAATGTCCTCAAACTTATAGAAACCGAAATTTTTAACATCCCTCCACAATAATATAGATCAAATAATAATTAGAACAGGCCATGATAGCGATAGTGATACTGATATATTATGTGAATAATTTTAAGTAATTTAAGTAGGTAATAAAAATAATTTGTAATTTTATTTTAGATTTAAACATAAATACATACATAAATAAATAAATATTGTTTAGTATCTTTCCTAACAAAACCCCAAATAATTAAATTCTAAGCAAAGTACTGCAAAAAAAAATTGAAGTCTTGCGCCAAACAGTTTTTTATTTTATAAACAAGATGTGTCCGAAAAAAATAGCGCAAATTGAGTATAGAGCAGTCATAAAGTTTTTCACAAAATAAGGCTTAGCACCTAAAATTATTAAAGAAAGACTGGATGGTGTTTACGGCCAAAGTTCTCCTTCGTATTCTGTAGCGAAAGAATGGGCAAAACGTTTTCGAATGGGACAGGAGTCCCTTGAAGATGATTCAAGAACTGATCGACCAATGGAGGTCATAACGGAAGATACTGTTGTGATTGTGGAAGAGGCGGTATTGAGTGATCGACGTTTAAAGGTCAAGGAAATCTCAGAAATTACTAAGCTTTCTGATACAAGACAACGCGTTTGAATATAAAAGAAGTCTTTTTTTTTCGATTTCTTTCATTTTGGCAGTGACAATACCAAAAGCTTTCTCATAATAATATTTCCAGTGATACAAACTTGCGACCATAGAAATCGGCCATTTGTAAATTTTTGACTTTAGTTTATTTTTTTGTCTAGAAACTATTCATTTGACTCAAAAAATAAACATTCAATTTAATATGCTTTAGTATGAGTTTAAATTTGTGTAGAGTGCTGAGCTTTTATACACGTGTTAACTGAGCGTTAAACGTGTTCATACACTACTTATAGTGATAGTAACAAACTTGTTATAGACTTAAATTAATTGCCTATGCAACTGAAATTTTCGTTTTTAACGATTTGGATAGCTTTTAATTGTGTCAGTTTGGTGCCATACTACACCACAATCTAGTAAGAGATGTTATTAGGGCAATAAGTGTTGAGTTGCTATTTATCAATAACCCATTTGTTTTTAGTAATAAAAAAAACTTAATTTGACTCTTGTAGTTATTTTACAATGTTAAGCATAAAGAGCAGAAATAAATTTTAAAATCAAAAGTTCACAATGGTTTCATCCAAGTTTAGGCACTCAAGGATTTTCTGAAGACACTCTATTTATATTCTTCCACTAATGTACTAGGTGAGTCAACAACAGAATAAGGTTCATTAATGGTTTAAAAAAACGTGACTAATAAAACTTTTCTTTTTAAATATAAATGGAAATATCATATTTAGATTTTTTTTTAATTAATTCTTCAACTCAAAATACTGGTTGTTACACTTGCAAAAATGATGATAGCGTCATTATTTTTGAAGGCAAATCGGAACACGCACGTCACCGTCACCACTTACGCTTCGATCGTTTGGTGGATAGTCCTGAATAGGCAAGCCAACATCAAAGCATTAAACATGCTGGGTATAACAGAGACTATGAAAACTACGCCCATCCTGGCTATGAGAGCCATATTAAATGTTAAGCTTCCATTTCTATATGCTAAAGTCAGTCGACATCACCTCAATTCAATGCTAATTCAAATCAAGTCACACTCCTCTGGGTCCCAGGACACTGTGGAATCCCAGGGAACCAGAGGACAGATAGGCTGTCTGTCCTACCCTACAGCTTCATTAAAAGTCTATTTGACCAGAGATCTGGCAATAGATTTCTCGATATGTGGCTTGAAGCTGAAGGTATTAGACACACTGAAGCCCTCTTTCAGAAGCCGTCCAGGATTCTTGCTTCCAGCCTTATCGGGCTCAACAGGAATCAGCTGAGGCTGACTATTGGTCTGATAACTGGACACTGGTCAACAAGAAAGCATCTTAGGAACATTGGCATCATACAAGATGTATTATGTCCAAGATGCCATGCAGCGGAAGAAACTCCTCTGCATGTAAATAGTATCAACATCCGGGAAGTGGGTGTTGGAAGGCTGATTCTCTATGCCTCGGCACTTGGTCTCCTCTACACTCTCTCCTAACTCACGAAGTTCCTAGAAGTGCCCAATAAGGATTATTCATTTCGATTGGTATTTTTAGGGACTTTGTGTTACTGCGACGAGTTCTGCAACCGAACGGACGTCCACGACTGTTGTCCGGACTACTGGTCGTTTTGCCACGGTATATATATCACGACGCCACTGCCGCCTCCGACCACACGCCGTCCGGAACCGCCTCCAGAGATCAGAGCCTGCCTGTACAACGACAGGACTTGGCCCGTTAACGGGACAGTCCGCGAGAACTGTAACGAATGGTAATGTCCGATTTTTACGAATTAATCGCGTTCCACGAACCTTCGCGTAGTCGTTCATCAATAAAAGTATGGCGTGATAGCCAATAGTTATTTTCGGAGAGAGTTAAAGCTTCTCGCGTGACGTTACTGAAAAATCAGCCGCCTCGTTGGTATAATTAATCGCCCAGCGATCGAAAATTAATTGACTAATCAATTTTCAGTCGGTACGACTATTGAAAATGGTATTTATTTTTTTTAGGGATATGTAATGTTTTTTTTATTAAATACTTTTTAATATGTAATTGTAATTTAGGTAAATTTAGTTAAAGTTAAAAATAAATCGACCTGATGGTTAAAAGTCACAAAAAATATTAAATAGTGGGCCTTGCCCCACCCACCCCCAAATCCGAAACTTTAACCGCATTTTCATTGCATGCTATAAAACATACCAACGTTTGATATTTTTCAGAATTTGATACACTGCCATTATTACAGAAAATTAATTAAAATGAAATAAACACAGAACGAACGTATGGATAGGGAATAAAGATATAATAAAAAACTGACAGTCTCGTAAGTTTTTGACACATTTGGTTTTTGCTTTTAATTTGTTAAAACATTAATGAGTCATTATTATTTTTAAAGAATATATTTTAATCATTTTTTTTTGAAAATGAAGTAAAGAGTTTGTATAAAAATATACCAACGTGTCATATTTTTCAGCATTTGATACTCTGCCATTATTACAGAAAATTAATTAAAATGAAATAAATACAGAACGAACGAATGGATAGGGAATAAAGATATAATTAAGAACTGATAGTCTCGTAAGTTTTTGCCATATTTGATTTTTGCTTCTAATTTGTTAAACCATTAATAAAATATTATTATTATTAAAAAATATATATTTTCCTCATTTTTTTTTGGAAATAACGTAAAGAGTCTCTTGCATAGTAATGACTGTTTAGATGTATCTTATTGCTACAAATGCATAAAGTAAAAAATGAAAAAAATTGAATATACAAATAAATATTTTTGAAAAGCTTAAATGAATCTCAAGTAATGTAAGAAATAGCATTTAAGGTGCATATTTTTAGCTCTTTGCGTAACACCAGGGGTAAAATGGACCGCTAAAAAGAAGCTATTCCATATTATTATAACCGAATCATAATTTATTGAAAGTGTTATTTTTTGAATAATTTTATGAATTTAGCCTAAAGCCAGAGCTTTCGAAAGTCTCATAAATACCAATAACAAATTTTTTAATTTATAGAAAAATAATTACTAATCAGTAACGTTTTTTTTTCATTAAATAAATTTTAATAAATAATTATAAGTATTATATATAACATTATAAATAGCCAAAATTTGGGTAAATTTAGTTAAAGTTAGTCAGAATAGTGGAGAGTTTAAAAAACGTTCTTATAGGATTTTTCCTTAGAATCCATTGGCGTAGTTTGTTTTTTATTTGCTCTAACCGTTTAATAATTGTGAACATATATTTATTTATTTTTTTATATTAATTGGAAATTATTCAAGCTTCTCAGAAATATATCTCGGTATAAAGTTGGTTTGAAAATGCTCAAAATTTATGTTTTTTTCACATTTTTTTTTTTTTAGCAGTAGGCCGTGACTAATCTATTAAAAACAAGTAAACAATTATTAATATATAAGAAACTCAATACTTTAAAATTCAATTATTTAAATGTTATGAACTACTATTTGTAATAATTTTCAATTTATTATGGACCGTTATTATATTAAAACGAAATAACATTATATCTAACGAACATTAACATTATATTATACCTAAAACTATTGTTTCTTTTTTTTTTAATGACATTTAAAAGAATTATTGCTGTCCTTCGTAGAGTTTCGAAAGTTATATCAATTACCCCTCCAAGATTTGCTACAGACTTGTTTCGTGTTTTATATACTTTATTTTGCCTATATCCCCATAAAAAGAAACCTCAAACCGAGAGATCCGGAGATCGTGCAGGCCATCTTGCACATCCGTTGGTACCTATCCATTTTTGAGGAATGTGGTTATCTTGCTGAAGGTATATATCATTAAAATATACTAAGACAACACGTTCAAGTAAATCTGGAATGACTTCTTCAAGAATGTATAAGTACTTATGTTCTGTAAGACCTCCTTCAGAAGTTCGGTAGGCTATTCGTTGTCCCAAAATAAAACACGATACTCCAACACCAAAGCGTGTTTGTTTGATGTTATAGTAATATTTGTTTATTTCAATTTCTTACTATTCTAGTTTTCCATACTAATTGTTATTCAGGTGAAATGTTATTTATCAATGCTTCCAGATCGTCTTTGGTATTTAAGTTTCATACTAAATACCTATTAAAAATATTGAATATTTGAAGTAATGGTAATATTTGTTTCTTTATTACAATTTCTCACCTTTCAGTCGAATTGCAATACGAGGAATATATCCAGTCAGAATCCAAAGTAAGCTCTTGTATTCAACCGCAAACCTGTGATGTTTTGTTTCAAATATTCCTTTAAACTTCTCCTGTTTCTTATGTCTTCATATATTTTCAGCAAGTGCGTTGACGTTGGCTACACCGTCGAAATGATGTGCGAGAAAAATATTTGCCTCGTGGACGAGGCTATAATCAACACCGTCAACAACCGCGAGGTCCATTACGGTTGGACAGCCGCAAATTATTCGAAATTTTGGGGTAGAACTCTAGACGACGGCATTCGTTACAGGTAAAGTGACAATACCATTACTACAAGAGGTGCGGTTAGTTCAGCTAGTTTTCGTTAGTATCAACTTTAATAATAATAATAATAATAATAATAATAATAATAATAATAATAATAATAATAACAAAAAATAGTCTTTATTGAGATATTTTAAATTATTGCACATGATTTAGAAAAAATAACTTAATACCAATATAATGTAATATAGTTATACTGCGACCAGAAATATAGTGGTTTTGCAACCGACTTTTTGTTTATTTATTATTTTTATTTAGTTCTAGGAATTTTTCTGCCTACACTAACAAGCGGAATATAAGTATGTTTTCGATCTTTTTCGCCGAGCAATTCTTGAAACATGCACATAATGAAATAGTACAAAGTAAGAAGTTATTACGTCCTATTTCAATACATTTCTACATGGTTATAATTATTAGTCTCTTAAAAAATCTTCTCAATCGGGTTAAATATGCAATGATACGGGTGTAATCTCAAGATTTCAATGCCGTTTTGTTGTACCATCGAATCCATTTGATATAATTTTTGTAATAATTCCAGAAGTTGTTTTTCCGTGTCGCTCTCTTCAAAATATAAATCATTTACGTACAGAAATTCTAAAATAGATCAAATAAAAAATTCATGTTAATGCACAATAAACATCTGTTGGGATGCGTTTTGGCCTGCGAAGGTTTATCAAAGCAATAAATGTACTATATTTTTGGTTGTATTATACACATCTCAAACGGCCAAGTCTAGCTTAAGATCTTGATCTCAGCTACTCCACGTTAACCAAATATTACAACAATAATGAAACAAGACACTATAACAATAATAAGAGTCTTAAAATTAACTATTGGTAAAATATTAATATGTTTAGGACAGAGGCTTTTGTAACTGAATAATTCTTTTGTCCTAAATTCTAGAACTGAGATGGATTCAAAATATTTATTATAATTATTATAAACAATTATGTTAGGGCATATCCAGAATGTTTTTCGTCCTCAATCTGTCAGCTGCGTTGGTAATAGTATATTATGCATCAAGTGTGGTAAACGGCATTTGACTCACGAGTTTTTAATAAACGAGTGAGTTCTTCTTCTTCTTGTCAATATTTTGGCTTTGCAACTAGGCAGTCTGCCAGCTCATTAGGGGAGTCCTCAGCTTGACGAGCAGAGCTCCTGGGAACTCCTATCTACTTTTACCCTTAGATGTTTTATTTTGTTTACTTTGCTCAATAAAGGATAAATTATTCGGTAATGGAGGTATCTGTTAGTAATACAAACATATTGGGAGAAGAGGGCGTAGAGATTGGATTTGTTGGAGATAATGTATTCTGAAAATATAAATGATAGATATTACGTTACAGTTTAATTTTATTAAAGTTTAAAAAGGAAATTATGATATCTGAAATCTTTTTATTGGGTTTAATTAGAACAGCAGATATGTTAAGAGTGGCTTTGATGCCCAGCTTTATAAAAGAATTGTAGATATCAAGATCGGGTATCTCATTTATAGGGCATTCAACGAACATGTGGTTCAGGTCCTCAATCTTTCCACATTCGCAAAATGGGCTAATCTGTCTTGCCCTTAAATTTTAATATATTTTTTCAATGTCTGTTGTGTTGATGAAGTATTTTTTGTTTTATGATATTAAGAATTTCATTTTTATCTAAGTCAATGGTTTTTGGAATATTTAGGCTTGTACCTATTTTTGCTAAAGAGTCAACAACTGAGTTACCTACTATGTCTGAGTGTCCTGGGATCCAAGCTAAAATAATGTTATTATCATTATTATTTGCATCCACTATGAGTTGTTTGGTAGTAATAGTTAGAAATTCTGAAGCGTATTTAATATTGTTGGTATTTAATTTTGTGATTGCACTGAGAGAGTCAGAAAATATTATTCCATTTTTAAGATTTTTTTTCAAAATAACCGCAACCCCTTCATATATTGCTATTATTTCTGCTGAAGTTATACTTATTTCGTTTTGTAGTTTTGAAGAGAATTTGTAATCTATATCAGGAATGTAAACCCCAAGACCATTACTATTACTAATTTTAGATGCATCTGTATATACGAAGTGGAAAGTGTTTTTAAATTTTTCTGTGGCAAGATTGAATTTTTCTTTTATGTTAGGGTCAGATTTTTTTACATTTAAGTTTAGTGTTTTTATAGGGGTTATTTGGTTAAAATAATCAAACTCAAAACAAGGCGGAATTACTTTTTTATAGATTTTATTCTGATACGGACTTAGATTTTCTAGAGCCTGGATGAGGTATGGAATATAAAACGTTCTTAGCTTTTTAGGGAGGGTTACTAAGGGATGATTCTTAATTGACAAGGGACCCGCCAGAAATTTTGAGGCAAACCAGTTTCTTCGAAAATCGAAGTTAATTTCTCCCGCTTCCGCTAATAAGACGTTGGTAGGGGTTGATTTCATGCATTCTAAGCAAATTCTGAGACTGTCGTATTGTATCTTATTGAGTTTGGTTTTGTTTTTTTGCTTGTATTTCCAACAATAAAGGATGAAAAATCTATATGCGATTTTATTAAAGCGTTATATAAAATTAACGAGGTATGAGGATCAGACCCCCACCAAACTCTGTTAACACATTTAATTATGTTTATATTTATTTTGGCTTTTATTACTTGCTGATTGATATAATTATCTCATCTAAGTTGATTGTTAGAAATGACCCCTAAATATTTTACTTCATTTTTAAATGGAAGGGGGTGATTTCCTATTTTTACAGGGGGAGGAGGAATTTTACGAGTACCCTTTGTGAACCAAACGCATTCGCATTTCTGAGGGGAGAGCTGAAGGTCGTTATTAAGTAACCATATGTTGATTGTGTTAAGAGCCTGATCAATTTTAGAAGCCATAGATATGATATTGTTCCCTTTTAAGAGTAAAGTCATATCATCCGCATAACCTAGTAATATGAAATTTTCATCTAAGATATTAAAGAGCTCTATAGTGTATATATTGAATAAAACTGTACTTAAAGGTGATCCTTGTGGTAATCCTGATGTGGAAAGGCCTGGACCAATGTAAGACCCATCATTTCTTTTTGTATATAGGAGTCAGTTTTCCAGGATTCTAAAGATTAAATTGCTAAGCTCTTGTGGAATGTGTAATGTAATTTGTTATATAGCTTATATATGTTAACAGAGTCATAGGCCGATTTTATATCTAAGAATACTGCTAATACTGTTTCTTTTTGCTTAAAAGCTAGATCGATGAAAGATGATATAAATGCAATGTTGATACTAATTCCCATTCCTTTTCTGAAGCCTGTCTGGGACCATTTAAATGATTTATTTTTTTCTAATAACCACTCTAATCTATTCTCAATCATAATTTCCAAGAGCTTGATATAGCATGAGGACCGAACAATCGGTCTATAACTATCCGCCATGTATGGGTCTTTATTGGGTTTTAGAATATTTAAAAAGTTATATTTTTTCCCAGATTGCGGGAGAGATTGTCCTTCTAGGCATTGGTTATAGATTTTAAGCAGCCCTAATTTTATATTTAAGGGCAGATTAAGAATCATTTTATAAGTTACCTTGTCTAACCCAGGAGCAGATATATTTTTCTTAAATAGGGCATTTTCTAATTCTTGTAATATGAACGGGTTTAGGTCCTCTATAGGACTTAGAGTAAAGCCGGGAATCACATTATAAATTACCATTTTTTTAAAGATTTCATTACGAAGGTCGTCATCGAGGATAGGTCTATTGGAGCGTTGATTTATGCTTGAAATTTTTTTTATTTGTTTCCATACATATCTTGTGTCAGAATCTCTATTTAATGACGAACAGAATTTTATGGATTTATTGCGTTTTTTGAGTTTTAGTCTTCTTGTGGCAATTGCAATATATTTTTTTGCTTGTATATAGTTTTCAAGTGTAGGAGCAATTTTAAATTGTTTTAGCTTTTCTTTACGTTGTTTGACTATAAGAGTACATTCGTCGTCCCACCATACATTCCCCGTTTTACCTCTTTTGTTTGTTTTCAAAGGGATAGCGATATCTGCCGCCGAATTAATAAGGCTCTCTATCTCTTTGAAAGTCATATCAGTGTTGTATTGTAAAGCGTCTAATATAAGTTTGTCCCTATATAGTCCCCAATCTGCTTTTCTATAATTTCTGGTCGATGAAAAATTATGTACAAAAGAGTTTTTTGAGTAGGATTCTCTATCTTCAATTACTGTCATAGTGGGAAAGTGGTTACTGTTGCCACAGTCCGGTAAGACTCTCCAGTTTGATGAATAAGCTATGTCACTACTGACAATCGTTAAGGCTAACGCACTCATTTTCTGATTGGGAGGTTGAAGTAGGGTTGAAGAGCCATCATTTAGAATTACAAGCTCTTTGTCAAATAGGAAATCATTAATATGTTTGCCTCCATTGTTTGGAGTACAATAATCCCAAAGGGGATAATGTGAATGTAAGTCTCCGATCAATATAGAGGGACCCTGAACATTAGAATAAAGCTCCTGTAAAAATTGGGAGTTGGTATTATTATTAGAGTTAGAATAAATGTTGATAAGATTAAGTTCATCAATTTTAACTATAATATATTGAACTTGGTTGTCGTTAAATTTTTTTATTTCTCTGTATATAAAATTGTTTTTTATGCAAGTTGCTATTCCCCCATATCCATCATCCCTGTCTTGTCTAATAATATTATACGATTTAACTGAAAATTTTTTTCTTAATTTAACCAGGTTTCATTTAAAAAAAATAATATCGGGATCCTGTTCCCTGATTAATGAGATTAATTCCGTTCTGTTGGAATTGATACTTCTTAGGTTCCACTGAAGTATTTTTAATTTTGAATTGAATTTTATTTGGTTTTATTAAAATTTAATTAAAACAAGGGTCGTCAAGATCCGTATAATTACTTAGCTTTATATGGTTAAGGATAAAGTTTTTAATTTCCTGTTGTTTTTCTTCTGGTAAATTTAAGACTAGTTCCTTAATGGTTCTATAAGTAGGGTTATCATCATATCGTTTTAAATTAGATGTACTGGTCGAGGGTAAGTTCAGTGGGATGCCTTGAGGGGCACTTATACTTGAGGCATTAATTTATTTGGTAGTTCTGGAATGTTGATTGTAGATTGGGTCGTCAAATATAGGGGAATTTTAGCGTGGGTTCTTTCCGGTCTAGAATTAGCAAAGTAAATATTGTCGTCATGGGACTGTCTGTCATAGCTTTTGTGGATCAGTCTTTTTTTGTTGCGTTCCCCTGAGACCGTTTGTTGGTAGGTTCTCTTAGTTTTGTTGGTGAAGCCTGCTAGCCGTCTTTGGGAAGGGGATATAGTGGTCCTGTATGTGTAATTATCATTCTTGTTAACCGTATTATTTCTTAAAGAAGGGAATTCGTTTGGTTGGTATGAAAATACTTCATTATTATTATTGTAGGTTTTAGCGCATAGTTTGTTGGCATCATAGAAGGTTAAGTTTTTGTACGTTTAATGTTTTGCTGTCGTTTTAATTCGGGGCAGCTTTTCGAAGTAGTTCTGTGTTCATTTCTGCAAGAATAACATTTCTGGGTACACGAGTATTGAGTGGGGAAGTCTGAGCTATCGTCGGTTTCTTCATGTGGATTGTCTGCGCAATTAAAACATTTTTCCCTGCCTTTGCAATTTTTCCTGGTATGTCCGTAGAGTAGGCATTTATAGCATTGAGTGACATGGGGGATATAAACGTTTACCGGAAGGGGAAGATCATAAAAGTAAATGTGCTTTGGTAGAAGAACCACTCGAAATGTGAATAAGACAGTACCGGTTGGTTTATTCTGAGTCCTGTTATCTACAATTATTTTACGATTAAGTCTTTTGGCTTGAATTATCTTTGCTGAAGATTTGCATATATTTTCAAATTTTTTTTCGATATCTTCATCTATATCTTTCCTTACAATACCTTTACTTGTGACAAAATTAAATGGAATGAAGACCTTAAAACCTTTGTCTAAAATATGTTGGTTTTTTAGGAGATTGTTGGCTGCTTCATATCTAAAAAACTCTATCGCTATACGGTTTGTACCTTTGTTGTGAATTTTTTTAACGTCCTTGAGGTGAAGGTTAAAAATTTCTCTTACGATCAGATTTCTCCGCGGATTCAATATAGACTCTGAAAGGGCCAACATCTTCGTTTTCATACAGAATAATTTCTAGTTCATTAATTTGAGAGCTATCTCCTATAATTCTTTTAATTTGTTGGGGGGTGACATCCCCCCCGAAGACGTCCATTTGGACAGTTCTCTTTAATGGATTGTAATTTGTATGCCGATTAGTTAGTTAATATAACTCACCGGTAAAATAGGAACAAGTGTTAGTGGGAGAGAGAGAATTAAGAGCACTAACCTCTCTCTCTGAACACAGAACCTGAACTGAACGAGTGAGTTAAAACGTGTTGCATACTATACTTTTTCTACGACCGTTCGTTTTTGCGTACATTTTCGCAAAACAATAAGAACACATTCACTGACATCACCATCAGAATTGACAAACGTCAAACATCCGATTGCTCCCGAATCCGTGCGGTAAAATCCCGGAAATGTCCGAAGTGGCTCGAATCTGGGGGAAAGGAAAACTGACATGGTCAAGTGACGCTTCCCGCACGCTAAATCGGTAGGCAATTAGGTATTTTACAGACGGGAGTAAAAAAAAGGATATTTCATAACCTTAAATACAACAATTGCGAGTAAAAATTGAAACGTATTTAATTTTGAGCTATTTCGATCCAATTTTTTTTATATACTTTAAAACTTTCTCAAACCATAAACGATTCGGGCACAGCTGTTCGGCTTTTTTGTATTCTGGATTTATCAGCAACGGTTAAGAGTGAAAGACAATATATAACTTTGGAAAGGATACATGCCTCAGAGAGTTTTTCTCCTAGTGGATTTAAAAAAATTCAATCAAATCAAAATATAAATCAATCAAAACTAGATAAGAAATATTTAATAATTTGTGGATCTTTTTTCATGCCTGAGGAATGACAAAGCACAGTTGCGGAAACTTTTGTATATATTTTTGCCATGGCGCTCAGCCTAACTGTTTCAACTGAGGCGTGAATGTCAGAAAGGGCTACAATATTGACACTTAAAAACTTAAACTTTCCTGAATATTATCAATATAATAAACGCTGTCCCAGTTAATACTTCGCAAATCCCCAAGTATTTAAAAGGTCTAAAAGTATACATTTCTTGCTTGGACTTGCTCGACTCACAGCTTAAATAAATAAAATGTCCGTTCAGTATGGAGCTGTACCAAATTGGGTAGTTAAATGACCATTTTCAACGGAAAAAAATATAATAACTTACAAAAACACTATCAGGTTAGCAAAGATAAAGAAAATTAATAAACTTATTTTTAATTGAAACTTGAGATTTTTGTGGATTTTTGGTGGACGCTCTCTCTACTAACCATTAAAATTTTTATTATTTCGGGCACTACAGATCTGTAAACTTTACAGCAAACGATCAGCATATTTTTCGTTAATTGTTTGTCCGTTCTTTGTTATTAAAACAACAAAAAAATAGTACATTACGGTTTGGATAAAAAACGGCAGACAAGTGGATTTAACTTTTTTAGCTCTCTATCTCTCTCAAACAGTGGTAATTTGCTCTAACTGTAAACTGCATACCATCAATTGTGTTTTTTTTTGCAAATTGCAAAACACCGAATATTTAACCAAGGGCCATATTTTTTTCTATTTTTTTCTATTTCTATTTTTTCTATTTTTTTCTAAATTATCTGATAAATTTGAGGTTGTGTTAATTTTTCACTCAACTAAATCAATTTTTCTGCATGCACTAGTGACGTTCTTTTTTACAGGCACGTTGTGATACGTCGCATTGTCCATCATCAAAACTGTTTCTCCACCCATGTGGTGAAATTTTTATTTTCATTTGATTTTTGCCCTGTTTATGTTTCCAATGCGGGTTAGAGCCGTAATAAACTAAAAGCTGGTAAATAAACTTTTAAAATAGAAATGAAAATACATTTTTCTACTTATTTGCTGGAGTAAATATGTGTTGACATTTTATTTACTGTTTTCAACAATCCATTATTTGTAAATCATTCACCAGTATGGGCTATTGTAAGCCTTTGACCCTTGCTAACTGGCTTTATCTTGTGTATGGCTACTATGTATACAAGGTGTGTTCAAAAAGTAAGGTGACTTTGAAATTGGGCTTAAATTCCCGTTCCGATATTTTTTTTGTTATGCTGCTATATGTCCCTAACACAGGCTTAGTTTTTCTTTGAAAACAGAGTTTTTATTATGTAAAATTGCTTCAGTTCTCACAGTTTTGTAAATAAGGGATATATTTAAAAGAACACAGTTTTACGTATTATACTCCAGTTTGTCCAACTCTATTGACTTGTTTTATGAAAACCGGCAATATTAACATCGTTTTATGTAATTTCTTGGTTTAATCTGAGAAACACAACGGTTTGGCAGCGCTGCGCAGGGTAAATTAACGATAGATAAGTTGTCATTGTATCTCACGCCCTATTTTTATATTTTGTTTCATATTCTTCAAATTTTTTATTAATAATAATACATGCCTAAGTCTAATAATTTGGCCAATATTTATTATTATAACGCTTAATATGTTCAAAAGTAAAATCCATCGGTTTAATATTTTCTCCCTAATAACTGCAAAAAAAAACAAAGTAGGTACGGTAGATTGTTATTTAATTTTAAATCCTTACGTTTTAAAGGTCGTCTTTTCTCCATAATATAAAAATCGTAACAATTAGTCGTAGCGACTCTTTGAATGGAAGAGTTATACCATCCTCTACTTCCTTTTTAATACATTGAATTATTAATCCTTTCTTGACTATTTTTTTAGTTCAAATCTTCAATGACTAGAATAAAACAAATATCGATAATTGAAATCGATTAGTGCAATAAATGAGTTTATTACCGTTTTACTGATAAAAAACAAATCAATCGTAACCGTGCACATTTCGCAGATTAGGTACGCTGCAACCACAAAAGGCAGTGTTAGGGATGCACTCAATGAAACGCATTTACGACCCTTCCGCATTGCCGAAGGAATTCAACACGGAGACCAGATGGCCCAGGTACATCTCGGGCATTCGCGATCAGGGTTGGTGCGGGTCATCCTGGGCCATTTCTACCGCGGCCGTTGCGTCGGACAGGTAAGCCCGATAGATAGATTTTAAAACAATAAATCTCCTCGTTTTTGCTTGACGCTCTTGCGTCCAATCATTTTCTTCTTTTTTCACAATTGTTATTATTGAGAGTCAATAACGAAGGGAGCGATTTTGGGGTCTATTTTAAGAAGAAAACTTCATATGAACATAGGTCTTAACTTTTCAGATACAGGAGGCTAAAGTTTTCATAAATAAAATATATTTTTTTAATATCTATAATACCACTTTAGATATTTTAATGAAGTTTACCATATTTTTTTTTAAATACACCAGTGGCGGGCGTGCGCAATTTCACCTGCCTATTTTGGCAGACATTGATGGTACGCCCTGTAAAAAAAAATATTCTTACATTCATTTCTAAATAGATTTAATTTCTGGATTTTTTTCAATCCCAATAACATCATTAATATGATAGCATGCAGAGGAATCAGTTTTTACTTATAAGTGAAAGCCGTGTGACGAAATAATGAAAATAAATGAATGCAAATGCCATTATTTTTTTTAAGGAAATCGGTGACGTGCCACTGGCTGTCTATCAACAAATGATATTTTGATTATTTAGGTCGGCACTGCACTGTTTAAATCTAGAACTTTTTTTTATGAACAAAATATCTAGTTCTGAGTTGCCAACTAATGTCCTTCATAAAAAATAATATTAGAAGAAGAAAAACACTATCTACTATTAATTTGTGGAAACCAGTAGACAACTACAGTTGTATTGCCAATCCTCATTAGTAAACTAGACCATTCTTTTTTAAAATTACAATGCTCGGATAGTTTAATCACCAAATTAATAAATCGCGAGGAACCGAATTAATAAGTCTAAGAAATAATTATAAAAATTTTAAAAATACACCTCAGAGTTTACGTACTTCGTATTCGTATTTCGATTGGAAGTATTTCAATAAAACAGACGAATACTTAAGTAAGAAATAACCAACTTTCAGGAATGGTGGCGCTGGACATATTCAACGCTTAGGATATCGTAAATGTCGACTTATTGACCCCCTTGCTGGCCAAAATTGGCATAGCTAGAGAGTTGACTTTATCAGGCAGAACAACCACTAGGGGGATGCCTCAGGGTTCCCCTCTTTCTTCGCTACTATTGAATATTTACATCAACTCGATTAAGGACATAAGACTTTTGACGGAAGATACCGCCTTGCTGAGTAGTGGGGTTGATGTTCAAACAATGGGGAATAACTTGAAAAGAATTTCGCAAGATATACATATTTGGTCCTTGACTGTAGGACTTGAGATTAACGCGCATGTATCTGCAGCTATATTTGTTTCCAGAAGAACTGCAATGTTAAATATCTCATCAGACTGTACCTCAACACCGGAAAGTTTCAGGCGGTTTAAATATGATGCGATTTATAAGTAGAATCTAGTGGGGGGCACATCCCTCTACCCTTCTAACTACAGTGAAAAAAAATTTGTTGTACTATAAGGTCTCCATACAAAGCTATGTATTAATTCACTCTGTATAAAAATTTTTTCACTATCTATAAAGTGATGTGGGATGTCAGTGGAAGGACGTGGAAGTGCAAAGAAAAAATCATTCAGGCTGAAGCGGCAGGCAGTTCTAGTAAAAAAACTAAGAAAGCCAAAATTTGAAGATTTGGGTCGGGCAATGTTGCAGTGGTTCCAACAGCAACGTCTTAAAAATGTACGACTCTCTGGACCTATAGTAAAACTAAAAGCAGAAAAGTTTGCTGAACAGCTCGGCATGATCGATTTCAAAGCTTCGGAAGAATGGTTGGGGAAGTTCAAACAGAGACAATTATGGACAGAGAAGTGGCGAAACTCGTGATGTCGACAGAAACGTCACTAACGATTTGCTGGAGAAGACGTGGACAAAACTGCCGATGGACCAGAGCGTAATAAAAAGTCTTAAGAGTCGATACAGGAAATAATCGAGTTCGAAGACAAATTTTCCATTAATATGCTAGATGCAGTCAAGTTTATTAGCAAAGCTTGCAAAGAGGTGACAGCAGAAACAATTCAACAGAATGCGAACGGGACTTGGAAGATGATCAGCCACTAAGCAAGTGGATAAAGAGTTTCAAACAACAATTAAGTTTACAACTTAGGAGTCGCAAGATTTTATGGTGACACATCAGGATTTGCCTACAACAGCACACTTGACAGAGGAATCCATATTACAACAATTAAGAAAGGGTGAGGAAGAGAACCAAGAGGAAGAAGATGATGAAGAAGTTGCTCTGGGACCACCACCAACCATTCAACAAGCCCAATATTCAGTTCAGCTGCTAGAGAAATTTTTTATGTATCATGGGGAAGATGCCCCTCTCGAAGAAATGATGAAAATACAAGCCAAAGTACGAGATGCGTATTGGGATATTAAAAAAATTCAAAAGAAAATAACCGATTATTTGAAACATTAAATGTAGTTCTTAAATATTAATATAAAATCTTCCTAAGTAGATGTTAAAATATGTATATAAAATAATTAAATATTACAGAACACACACATAAGAAGCAGTCCCTTCAATTTCGCTATATAGAGTTTCGACTATATTTGCAAAACTTATATCAGACCCCATTTGGATTATGGAGCCACTTTTTTGGGTGGTACTGTAAGAAATACCATTGCTCAATTGCTCAGTCGGATGATGGTATCACCCAGACCCTCTTTACGGAGGCATCCTTCATGGAAATATTTTATTGCACATCACTAAGTAGAAGCTGACCGAATTGCCTTAGCAGCAGTGGCCAAAAAGCGTTCAGTGTTTTCACCAATAGAATGTAAAACTACTTCTTTAATTTCTGGAGTTCTTACAGTCCCGTGGCTCCCTTTTAAATAGTTACTTGCCTTGAAAGTACCCGTTTGAGTCAACTTTCTGTCTGACTTTATTAGCATATCTGCGAGCTCCTCATTAGCAAACCCTACCATTCTTTTTTAAAATAACAATGCTCAAATATTTTAAGCACCAAATTAATAACTGAATTCAAAAACTGATGTCGAAACAACGAAAAAAAAAATCGCCCCGTTTATTATTGACATTCAATTAGAAAACACCCTGTATGATTGATTGCGTCTAACAAATCCCTAAACAAGTATTACTTTTTTATTATTCGTGTCCCAATAACGCAAAAGAATGTCGCGCCTTACGTAATCCGGCGGCATTTTATTATATTAAAATTTTATTGTCGCTGACGGGCACCATCTGCTTATAAATATTTAAATGGATTGAATCGTGATCTCATATCGAAAAATATTTCGAATTGACACACGATAAACACGCACCACATATCTGTGTGGACAGGAGACACGTGTTTTGCCATATTGTTTACAGCGGTCGTGTAAATTTCGTCTGACATTTACAGATACAAATACACAAATACTTGTGGCTTAGAATCTCTCTCTCTCTCTCTGTCTCGCAGAAAATTTCGTCAAGCACTAGTCCCCAGAACATTAATTTAAGAATATTCAATAAATCAGTTTTTTTATACAAATACGCACATCACCCAGAATGTATTGTGATGCAATTTGTCGTAAGAATTCCAGCTGATTGTAGCTATTCTATACGGTGCTATTACTAATTAAATTAGAAAGATTAGTATACTTCGACCAAAATTATAGTGCTTTTACAACCGACCCCGTGATTAATTTTCAAGTTTTCAATCTTCGCCGGAACATGTACATAAAAAAATTGGTGCGAAGTAACAATTTATTACGTTCTATGTCACTCGTTTTTATAGCTCTATTACTACCACTTCTGAATTTCTTATAAGATTGTAAACATTCAGAACAATTTGTTTAGCATCCGAAGACAAGTGGATCCGTTTTTTTATTTGCTGAGGTTGTTCGACTTCTAAATTGTTATTAGGTTCGACTACCATCTCCACTTCGTCTTCAAATTCTGCGCTGTTGTATGAGAATAAAAAGAAATCATTAGTTTTTAATGCTCAAACAGTTCTTTGTTTGCGCTGATCGGTGAGTGGAAAGTGATTCGTCTTCGGCGGTTGGTTTTTCTAATTTCTTCGAAGACTTTCGGCAAACAAATGGTCGTGTACCGTTCAGACTGTTTTACCTTTCGCCAAAGAAACAGTTGCAACGTTGTCCGAAAAAACAGGCTACCATGTGTTTCAAAACGCTTCGCGCACGAATCACTTTTGTGGGCTTTGTCTCATTTTGACCCACACAGTCGACTGGTGCTTACCCTCAGGTTCATATGGATAGATCTATGATTCAATAACTGTCACTATATGATAGACGTGTTTGGAAGCATCGCGAAAATTGCATGTACGCTGGTCCCATTAATTCCCAAAGGTAAAGTCTGTTCATAGATATACGAAAGTGACTAACTGATACGAATTAAGGAAAGACACGGGCAAGCGCTGTAATAATGAAATATGGCCGAACAGGTCCGTACTTTGCTTAGTATTAAATTATTTGGGGTTTTGTGAGGAAATATATTAAACAATATTTATTTATTTATGTATGTATTTATGTTTAAATCTAAAATAAAATTACAAATTATTTTTATTACCTACTTAAATTACTTAAAATTATTCACATAATATATCAGTATCACTACCGCTATCATCGCCTGTTCTAATTATTATTTGTTCTATATTATTTGCAATATGGATATACGATTGTTCTGTTGTTGTATATGTTTAACAGAATTTCGGTTTCTATAAGTTTAAGGACATTGGAGTTAACACGGGGAAAAACATTGTTACGACGAATGGCAAAATTGCCTTAAAACTGTATGCCCTAGATTTTTTGAATAATTATCACAGACGTATTCCTTTTGTAGGTTCAAACTTTGTAGGACCTCAATTAATTGTTTTTTGGTATAATCTTGAGGAAGGGGTTTTAGTCAACTGTCTACTGTGATACCTTGCATTGTCCATCACAATGACGCTATTAGGAGGAATGTTTGGAACTAGTTTGTTTTTAAACCAACTGTCGAATAAATCAGCGGTGTTGTCTTCATGGTAATCCAGAGAAGAATCTTTAATATTTTTCGCAGACAAAGAAAGTCCATTTGGAATCTGTAAATCCTAATTTTTTCTAGATATTCCAGACGCCATTTCCAAATTCTAAAAGATTCCATTAAAACTTGCCTTTTGTCAATTTTTTTAAATCTAAAACCCATGTGTTTGATACACTTTCATAAGGTAGTTCTGCCACATTTAACACCGGTTTTATCTTTTTCAAGCCGTCTAATTAAGATATCTAATGTAGGCACGCTTTGTTCCTCGTATAACTGGTAAATTTTACACCGTATTACATCTTGATCACTTTCATCTATTCATCTGGGTTGTTGGGAAAGTCATTTCGTTTTTTTTGGGGAACATGAAAGACAGTTTTCGTATAATGAATAAATATTTTATTAAATTATATATTGGCCATTCTGGTCCAACACCTTTTGCCATCTTTCTGGCAGTAACATAATTCCCCTCTCATAAAAGTTTTGGTCCTTGCTGGCAAAAAACTGGTTCAGGTGGTTTTTGACATCTTCATTTGAGGTAAAGGTTTTGCCATCCAAAAAATTTTGCAGGGACCGGAACAAATAGTAGTCGGAAGGCGCCAGATCTGGAGAATATGGTGGATGTTGCAGTACGTCCCATTCAAGCTGTAAAAGTTTTTGGCGAGTGACCAAACTTGTGTGAGGTCTCGCATTATCCTGGCGGAACACTACACTCTTCCTGTTGATTAAATTCGGGCCTTTTCTCTTTAAGTGAATCATTCAATTTGTCCAGTTGATGACAATAGACTTCTGAATTAATCGTTGTATTGTCCGGCAAAAGCTCAAAAAAAAAAGATTCCTTTGACATCCCACCAAACGGAGAGCATCACCTTTTTTTGGTGAATGTTGGCTTTTGACACGCTTTGAGCCGGTTCATCTTTTCTGCTCCATGACCTCTTGCGTTTAACATTGTTTTATACAACCCATTTTTCGTCCCCAGTAATAATCCGCTTCAAAAATGGATCATTGTCTTGACGTTTGAGGAGCGAATCACACACATCAACGCGACGACACAAATTTCGCTCCGTAAGGACATGGGGCACCTACACATCGAGCTTCGATGTTAAGCCCATGCCTTTCAAATGGCCATAAACAGTCGAATTCGACAAATTTAATCTCTCACCGATCTCTTGTGTGGTTATTCGCCGATTTGCATCAACCCTTTATCGCATCTTTGTCAGCTTCAGGCATTCCAGACCGTGGTGCATCTTCGACATCAAAATTGCCGGATCGAAATTTTGCAAACCAGTTCTGGCACTGGCGTACTGTTAACACGCCTTCTCCATACACATCCGTCAATTTTTTTCTCGCTTGGACAACATTTTTACCTTTTCTGAAGTAAAAAAGTAAAATATGACGAAAATGCTGCTTATTGCTCTCCATATTTAAAAGGGCACCAACCAAAAACTACTGCGTAGAATTAATAGAACTTTTTCACACACAAGCCTTACAATATCAGCTCTCAAGACATATAATGGTTATGCGGCTTAAGTGTGAAGTTGGTTTCGAAAAAACGCAATTAAGTCCTCTGACGGGAAAAAACGAAATGACTTTCCGAACAACCTTATATATTCGAGAAAATGTTAGCATCGCTTCTTTTGTTCCTCGGCTGAAATGGGATTACTCACAATTGATGTAGTTACTAGATTACTATGAAATGTATAGGGGTGCCAATATTTGGCCACCTAAATATTTACATTTATTATGTACATTTATTATTTATGATGTGAATCTTAACGAACCAAAACTAACCAAAAGTAACCCAGACCAACCAAAACTAACTTACAACCTAGAACTAATTAAATACAAAAAATTAATGTACCGGAATTTAAGTAAAGGGTGGCATTTGCTTGCAAAAATTCTTCTTCTTCATTTTGGCTTCCAGATTTTAAGTTAAAGAAAGTTGAGCCAAATTTTTTACCACCCCATACGAGAGCGAAAAAAATTATGATAAAAAAGTTAATTTTTTATTTAAACCTTAACAATGACGATTAAGTTATCATTTTTTAATGATAATGAAGTTTATCTCTTCGGGGGAGATTTTCAGGTAGAGTTATCACTAAAAAAGCAACCAATATTTCTTCTCGTACGAATTACCACTTGAACTATCTGAATCGCGTTGCAGATATGGCATAGTCTCTAAGGGTCTGGAAGAGGTTCAGCTCAGCGCGCAGAACATCATTTCCTGCGAAACCAAAGACAAAGGATGCGAGGGAGGAAGATACGATCGAGCCTGGAACTTCGTACGGAAATTTGGGTAAGTTTTGGAACCTCGTGCGCATTTTCAAAGTTTTTAGGATCGTTTCCAGAGATCAAATATCAGTTTCCAACTGCTGTCAAATTGGTTGGTTTCATTCAACACACATGCCGACAAAGATTTTGTGAATTGGTATTTCTCGTATTTCTGGAGTTATAGAATAGAAAAACAATGTTTTTTCGTTTCTATCGCCTAAAATTTTTGAATTAACTTTTGAAATGTCATATTAATTGTGTTAAAAATAACATAACATTCCAAAAATTGAGTAAGATCACGTCAAGTTCACCACTTGATCATAATAATGTATATATATATTTTTTCTAAGTATTTATGATGGAAAATTGAACCCCCGAACGATTTTTTAAAATTTTGATTTTAACATTTTTTTTATAATGGAAATTTTAAGCACTTTTAATTAAAAAATGAATTAAAAATCAACCTTAAGAGATAAATCTATGAAATTTTCAGCATCCGTGGTCAAAATAAGAATATATTACCGACTTAAAATTATATGTTTATTTTCATATTATTAATTTTTAAGTTAACAAATGAAAATTTATCTGATTTCTTGCTAAAAAAAAAACATGTTTTTTTGTCGGCTTTACCATTTAAGATTAAGTTTAATATTCCTGAAGAAAATTTCACTGCTGTTCATTAGTTTAAACAAAATGAATTTATTTATGAAAGCGCGCACTTTCCTTTTTTCAGTGGGCCCAAAGTTCTTTTTAAAAAAATACCAACCACGATATCCCGGAATGTAGTGTTATCATATGTATATATATATATATATATATATATATATATATATATATATATATATATATATATATATATATATATATATATATATATATATATATATATATATATATATATATTCTCACGTATTGATTCACGGATGGAAAAATGTGATGACACTATATTCCGGGATATCATCCGTTCGCTCGTTGAACTCCGACTGGAATCCTGCAAATCCTGCATCCGACTGGATCCTGCAGACGTTTCGCCAAAATCTCACTTGGCATCTTCAATGCTCGCGCTCCGAAAACACTTCGAACACTGGGAGGTTATCGGCGGTGTGTGCGGTATTTATACTCTGCGCCGGAGATGGTAACGGTGCTGCTTGTGCGTGGGGAGAGGTGACTCCACCCCCTGAATTGTCGCGTTTTTAATTTCGCCCGATCGTAGTTGCGATGTCCCCGTTGGCTGCTGCGCATCGCTCTGCTGTTTGATTATCGTTCTCCACGTGTTGGATAAATGCAGAGCGTCGTCTCTCGTATTGAGATATCCGGACTTTTCTATTTCGATGGCCTCTCGTATAATCCTAGTCCTAAAATCAGGAATATTAGCTATTTGTTTGCAAGTGCCGAAATCAATTTTATGGCCTGTCTGATGTTGGTGCTGAAACAAAGCAGATGGTGTTTGTTTGTTTCTTATGGCTAAACGATGTTCCTCGAGCCTGGCTGAAATCCTTCTGTTGGTCTGTCCCACATACGTCAGGCTGCACGATCCGCATGCTACACTGTATACTCCTTGGTTTTCCAGAGTAATTTTTTGTTTTGGGTTTCTTAGTATTGCTCCGATGGTATGGTCAGGTTTGTATGCCGTTGATATGTCGTGTTTTCGTAATATTCGGCCGATTTTGTCAGTAACCCCCTTGATGTATGGCAGGACAGCGATCGATCTTCGTTGGGTCTCGTCCTGCACTCTCTGCTGCGTCTGTTGTTGTTTACTGATTGCCTTGCTGATGGTGCGCCTTTGGTATCCGTTTTGTCTAATTTTCTTCAGTTCTTTATCTCTGTTCCTCTCGTTTGTGAGCCTGAAGGACCGAGCAATTAATGTATTTGCCACTGCCTGTATCTGTGATGGGTGGTGATGAGATTTAGCTTTCAGATATCTATTAGTGTGTGTTGGTTTTCTATAGACAGTGTGTTCCAAGTGTCCATCTTCGGTCCTTGTGATGTGCACATCTAAAAAGGGCAGACTGTTATCCTCTTCAAATTCTATTGTAAATTGAATCCTTGGGTGAATGGAATTCAGATGATCTAGGAATTTCAAAAGCTCCTCCTTGCCAAAAGGCCATACAACAAATACGTCATCAATGTATCTTGTCCATAGTTTTGGCTTCAGATTTGCCTTCTCTATTGCTTTCTTTTCGAAGTAAATCATGAAGAGGTTGGCAATCACAGGTGAGAGAGATGATCCCATTGCTGCTCCATCTATTTGTCGGTAAATTTTCCCGTTGTGCATAAAGTAAGCGTTTTTCAGGCAATGTCTTGACAGATCCATTATGTATGGCAGAAGATCTTCGTTTTCTTCTATAAGCAAGAGTGCCTCTTCTACTGGAATACTCGGGTAGAGGGATTTGACATCGAAACTTGCCATAATGTCGTCCTTGTCCATCCTGAGAGAACCTAAAATCTGAGTGAAATGTTCTGAGTTTTTAACATAGGAATCTGCCTTTTCCACTATAGGCTGAAGTGCACTGGCCAGATGTTTTTCCAGCTTGCATAATGGTGAGTTAAAGGCGCTTACGATTGGACGCAGGGGAACCCCGTCCTTATGGATCTTTGGGAGCCCGTAGAATTTTGGGCAACGACTCGATTTTTCCCTCCGAATAAGTTTCTTCTTTGTATCCTCGTTTATTGATGAATCGAGAATTTTGGACTTAGTTGTTTTTTCCAAATATGTCGTGGGATATCTGGTGACTAGTTTGTATATTGGGTCGTTCAAAATATCCTCCAATTTTCCTCCGTGTTCGAAGTGTTTTCGGAGCGCGAGCATTGAAGATGCCAAGTGAGATTTTGGCGAAACGTCTGCAGGATTCCAGTCGGATGCAGGATTCCAGTCGGAGTTCAACGAGCGAACGGATAATATCCCGGAATATAGTGTCATCATATATATATATATATATATATATATATATATATATATATATATATATATATATATATATATATATATATATATATATATATATATATATATATATATATATATATATATATATATATATATATATATATATATATATATATATATAGATTAATTTTTTATGATCAAGTGGTAAATGGGGGGTCCACTTGACGTGATCTTACTCAATTGCTACGTCACTGACATATATTTTTGCAAAAGTTAACGGAATATTAACGGGGCATCCAGATAAAATATGGTTTTTGGGATTCCCAAATAAGTAATCAAAATTTTGCATTGAAGAAAGCCCGTTTATCGCAGAATGGCGTATGTTGTAGACAGTGGTTTTGTGAGATTAGTGAGTATCGTATTGAAGGCTTTTTATAATAAAAGTCCTTTATTTAACTGCGTCATGAGGTTCAGACATAAGCGTGCGAGAGTCCCACGTTCTAATCGTAGAATAGGAACACCACAGACCACCAAACAAAACCCTGATGCAACAGTGACCATTGCGCAGTATAATTTCATTTTAAAATGCCAAGACTTTGGTAAAAATATTCCGGATACGTCCTGCTATGAGTGTGGTTTGCATTACACCGTGTATAAAAAACAATGCTACGCTTATTTTAAAGGAATGTAAAGTATTGTGATAAGGTTTAAGACATTGGAATAACGGATCCAAGCGATGATTTGGAGACAGCCAAAAAATCACCACGATGATAATACCAAAAATTTGAAAAACATTGTTTATCCCAGCCTCTAGTCTGCAATTAGGCCGCTGCCACATGACCCAGATGTTCCCCAATACCTGAGAATCAAGCGAATTTAGAAGATACCACCAGTTTTAGTGATGCTGGTGATATAGGGCGTGTTTCCCAACAATCACAGTTTTTTTCACAATCAGAACTTAGTGACGTGGTGAGAGACTTAGGTTTACCTAAGGATCTTTCCGAATTTTTCGCATGTAGACTTGGAAATTACTGCCACAAGACGTTAAAATCTCTTGTAGGTCCTCAAATAAGGCGATCGATGGAAGATCGAGACTATGAATACCATGATCGAATCTTGCATCTTGAAGGTTGCAAGAAAGTCATAAAAAGTTTTCTAGGAGACAAGAAATATTGAAATTGTAAAGACATTGTAGAAAACATGTTAGAGGTGCAATATGAGTATAAAACTACACTTTTTGCTCTAACATCTGGACTACTTTCCCGAAGATCTTGGTGCCGTGAGTGAGGAGTAAGGTGAGGAGAATGTTTAAATCGTCCGAGATTTTCATTTATCAATTCCTTTGACGTAGATATAGGTTGGCACTACTGACTATTTTGACAGTCGACATCTCTTCAGCTTTTGTTATTGTTTTTGTTTTGTATCGAGTTTTTTTAAATAATAATAGTAAACTAGAGCCTAGGCCATTTTGCAAGTATCAAAAGAGTAAACCGACGTGAAATTTATACGACCCATAAGTCGGCGATAGTCATTATGCATGCGCGGAATGTTTGAGAGGCAAAGGTGATTTTTTACGATTGGTATGTTGTGTATGTTTATTTTTTGCGACGTGAGATTTATTTTTAACATTTTCATAACATTTGTTTCGATTGCCAGGTCTATATTTACGATCTTATTTACAAATTAACCGTGACCCGACATCGAAAACAAAACAGGTTAGTATACATGTCATGACATAAAATTACGTGTGTATACATACTATTAGGGATTTATTTCGGAAAAGATCGATTAAAAAAAAATCCTACGTAGAATGTCTCAAAAAAAAACGAAAAAGGTTATTAGGTACTTTTTGGTTTTAAAACCCGGGATTGTTTCTTGATTTGGTATTCGCTCCGTGTATGGGGCCTAGTAGCGCCGCCCACGAAAAGAAGGAATTACATTGTCTTTACCTGTTAATTTATAAATAAAACAATTAACAATAAATTTTGAGATGGATAAGTAGTATAAAGTGATTTAAACGAAAGGTACGTGAAAATTATATATTAACAAATTTTTTTTCTGTAATTAAAATGTGTAACAAACAAATAATAATGGTTTTTTTATTGACAGCATAACCTGAAAATATGGCATCGGTAATATTGCAGACCTGGTTTGAAAATATCTCCCATTCAATAATTTTCACTGCAGGTACGCTAGAGAAAGGAAAAAAATGGCTTTTTGTCATATTAAACACATTGAAGAATACGTTGGTGGCAATATTAACAATAAGTTAATTGCTAAATGCATTCGGCAAACGTCCGTCACTGAAACACCATATAATTTACAGATTACAGAAAAAAAAATCGTCAAACTTTAAAAGCGGCTTTTTTACTTGATTCTTTAATTTTTTTTTTTGCTGAATAGTAAAAGGGAGGTGGTACATGCTCAATGTACTTGCATTGCCAAAGAAACTGGCGAATGCAAACATATTGCGGCATTTATCCACCGAATAAACAATGACCGGAGTGTGTCTAAAACGAGTGTTCAGCAAGAGTGGGGATTTCCATCAATTAATCATTTAGCGAAGGAGGAGCTACGGTAAAAAGTGCTTAAAAATCCTCCTCAGCCACTGCACTTGACTTTGGAAGACTTTGACGATATCGAATGCCCAATTAAAAAAAGGTTAAAAGTCGATCATATTAGTGAGGAAGAACAAGTCTGTACGGTGGTCATGATTATATGTCTCGAAGAACAACAGGTAGAACTGATATCAGAGTGTACGAAAAAGGTGATTGCTTGTTTTTTAAAGAGTGCTGGTCAGTGTATCACCATAGGGAAAGACAAGTTGGCTCTGTCATCTAAGATAGCACAGTTTTACAGAGACCGGATACTATTACACAGTGAAGAAGTTTTCACATTGTGTTTACAAACCACACAACAAAGCAAAGTAGAATGGTTTGAAGCAAGACGTGTACGCATAGCGACCAGCGCAAAAGCTCATAAGATAAAAACAATAACTCGCACTTCAGCTGAATCTCTACTACAGGATTTTCTGCATCCGAAAAGTTTAAATTATGGAATTCAAAATGAGGTAAAAGCTCGCGAAAATTACAAATTACTGCATGACGTTCACGTATTTCAAATTGGATTATTTGTGTCTCCCAAACAGGCCTGGTTAGGAGTCTCAGTAGATGGAATAGTAGTCAGTGACGGCATGGTAACTAAAATAGTCGAAATAAAATGTCCAATATCATGCAAATCGATACCAATATGGGTAAAGAAACAAAAAAATTTAATGTCGGCTATATTGAAACTGTAGCTAGGGGAAAAGTCCAATTAAAAAAGAACCATATTTATTATATTATATATTATATTATTTACGAAGGTTGAATTCATTTCTTTATGAAAATCAATCTGTACAGCAACATCTTTAAACCGCGGTTGCAGTGAGTCAATAATAACTTCACTACATTGCTGTATATCCATATGATCATTCAGGTTATCGGTATCCTTATTGTCGTTGAAGTCATCGTTAAGTGTTCTTATATTAACAAGCTTAGTGTTGTCCATTTCGGAACCATTTGAATTTTGATTCTCCGCATTGCTCTCGCGAATCTGTAATCGAGAAATCCTATATTTTTTAGTAAAATGAACATCTACGATTCAATTAATTTTTCATATCATCCTTTGTACAAACGTGGGTCTTTTACGTCCAGCCGTTTTGTATCTACTGATCTCGGTCCAAAAATTATGTACAAAATTACTGTTAACGTTACTAATTGTCAATCCGATATATCGATTATAATTTTACGAAACCAGTAGAGAAACTTCTTGAAATGTACGTGGTTTACTCAATAAATATTACATTAAGGACAAATGAAAAATTTTACGACCAACTAAACGGCAAATGTAAAGCAAAAAATATAGTTTTTCGTGGAAAAAAAATTTGCGATTTTGTTTTCTTTTTTTAATGTTAATTACATGGCCGGTGCAAAACATACCCACGTTTTTAAATCAAGGTTTAATAAATAGAAAAATTACCTGCTTTGTGCTTGTACTTGCTCTGATTGATTTATATTTCCTGATCGCCTCGTTCTAACCATTTTTTATTTATAATTAAAAGCCATTTAAAATTATTTATATTTTCACTTTTAATCACACTACTCATTAGAGTGTACGAACATTTGGAGTGCAAAGATTCGACTGACGCTCACGAGGATCGCTGGCATCCAATTTTTTCTTGACCACGCCCCCCACACAGAGCCTATAGTATGTCTCAATCTTAAATAAATAAAACTTGAACGATATTATCTTATTTTATCCTTATTTATCCTTACTTGAGTGACCAGGCAGGGGTGGGCCATCATCATCATCATCACCGTAATGCACGCTGGGTCAGAATACGAACTTGTTCAAAACTGATAACTGTTGTCTTCAAAAAATATTATGAATTCTAACTTGGATTATTGTGATATATATGATATGAAAATTGGTTTCAAAACAGTCTTTTAAAAGATATTTCCCTATAACAGTGTTATTATCGTGGATGACTCAAGCTAGCACAGCCGTCTGCTACGCAAAGCACCAGCCTCGATAGGAATATTTGTTAGAAAATGATATTTATTTTGAATTCAGTTACAAAAAATCCCAATTTTTGGAAATCTTAAATTCATATGCAATTAGAAAACAGTATATATACGATAATTTGTCTGAACATATCATTGTATGTTTAACTCCATGGAGCATTAGTGGAACCAAGAACTTCCACTTTTTTGTCTAGCAATTTCCGCCTTACCGATGCCACTCTCAATACTCCTGATAATCTCTATCTTTTCTTTTACAGTTAAAGACTTGCGAAGATCCGCCATTTTAACCGTAAACTTAAAAAATCATGCTAGCGCACCTTTCCATAAAACAATAAAGTGGAAACTGTTGGCCAGACATGCACGTTGGAGAAAAAACATCGTAAAAAATCCGATAATCCGGTTTTAGCGTACACTCGTACTTTATAACCAGGACAATAGTGAAAATATTGTACTTTATAAACGTAGCAGAAGTTATATATGGTACGTAATATCCGATGAAAAATCAAGAGTACGGAAGTACGTTATATCCCATGTACACCGTGTGCCAAATAAAACGACTCACTGTACGATCGGGAAACCCATAGGAGATACGAAAAAAGTTTCTTGGACTCTCCTGAAGATTTAAAATCAACTTTGTTATTTAAAATGGAACACCCCGTATATATCGACATTTTTGGAATCCTTGATTAAAGTTAAGGTCACTTGCTTAAGAAACTCCTATTCGAATTTTGCATAGTTTGGACTGAAATTGAGGTTATGTGTTGTTTTTTTCATATCATAAGCTTTGATTGAACTTAAATTTTCGCAACAACATTAATTAAGGTTTTATGGTCATTTTTCGGTATATATAGTAGCAGGTAGTTTTTTTAATTGAATTCGCAAAAACGGTATAACCTATTTGGGACACCCTGTATACGGTAAGAGGCATCTGTCAAACTGATTGAGTAGTGCATCATCTCCTTAGTCGGTGGTTAAATTTTTGTTGCAATATCTGAATCGGTAGCGTCACGACGCAATTTTATATGGCAAATATGAAAAAAAAACACATAACCTCAATTTCTGCCTAAACTAATTACGCTTTCAAGATCGTGCAGTGGGTCGTTTTATGTGGCACACGGTGTCCGTTATACACGCAGTTTACTGTATTTAATTGTGATTTTTCTATGTAATTTTTTAATTTTTTGGGAACTCTGCAACACTGCGACGCATACGCCGTCACTGATACGACTTCTTCGGTTACTTTCCGGACATGACACCATCGATTCATTGCAGATTGGTCGACGAAAATTGTTTCCCCTACGTCGGTAACACTACGTCGTGTCGCATCAGAAGGTTCGGAGATCTAGCGACCGCGGGCTGTACGGCTCCGCGCTACAGCGAGAGGACAGGAAGGTACAAGGTGGGTCCTTCGTACAAGCTGGGCAACGAGACGGACATCATGTACGAGATGATGAGGTCGGGTCCCGTTCAAGGTGGGTATCGTCGGTAAAAATACTGGGTGTTTTCTAATTGAATTTCAATAATTAAGTGGCAGTGGCGTACCGTCAGTTTAAATTTACGGATACAGTTAAGACGTTTGGGACATACGTTCCTATGAAGTTTTCTTTTTAAAATGGACCCGAAAACCGCCCCCTTAATCAATTAGAAACCACCCCGTATAATCCGGCTCGAACTACCAATGAATTGATTTTTATTTTCAGCTACTATGAAGGTCTACCATGACTTCTTCTCCTACAGTAACGGAGTTTACAGGCATACTGATTTGACTTTGGCCCGTAAACAGGGATTCCACTCGGTGAGGATCGTAGGATGGGGCGAAGAATACACCGCATCCGGGTTGCAGAAATATTGGGTGAGGAAGCGATAAATGGCGGTGTAAATAAATTTCTCTATATTTTTCATAGAATCTTTATTTTAATTTAGCTACTGAAAAGTGTTGTGTTGTTATATTTTTTCGAAATTATTGTTAATCTTGGTGACTTTTACTGGATGAAAATCACATTACTTTTTAAAACAATTTTTTTTTCGATTTTTGGTTTTTACTCCAGCAATTTTTAATTTTTTGTCTATAGTTTCTTATCTCCACCAATTATTCACTTATTCGCTTAGCTTTTAATTTCCAATAATAATAATATTAATAATAATAATATTGATAATGATAATGACAATGATAACAATAATAATAAAAGGACTTTTGATCCAAAAAAATATATAAACAAAATTATCTATTGCCCAGGAAAAAGTCAATACAACAATTCCCTAGCTGTCTATTCAGCTAATTTATGCATTAACTAATAATAATTATTATTATTATAGTAATAATAATAATGATAATAATAATAATAACAACAGATTTTTGATCCAAAAAAATAAATAAATAAAATTATCTAATGCCCTGGAAAAAGTCAGTACAACAATTCCCTAGCTACCTAGTCAGCTAATCTATGTGTTAACTTATAAACTAGGCACCAAGATAATACTATTTACAAAGGAGAATCAAAAGAAAGAAATTTCTATATGTTATATTTGTTATAAAGGCGCATTGGTTGACATTGACAAGGAACAAATAAATACTGCCAATGGAAAGGATGATATGTGAACGTTGTTTACTAATTTTGCTTTTTACTAAAATCTGAATGAATGTTTTAGATTCAAAGCCACGGTCGGTTTATAAATAGGCATTTTACAAACGGGAGTAGAAAAACATATTTCCGTATTTTGTCATTCCTGCAAAAACGATTAAATCGGGTACAAAGTTGACATGAAAAATACTACTAAACAAAAAAAAAACAAAAACATAACAAAGTTTAAAGTCAATTAGAGCCACCGTATACTAAATTTCATAAATTTTAGTGTGCTAATTCCCGAAGTAACTTTGAATTTCTACCTACATCACCGTTTAAATCAAATTTTTGGATTTTTTTCGATTTTCCACAAAAAAAATCATTTCCGGAAATCAAAATAATTCAAAAAATATTTGTCGTCTCTTTTTTTTTTTTGTAGGCACTTGACGCGGTATTTTTCGACCCTATCATTAATTTTCAATTATATTCCAGAAAGTGGCAAACAGCTGGGGCACCGACTGGGGTGAGAACGGTTACTTCCGAATCCTGAGAGGGTCGAACGAGTGCGACATCGAGTCGTACGTTTTGGGGGTGTGGCCTGAAGTGGACAGAAAGATCCTGACCGCTTCACCACTGTGGACGCGCTCTTAACTAACGATCTCGGCCGAGCTGTCAGTCAAGTGAAACGATTCCCCCATTTTACGCCACATTTCATGTCTCTGTATTAGCAACAACACTGCCAGCGGATCGGAAACTCATTAGAAAAGAAGCCGCTTTTTTACCATTTTGATCTGACGTGTTCTTAAAACTGCCCTGTAAATATGTGTTCACGATACTCGAAGGCCGTTGCCCTATTTATTTTATGTACCCGTAATCATCTCTCTTTTCAATAAGGTTGTAAGATAAAATTTGTTTTTTATTTCTATACCTTTTACGTGTTTACAGTTTCATATCGTGCGTTTATCAATTAACTTTAATGTATATATAAAACAATAAATGCGACAAATTGTGTTTGTTACGGCCGTAGTTTCATTCTCCCGTCTTCATGATTTTGATGAGCCCTTCGATGTTGTTGTTCTTAATCGCGTTCCTGCAGTTCTGGACCATCGTCGCAGCATTTCTACCGACTGCAAAGGAATACGTGTTTTTAGCAATTTTTTTACTGGGTTCTTTTGAGAAAAGGCCGTCTCTAAATGACGCTAAAAAGCTTATACGAGGTGTATTCAAAAAGTAAGGTGAGTTTTTTTGTTACGTCGGTAAAGTCTGTTTATAGATATAAGAAAGTGACTAACTGATACGAATTAAGGAAAGACCCGGACAAGTTGTAAGAATATTCGATAAATCTCGATAGTGAATTTTATACGATTATGTAATGAGTTAATGTAATTTAAAAAAGAATTCAATTGTCTGTCCGTTCCAACAAAGCAAGCAAAGACATCGTCCACATATCTGTACCACCATAAAAAACTTTTACTAAAGGATGTTCTAGTATGATATTTTCCAAATTATCCATAAAAATCTCGGCTAACAAAGGACTAAGTGGGTTTCCCATAATCAAACCTTTTTTAGAGATATACATCTGTCCATTAAATTCAAAGCAATCTAATAAATCTCGTTTCACCAATGGGTTAACCTGTCTCCGAGTTAGGGTGAAATCTACTAAATCTATCACATCCATAGGTGGAATACTGGGAAATAAGTTTTGTACATCAAAAGACAATAGTGTTGTGTTAGAAGGGATTTTGATATCTTTAATTTTGTTGATTAATTCAAAAGAATTTTTTATTGCAAATTTTGGTTTAAAATCTGTGTGGAACTTTAAAATATTTACTAATTTTGTAGAGTGTAACTGCTGGAGCTGTTACATAAGACACTTTAATGGGCATACCTTGTTTGTGTAATTTAACTAAAGAATATAATTTGGGCGGTTGTGGATTCATAATTGTTAAAAAATATTTGTCTCTGTCACTAAATAGGGTGGAGTTAGTAATTACATCCTTGACTTGTCTTTGATATAACTCAGTAGGATCGTGTTTGATGCAAAGGAAAAGTTCTGGTTTAAGAAAATTGTTTGTTGTTTTTGAAATATATTCTGGGAGATCGATAGCTATGACTGTTATTTTCAGAAGCTTTGATTGAACTTAAATTCTCGCAACAACATTAATTAAGGTTTTATGGTCATTTTTCGGTATATATAGTAACAGGTAGTTTGTAAATATTACATTTGATAAAGACACGGTGTTGTCGAAAAAAATTTCGTGAAAATCTGAACTTTTAGTTCTTATTTATTTTGATAAATGGATTTTCATCAAGTAAAAGCCACCTCAGTTCAACATATGTTTAGTCATATATCGGGGAAGCCAAAAGACCTTTAAAAGTTAGACTTGAACAACATCGGAAACACAATGAGGGATGAAATCCAAACGTCTGGAATCGCGGAACTTCTATGGACAAACAACATTACGTCAAGTGGAACAGCATTGTAAAAAGCGAAAGTTTAAGGAATGCGCATTCATTAAAGCAAGGGAAACATTTTTAGCAATCCAAGCGTGAAAATATCTGCGATCTCTTAGTATTTCTGTAAAACGGATCATCAACCCTAGTAACCAGACGATATACTTTGACACACACTTTACTTGCCTCTTAATCTAGAAGCATTTTGGATAATGGTGTTGATCTTCTTCATCGTTTCCAAGCCTTCGTTGTAATTTTGCACTTTGATATTGTAACCTCCAATTATTTCCTTGTTCACGGCGTTCAGTTCGTGATAACAGTCGGCCATGTCTTTTCTAAAACAAACGTCGGGCTTGACGGCGCCGAACGATGACGTCAAATCACTCACGTGTCATTTATTCGACTGTCTTCGGCCCTAATGACGAGGTTGCGGATGGTGTTCAACTTATCAGCGACGTCGGTACCCAAACGTAGGCGCGTTTCTTGGATGTCGCCCAATTTTTGCATTAGATTTTTGATGTTCTCTTCGTCACGTGGAAAACAGGCCACCGACTGCAATTGTTATTGCGATTTGAAACACGATCCGACTAGGAAACTGGCACTAATGTCCCGGAATTATTTTTTGTGGCTTTTAACAGCCATTTTTGACTACTTTTAACTAAATTTACCCAAATTTTGACTATTTATAATGTTATATAAAATTATTATACTTATTTACTATAAAGCATTTTTCCCCCGGGGGCCGCCTTGCCTCACCCTCCCCTACCTTTTAATGAAATATTTTCAAATTGAAATAACGAAAAATGGCAATTGCCAAAAAAAAGTAAAAGTACTACTGAGCAAACTTTAACTAAATTTACCCAAATTTTGGAGAAGCTTCTGACCATCGTGTCCCACTCTTACCTATTAATAGTGTTATACATAATAATCATAATTATTTATTAAATAAAAAAAAAGGTTACTGACTAGTAACTATTTTTCTATCGGTTAAAATATTTGTTATCGGTATTTATAAGATTTTCGAAAGCTCTGGCTGTAGACTAAATCCATAGAAATATCCAAAAATGACACATTCAATAAATTATTTATGATTCGGTTATAATAATACTGAATAGTATTTTTTAGAATTTATATGCGGTACATTAACCCTGGCATTACGCAAAGCGACAAAAATATGCAAGTTAAATGCTATTTCTTACAATAATTGAAAATCAGTTAAGCTTTTCAAAAATATGTATTTGTATATCCAATTTTTTTCATTCTTTACTTTATGTATTTGTAGCAATAAGATACATCTAAACAGTTATTACTATACAAGAGAATCTTTTCTTTATTTCCAAAAAAAAATGTCTTATTAATGTTTTAACAAATTAAAAGCAAAAACCAAATGTGTCAAAAACTTACGAGACTGTCAGTTTTTAATTATATCTTTATTCCCTATCCATTCGTACGTTCTGTGTTTATTTCATTTTAATTAATTTTCTGTAATAATGGCAGAGTATCAAATTCTAAAAAATATGATATGTTGGTATGTTTCATACATTGCAATGAAAATGCCCAAGAAGCTTCGGAATTAGGAGTGCTAAAAATGTACCAAAATTTATAATTCTAATAACGAAAAAAAAATTGCCCCCTGCAATTTGCCTCCATCCGTGAATATATATATATATATATATATATATATATATATATATATATATATATATATATATATATATATATATATATATATATATATATATATATATATATATATATATATATATATATATATATATATATATATATATATATATATATATATATATATATATATATATATATATATATATATATATATATGATGACACTATATTCCGGGATATCATCCGTTCGCTCGTTGAACTCCGACTGGAATCCTGCATCCGACTGGAATCCTGCAAATCTTGCATCCGACTGGAATCCTGCAAATCTTGCATCCGACTGGAATCCTGCAGACGTTTCGCCAAAATCTCACTTGGCATCTTCAATGCTCGCGCTCCGAAAACACTTATATACATATATAAGGTATGGGAGCATTTTAAATAGACCACCCTGTATACTGCACATTTAATGCAATTACTTCTGTACCTCTAAACGATCCAAATTCAAAAACGTTGCCAGCGATTGCACCAAATCGGCGGCCAAAAACATATTCTCTGTGTAAAAGGTGATCTTGCCGGTAGTCTCGAAGACCAGTTTCAAATCCGAATCGTCCCTCAGACACTTCAGGTTGACGGTCAAGTTCGGCCCGGACTCGAATTCGATATCTGTGGCCAGCAGGAAATTCTGGTTTATCCAGATGCACATCCTTTGAACCCTATCGTTGGCCTTGAATTGTACGAAGGAGTCGCATGTTGTTCGACTGATGCCGGCGTTAAGGGCGTACATGGAAAACTGAGGCAATTGCTTCGTGATTTCGAATATGTGAAACTGGATACTGTTGGGATAGCCGACATGAGCCTGGAAAAGTTTCATTGTCACTATGGCAGATTTTTAAAAAATGCTATCAATGTTATCGCATTATACTAAAGTAAATAATCTATTGCTGTATGAGCGATGAGCTAGTAAACCTGAAACATCATAGATAGACTAGTTCATGTATTCTACTTGTACACTAGTTGCCCATTCTTTCACTGTTTTACTGCTATTAAAATTATCTTGTAGCTTACACTAAATATTGAGTAAAACCGTTTAATTTAATTATAAGTAGTTAAGTACTACACGTGTTTTACCTTTTGTTATAAAGACAATTATCACTGTAATCATAAGCATTTTTTTGCACGCTTCTGTGTTTTTTATTTCAACTCCTATTTTCTTTATATTGTGGCTTTTACATGGATATGTAAATGTAAGTATTATTTACACATTTAAATAAAGGTTATTATTATAATTATTAGAAATATAATACAAATATTAATAATATTAATTAAATTATAATTAGTTAAGTATTACACGGTGTTATTTTTTGTTATTTTGTTATCACCGTAATCATAAGCATTTTTTTGAACGCTTCTGTGTTTTTTTTTTCAACGTCTATTTTGTGGCTTTTCCATGGATATGTTAATGAAAATATTATTTACACATTTAAATAAACGTTATTATTACTTATATATCACTAATATTATTAATATAAATAATATTAATTAAATTATTAGTAGTTACTATTACACGTGTATTAGTTTTTGTTACAGAGAAAATTATCACCGTAATCATAAGCATTTTTTTGAACGCTTTTGTATTTTTTTTTCAACGTTTATTTTCTTTATAGTGTGGCTTATCCATGGATATTTTAATGAAAATATTATTTACACATTTAAATAAACGTTATTATTACTTACATAACACAAATATTAATAACATAAATAATATTAATTGAATTATAAGTAGTTAACTATTACAGGTGTTTTAGTTTTTGTTAGAGAGAAAATTATTATTATATTGTTACTTTTCCATGGATATGTTAATGAAAATATTATTTACACATTTAAATAAACGTTATTATTATAATTATTACTAACATAACACAAATAATATTCAATAAATTATAAGCAGTTAACTATTACACGTGTGTTAGTTTTTGTTACGGAGAAAATTTTCAAATTATTTTCTTTGTATTGCGGCTTTTCCATTTATATGTTAATGAAGTTGTTATTTACACATTTAAATAAATGTTATTATTATAATTATTAATTAATTAATTAATAATATTAATTAAAATATAAGTAGTTAAGTATTACATGTATGTTTTTGATACAGAGACATTTATCACCACAATCATAAGCACTTTTGAATGTTTCTGTGTTTTTTTTCAACGTTTATGTTCCTTATATTGTGACTTTTTCATTAATATGTTAACAAAAATATTATTTACACATTTAAATAAAATTTAAATTTACGTTATTATTATAATTATTACTGATTAATATAACACAAATATTAATAATATAAATAATATTAATTAAATTATAAGTAGTTAACTGTAATACGTGTGTTAGTTTTTATTACGGAGAAAATTATAACCGTAATCATTAGCATTTTTTTGAACGCTTTTGTGTTTTTTTTTAACGTTTATTTTCTTTATATGGATATGTTAATAAAAATATTATTTATACATTTCAATAAACGTTATTATTATATTTATTACTAATAGGACACAAACATGGTATCTTTGTGAAGGAAATCCAACATTTTGCTGCCTGTTATATGTGTTCTAATCCAATGTTATTTGTACTGTGAGTGTACTGACCAAGTGATAATCTGTGGTGAATAGTAACCAATGAATACACGCACGTGGGTAGGTGATAATTGCTTTATATTGCAGGGTACTGCTAAGAAGCCATGAGGAGTGTTATTTTAATTTATAATCAGTTAATAAGTTAATAATAGAAAACTCCTGAATTTTACAACGGGTGCATTGATATTAGTCCCGATGAACGACAATACAGAAATAAATATTGAAAGGTCAAAATGGAAATTTCCTACCCAAAATTAGATAAAATTTGCAAATATAAAATAGAATGGAATAGAATAGAAACGCTTTTATTTTGAACTTAACTAAGGTAGTAACAATTAATAATATTTAGATACAGTGTGAACATACCCTTGATCATGTAATTACCCCGGATCCCAATTTACTTAACAAATTGGAGCTTGATTCCTCAAACGGCAAATCTGTCATTATTGAGTTTTGTATTCAAGCAATAATCGCAAAATGTTATTTCCCCGTACATCGAACTTTCCTTTTAACGACGTTAACGATGAGTGGACATATTTTCTATCTACTCTGGATTATTACATGGGCACAAGCTCCAAAACTCATTTTTTTAAGTTCAATTCTGAAAAACCTTGGTTAACTGGACATCTGTTCAAACAAATAAAACATAAGAGAGCTCTGTGGTGTAGATTTGAGGTCTAAGGCTCTGCTTCCGATTATGCTTTGCACAGAAGAGTTTCTAATACAATATCCTTGCAGATTAGAGAGGCGAAGTCAGTATTCGAAAATGACCTCCTCAATGGAACCAAAGCGTTTTATTCCTATGTCAGACAACACGTATCGTCTAAGGTATCCCTTCCTGTCATTAGAGATACCTCGGGAAAGGTCTCCTATAACCAGGACTTCATTTCAAATGAATTTGCCAGTGTCTTCGCTGATGAACCAGTTAACCTACCGTCTCACTATGGGGGTTCTATAAACCTAGATTTATTATAAGATATTCACTTTGACCAAGAGGACGTGAAAAAGACTCTGAGTTAAAAGAATATCCTGCTCCCGGACCTGATGGAATTTAAAATAAAATCTTAAAAGCGTGTGGCCCTGTGCTTGCAGAGCCTATTTATATTATTTTGAGAAAATCTTTGGAGTCTGCCACACTCCTGATCCAGTGGTATCCGCAAATGTAACACAGATTTATAAAAAAGTGATAAGCTCGATGTTTCAAATTACTGCACTATCAGCCTAGTGTGTATTATATGTATTATATTAAAGTTCTTGAACGCCTTATAGTAAATCTGTTACCGTTTTTGATCGACTGCCATATTATACCTACATTATAGTGACATTATCTCTTCACTCAGATGATCCGGTGGATATTATGTACCTCGATTTCAGCAAAGTTTTTGACAAAGTGCCACATCGACGCTTGTTATTCAAACTTGAAAAGGTCGGAGTGGGGGGTAAACTGCTAGAGTAGATAGCGGCGTTTTTAAGCCACCGGTCGTTCAGAATTCGAATTGGTCACGCTTTTTCACTGCCACAAAACGTGTCTAGTGGTGTTCCCTAGGGATCGGTACTGGGACCAGTGCTATTCTGAGTGTATACCGTGGGTTTGCTCTACAGCATTGATTCTCATGTGAGCGCTTATGCTGATGACACTAAATTATTTGAAAATCCTTCAACACATGCGGACGTATTGCAGAGAGACTTTAATACTATTTCCAAGTGGTGTTCAACTTGCTATTGACGCTGAGTGCTCAAAAGTGCTCTGTGCTGCATGTTGGCAAGAACAATGCCGGTTTGAACTATTCTATCAATGGAAACTTTGTGTCAAGTGTAGATTCTCAGATGGACCTAGGTGTGACAGTAACTAATGATCTTGCGTGGTCTGTAGATGTATAAAATATTGCAAATAAAGAAAACTGCGCATTATTTTTGTTAAGAAGAGCTTTTAAAAATCCTATTCCTCGCATCGCTTGCAGATTTTTACCACTTACATTCGCCACATCCTGGAATTTGCTTTCCCAGTCTGGAATCCTTGACTATTGCGTGATTGTGATGTTCTGGAAAGAGTGCAACGAGCCGCTACGCGCTGGCCACTTCAACCTAGATATACACCTTACGATGACCGTTTCAAAATACTTAGTCTGCCAACATTAAGTCAGCGTCGGCTGCGAGGGGATCTCATTTAAATGTATAGGTTTGCGCATGACCATTTCCATGAAGGCCTACGTGGTCATCCATTTAAAATAGGAAAGGAACAATTCAGGACTTCACATCGCCTGCATTTTATAATTAATAGGGCGGATTATTGAAACAGATGTTGTGTGTGTGCCGAATTTATATGTATTTATATGTCTCTTGGACAGTGTACTGTTTCACAACAATAACTAAATATTTATTATATCTATCAATGTGCAAATTAGGTTTTCCTCTGCACTTCTTTGTAACACAGACCGATACCTCAATGCATTGTCACACCACCATCCGGAACAAAAATCACCGTTTATGAACTCTCTTGTTTACGGAGGCATAAAACTATCTCAACCCGAGTCACTGAACCCAGAATTAAAACATCTTAAATCTGTTAAACACCTGCCAAAGACAATGACCACATATCAAAAGTTTTCAAGAAATGTAACGTTAAGTTTAGGTTATGTTCTGAAGAAATGTAAACAGTAAATGTAAATTAATGAGAACTTGAAGAACTCTAACGTTTGCTTACGTTGATGTGAATATCAGTGGCGTTGTCTTTCGGAATGTAGAGGGGGACGGCGAGGTCCGACGATAGTTTGGCCACATCCGGATGCACCACGTGACTTTCCCCTTTGAAGATACCTTCCGCGAAAATTACCAGAGCCCTTATCACCGTCGAATTGTTAGTCGACACGAATACCTCGACGCATCCCTGAAACGACCGAAGAAGTCATGAAGATTTTCCCAGTATCGCCCAGGTTTCCGTACCCACTTTTCCGTCCCCTTTACCGAACTTGGTTGTGACGATCAGTTGCAGCCTGGTGTTCGCCGGTATCACACCACTAGTTTCGAAACTCTCCGTTTCCCCTTCGGCGTGGCTGTTGTACCTCGCGTTGCTTTCGTAATGCTTCAGTTCCATCAAAAGGGCTTGTTTCTGCGACAGCAGGTCCCTGACGGTTTCCTGCTGCAGGGATGTCTCGAATCCGGCGGTTTTCGTCACGCAATAGCCGCGAACTATACAGGGCGATCGTAAATTGAGTTCGGAAAGTTGGAGGAAAGATTTGACGTGATAAAATAATGGTATTCGAAAGCCTTTGATCGACTTGACCGTAAACTTATGTGCGCCGAATTGGGTTACTACGGCTTCGATGATGGTTCGACTCGATTTTTTTGAAAACTACTTAGCTAACAGATATCAGAGAGTTGCCCTCGACAATGTAAGTTCTCATTTCCCCCTGTTTCTGATATTTATACATCCATCGAATATTTGAATTTGCACTCATTTGCTGATGACACTCAGCTATTTTACTGCTTCGATCCTAAATTATTTGATATTGCGTCAATTTATATCAATTTGTATTTCAATAATTTGTTTCTATACTCTTCTAGGCATAATCTTCAACTTACGAGGGCAGCGCCAAAATTTCTCGTCTTGAATATGAAATAAACAAAGTAGAGTAACAATTCACTTATTATATCTCTTTATTAACAAGTCAATCCCTTTAAAAAAATATTCATTTTTTGTCTGCGAAATGAGCTAAAACAGCCTCTTTTAACTCAACTTCGTCGTTAAACCGCCGTACACGTAAGTCCTTTTTCAAATATCCAAACAAATAATAGTCGCTGGGGCCGATATCTGGACTATAGGGAGGATGATCTACCTGTTGGAACCCACACTCTAAAATGGCAGCTTGTGCAACACCAGCAGCATGGACAGCTGCATTATCGTGCAAAAGACGCACGCATTTCTTTGATTAATTGATTCTATGATTTTTATTTTTATGACTTCATCGTCGAAAAGTGATAAACAAACAAGTTTTTCAGATAAATACCAGAGATGAGCACTGAACTTTTTCGAAGCTGCTGCAGAAATGTTTTTATTAAATGTGTTATATTGCAAAAAATTTTTCAAGAATTCCAAATCTTGTCGAGGACCTTGAATTGGCGGTGGCGCACCGTGCCATGCTTTTATATACAATAACGTTATAAAAATGCAAATGTGACGAAGTGCTTCACTCTCTTCACTGTTAAGTTTATTTTATTCCATGTATTATTATAAATTTCGTAACTTTTCAGCACTGTTTCGTACTTGCATCAGTGGGACTTTCGTTTAACTCCAATTTTTAAACATTGATTCAGTGGTTTACCAAGAGGTTTATAATTGTACGTCAACAAACTCAAAACTTACTGATTAGTTGGTAATTTACGCTGAGATAAAATTCTACGTTCATAGCCAAGTAGATAAATGTTTCACTATTTGCCATTTTGGTTATATATGAGTCTGCTCACTCACTCTTACTCTTTGGTTACGACCTTAGTTACTGCGATCATTCCATCTGACATTTATAACAACAATAAAAAATAAACAGTGAGCTTTGATTAAAATTGTCAACAATCAGTGCTAGTTGATACGATTGGAGAGTAAAAACATCTGTTTACAACAATGGAGGTATAGACGGAAAGCAGCGCCGCCACGGTACAAAATAGAACTAAAACTAGAATAATAAAATATTAACAAAAATGTAAATTTAATTTACTTGAGATTTTATTTTATAATAATTATTAATTGAAATTTATTTCTCTCTATTTGATTCAAAAATAATTTTGGGAATTGGAAACCTGAATGAAGCCGCTATTGCACTTAAACCCTACCCTGTGGCAAATTTTTTTGTTTTCTATAAAGTATGAGATTTTCAGGTAGCACAGAGAAAAAAAATATCGCCTAAAAATGAAGCACCCTAGTGTAAAATACCAGTTAATTCCATTGAGAAATAAGCCCACTGCTGTATAGTACATAAATTATCGACGTAGAAACTTGGTTTAGTCGCAAAAGTTTTACCTTCCCCTTCGGATGACACGCAAATAAGATCGCTCTTGCCCAAAGATCTGTAATCGCCTTGAACGATGCCCGCTATACCGGCGGTGAATGAGTCTTTGAAGATTACTTCACCGGTAGTGATGGATCTGCAGTCGATTTTGCCGTTGGACCAACCGGTGATTAGCTGGGGTTGAGTCTGACCCAGCAGATCGTACGGGTGAATAGCGACCGCGAAATTTTTCGACTGAAATGGGATATTTTCATCTCAATGATCCCAATGTTTGAAATTACGAGTTATTTGGTGATTGTCTTTGCGGCATTCCAGAAGAAAAAGAAGGAGAATTTATTTAACCACATATTGTACAATAATAATACAATTGTAAGCATAAAGGTGTAAAAAAAACGTATTTTATAAATAACGCACTAGCGAACAATAACAAATGTAAAGGTCAACAACACTAACACGGAGTATAAAAATCGTACAGAAAGTGCAAGATAGAATGCTATGATCTTCACACATTTCAGTAAGCCAAGGATTTTAATTTAATTTCTTTATTTTGATGGAGTACTCGTCCACACTATAGAAACAATTTTCAATAAGCAACAGTTTAATATTTGTTTTGAACACCTCCAAAGTACCTATCCGGCAGCATTTGTACAAGTTAATGTTTAAAGAATTTTTGTTTGCTGGAACAAGTGCTTTGGAACTCATATAAGATTTAGTTGGATAACTATGAGACACACCTTCAAATATATTAGTATGTTTGTGAATTTCTAAAAGATTATGGCGAATATAGATACAAGGCAGTGTCATTATCTTATATTTTTTTGAAATATGGACTGCAGTGTTCAGTGTGCTTAGCCCCAGCAAGAATTCTTATAGCCCTTTTCTGTATCCTCGATATTTGAACAGCATTGACAGAGTTTCCCCATAGTATTGTGCCATATGATATGTGGGAAGGAAATAAAGCATAATACACTGTCTAGGCTGTCCCTAATTTTTCTAAGGACCAATAAGCTGGAAGATAGTTTTCGCTTAAGAGATAAAATATGTTCTTTCCAGTCAAGTATACCATCAAGTGTAATGCCAAGTAATTTTGCCGTTCGCCGTTGTTGTATTTATCTATCTAGCGAAAAAAATTGTTTTTGTGTTTTGTCCGTATTCAATTTCAGAGTTAAAAAAATAAACGTGTATTCAACGATAGCATGGTTTGTTGGTGTAATTAATAATCATAATATAAACAATAGAAATACCTTAAATATGAATTATGGTTTATGGTATACCATTTGGTTTTTCGAGTGTTGAACTGAGGTGGATTTTACTTGATGAAAATCCATTTATCAAAATAAATAAGAACTAAAAGTTCCGATTTCCACGAAATTATATATTTTTACATGACAACTGTTTCGACAACACCCTGTCTTTATCAAATGTAAAATTTGAAAACTACCTGCTACTATATATACCGAAAAAAGACCATAAAACCTTGATTAATGTTGTTGTGAGAATTTAAGTTCAATAAAGGAGAGGTATTTAAATCTAACTGATCGTTAAGCAATACATTTCCGGAACCGGCAAAGGTCGGATGTCAAACACCTGCGTACCTTCACTCTCCAAGTACGGAGGTCACGCTCGTAGACGCCGATGGTGCCGTTCGACACAGAGTAAGCGAACTTGTTTTCAGGCAACACAACCAAACCAGTCACCACTTCAGTTTCGATCTGCTCAGTGATAACACGCCTGTCTTTAAACACCCTTATTTTGTAATCTTCAGAACTGACGACGAGCTGAAACGTTTCGACCTTTAAGTTATATATATATATATATATATATATATATATATATATATATATATATATATATATATATATATATATATATATATATATATATATATATATATATATAAGGTATAGGAGCATTTTACCTGACATAGAGGCAGCTCCAGTATCACGATAAAACTTTATCTTCATTTAAATATATAACTAGTGGGCTGCGAAAGTTATACATATCGAACAATCATATAAGATGTGTATATAACAAACAATACAAACACATCATTATAACAAACATTGATTTAGACATGCGCTTCGAATTCACTTAGGCTATAAAAAGTGTTGGTTGTCAGATACATCTTGACATGTTTCTTAAATTGCTTTCTAGAAAGGTTCTTTAAGTCGGGGCCTGTGGTCCTGCATGGCCTAAAGATCTTCTACAAAATATGTGATTCGGTTTAGGCTTTAAGAGATTTTCTCTGTTACGAGTGTAGTGACAATCGTTATCAATGTGTTTCTTATGTAAATGTTTATTTTTGTGTGAAACTAGTAGTATTTTAAATAGGTATATACAAGGAACCGTCATTATTTTGTGTTGCTGAAATATTTCTTTGCAAGACTGTCTCGGAGAAAGTTTCAAAAATAGCCTAAGTATTCTTTTAGTTTACTACAAACGCGTTTTGACCTCACCTCGATGATTCATCAATGCAGGAGTCAAGAAATCTTGTGCTCTGACATTTCCCTAAGGATGTTCCAGAAAAACTAAAGGATAAGTCATATAAGGGTCTAATGTACTGGAAAGTAAATCCAAACACAACTGTCTTCTCTAATTTATGATTAAATGATTTTGCTTGCAAAATTTATTAAACTGTTCAACGGCAACAGAGACATTATTTATTAGCTCCTGAAGACCAACACGGACATGAAAACACCACAGTTACTGTTAAAGATTTCAGGTAAATCGTACACTTGTTTTTCTTTGATTCGTATACGACCTGATCCAATTATTAATAGGCCCTCTTATGGCTAAAGATTCCAGCTTTTCCGACATTTCGAAAAACGCTCCGACCACTGTCTCTCCGACATCGAGTTTATCATACGAGGTTAGCGCCAAAATTTCCCGGCCTGATATAGATGCAGCTCCAGTATCACGACAAAACTTTGTCTTTTTTTAAATATATATCTTAGTAGGCTGCGAAAAAAAAATTGAAGTCTTGCGTCAAATAGTTTTTTATTGACAGCCTTTTAAAGACGTGTCCGAAAAAGTGTCGCACATAACGCAAATTGAGTATGGAGCAGTCATAAAGTTTTTGACAAAAGAAGAGTTAGCACCTAAAATTATTAAAGAAAGACTGTATGGTGTGTACGGCCAAAGTTTTCCTTCGTATTCTGTAGTGAAAAAATGGTGAAAACGTTTTCGAATGGGGCAGGAGTCCCTTGAAGATGATCCAAGAACTGGTCGACGAGTGGAGGTCATAACGAAAGATATTGTTGCGATTGTGCAAGAGGTGGTATTGAGTGATCGACGTTTAAAGGTCAAGGAAATCTCAGAAATTACTAAGCTTTTTGATACAAGTGTTTTTCGAATCCTGCATGATCTTTTAGGTATGTATAAGGTTAGTGCAAGATAGGTTCCAAAAAACCTTTCGGCTATTCAAAACCAACGCCATGTCGAGTGTGCGCGTTCTTTTTCGGAACTATGTGAGTCGAAACCGAAACCTGTGATAGAAACTATTGTGACGGGAGATGAAACTATGGTTCTCTACTATGACCCTCTATGGAAAAAAGAATCGATGGAGTGGCGCCGTATAAGGGTGAAGCACCTCCAAGAAAATTCAGAGTCTGCCAGTCAACAAAAAAGGTGATGGCCACGATCTTTTGGGATTGTGATGGAATTCTTTTAATAGATTTTAAAGAAACTAATACCACCGTCAATGGTAAATATTACGCAACATTATTACATAAATTTCGAGACCGCATAAGTGTAAAACGCCGAGGAAAACTGACCAGAGGCGTGCGTCTTTTGCACGACAATGCGCCTGTCCACACTGCTAGTGCTGCACAAGCTGCCATTTTAGAGTGTGGGTTCCAACAGATAGATCATCCTCCCTATAGTCCAATAACTATTATTTGTTTGGATATCTGAAAAAGGACTTACGTGGACGGCGGCTTAACGACGAAGTTGAGTTAAAAGAGGCTGTTTTAGCTCATTTTGCAAACAAACCAAAAGAATATTTTTTTAAGGGGATTGAGTTGTTAATAAAGAGATGTAATAAGTGTATTGAAGTTAAAATATAAAAATATTGCTACTCTACTTTGTTTCCTTCATATTCAGGAAATATTGGCACTGCCCTCATACATAGGTATATCTAACCAGCTCCAATTTTGTTAAATTCATTCAAATGCTAATGCCACTAACATTTAACTAGAAGTGCATCTTAAAAGTCTTTCTCAATATAGTAAAAAACACAAATTTGATCCTTTGCGTGATTATATTAAAATTGAACGTCGTAAATTTACAAATGAGGTCAAACACTTAGGAGTGATAATGGACGGTCAATTAAGTGAATCTAAATAAAACAACCGCGTACCTCATCGTCTCCATCTTTGTCGTAGTCCATCAGGATAACAGAAGTGACCACGTCGCCTATGGCGACCCAGAAAATCTCGTCGCCTTGGTGGTCGAATGCTCGAACAGAAGAGTTTCCTCCGACTACGATCATGAAGGAATTGGTGTCGCTCGAAGGACCGAAAGTGACTGATCTTACTCCGTCTTCGCATTCCTTGTAGAATACGTCTTTGTTGTCGTGGACGTGATAAACCAGCAAATGGGTGGCGGTACCTGGAATTCATCTACATCTAGCTTTATTATTATTATTTAATATTAATTAATACTATTTGGCAAACTTCTGCGTCGGTTGTTATTGGATCGAACTTGCTGACCTTTCACCAACTATCCCTTTGGAATTGTAAGTAGTCTTCTAAATATCCACATTTCAAAGGCCTGTTGGTTAGCAAGCTTCTTATATTAATGAATGCTATTCTGGCTTGCTCGTATCTCTAGGTCTGGATCTTCAGTTATGCAATAACCGAGATATCTGAACTTGGCGACCTTTTGGATGTTCTTGTTTTTTACTCTTATATTTAATTCAGTCCCAGTCGTTCTCCTTCATTGTTTATTCTATCTATTAGTCGTTTCTTGGCTGTCGGCTATTATGACTGTATCATCAGCATAGCGAAGGTTTGATTTTGATTTCATCTTCAATGTCTCTTAAGACTCTATCGAAAATCGTTTCAGAGTAAAGATTAAAAAGGAGGGCGGACAGAACACAGCCCTGTCGTACTCCCACGGATGCTATTTGATTCATAGAGAGGTTCTTTATGATTTTAAGATCATTCTCATCTATCGAACTTTCTTGGAGCAATCTTATTAATTCTGAATGGTTAACACAGTCCAACGCTTTCTGGTAATCTATAAAGCATAGGAAGACATCTTTTGGTTGGTCTCTGCATTTCTAAAGTAGGACAGTTAAGCTATAAATTGCTTCTCTTGTACCGAAACCCTGTCTGAAACCGAACTATGTGGGGCTTGTCTCTCTCACATCTGTCGTATATTCCTGTGTGGATTGTCTTTAAGAATAGTTTTAGGACCTGACACATTGAGCTGATCATTCGGAATTGATAGCAACTATTAGCGTTCGGCTTTTTATGGGATTGGTACAAAGATTGATTGAAGCCAATCCTGTGGTATTTAGCCGGACCCATAAATGTCATTAAAGAGATCTACCAAGACTTCTATATTGTCTTAACTCAACATTGTTCGAACCTCTATGTATATGTCGCTGGTGCTTTTCCCATTTGTTGTGTTTGATTAATAAAAATAATAATAATAATAATAATAATAATAATCATAATAATAATGTTTATCAAAAGTATCGGATAATGTCAACAAGTAAAAAAAAAACATTAGAACACTAAAATACAAACTTTAAAATCAGATACGTACAAACACACAAAGTAAAGCTACTATCAAAGTATTCATTGATGGAATAAAAAACATTCTTATTCAAAATGAGCTTTAATTTTCGCTTAAATAAATAGACAGGAAATATCTGTCTGACGGACAAAGACAAGTTATAATATAGTTTTATTGGTAAAATCATAGTTCTACTTTGGCTAACTTATGACTTGGCCCTGCAAATAATTAGATTGATTATTCTTTATGTAAATTATGCTATTTAATATGAAGAGAGAGGGAAACTTTAAAATATTTAATTCTGGGAACAAGAGTGATCACGAGACTACCCTAACATTGTTCGAACAATACATTTTTGTTGGACAAAAACTTTTCTAGCTCTGGAGGAGTTTCCATAGCATATAATAACGTAAGATTAAGCAAGATTGAAGATATCCGAAATAATACAATAGTAAAAGCTGGAGATCCACACTCGGCCACAGTCGCCAAATAACAAAAGTATGCATAGCCATTTTGTTTAATACGTAGTCAATTTGGCTTGACCAGAACAAATTGCTGTCAATGAACAAATCCAAATACTTGACAACGTTAGTCTGATTAATCGATTTATCCTGCATTCTAAGCATCTCTACGCGAAAACAACATCATCTCAGTCTTTGTCCCCTTCAAACACGCTCACAATATCGGGCCATACCACTTACTGCTCTAGTAGACAAGGATTTTCCAGACTCCTAGATGACATTACCAACAGTATCATCTGTATATAAAGAAACATAATTGAATCGGAAAGAATCAGATATATCATTCATAAATATTATAAATAACAAAGGCCACAGTATGCTTCCCTGTGGGACACCGCTGGTGAGTTCTTTAGATGAGGATCTAATCACTTCTAAGCACAACTCTTTGGTCACTACCCTTCAAAAACGACTCAATCCAGGTGTAACTATTCCCCAGTATACCGCAATTATTTAACTTATTCAACAACAAATTTATATCGAGCACATCAAAAGCTCGTTTAGAGATTATCATTCTTCTTCGCACAATAAAATATAATGACTTGGCAACGTCAGAATACGGAGGCCAATAAAATATGGTCTTACGTCATCGGCATTTCCTATTCCCGACAATACTCTCACCAATCCAAGAAAATACACGATATGTATGAGTAGAATGGCCCTTTATAAGTAAACCGTAAGAATACTTAGAGACAAAAAGAGAGTGGTAAGCCAACAGTAACACAGCGCAAGATCCTTCAGTGATCTAATTAAAAATATATCCTCGGTAATCCTATTATGATCTTTCCACGTTAGATGTGGATCATAATGAAACCCTAGGTATTTTACTGAGGCCGGATTTTCGTAATCATGGTTTCTATAAGTAAAAATTATTTGCTGTGTTTTTTGCTGGTTAAGACACATCAAACATACCTTCATCCGAATACAGCCAGTACTGGTAGCAAGTCCGCTTTCGAGTGGTTTGAGATGGTAATACACATGTTGCAGTGATTGCTTTAAATTGGTGAAGACATTGTGAAGACATTGTCAAGACAATTCCGACCCCTCGTGCTGTGACTCACCAAGTTTTAAAAATTTGAGTAGATAATCCATCCATTCAACTTCAATATTTTAGGGGAGGGTTCACTTTTATATTCACTTTAAGATTTTCTTCTGGTTTTTTCTGAGTATCGTAATGGGTGTTTTTTTAGATGTATAGAACTTTACGTTGGCATTACTGTTCAACATGGCGACCGATTTAATAGCTGTCAAGTGATTTATTCTCAGTTTGGTTTGGCAATTCATCATGAATAGACTCACGGCTGAACAACGCTTGGCGAATGGGCCCAAAATGAGATTGCCGCATTGGAGCGAAGCTAATCCTCAAGTGTATGTCGAAACACCGTTACATCCAGCAAAACTGACTGTTTGGTGCGCTTTATGGGCTTGTGCAATCATTGGTCGGTACTTCTTCAAAAACGATGATGGCCAGAACGTTACAGTCAATGGTGATCGGTATAGAGCTATGATTACTTACTCTTTCATTCCTGAATTGAATAACCACGATGTCCAGGAGATGTGGTTTCAACAAGACGGCGCAACATGTCACACAGCTCGTGCCACAATCGATTTATTGAAAGATACGTTTGATGACAGCCTAATTTCACGTTTTGGACCTGTGAATTGACCTCCAAGATCTTGTGATTTATCACCGCTAGACTACTTTCTGTGGGGCCATGTAAAGTCATTGGTCTATGCGGATAAGCCACAAACGCTTGACCATTTGAAAAAGTCATCGAAAATTGGACGTCCAGATTGAACTACATCCGCGCCAGCCGTGACGGTCATATGCCAGAAATCATATTTAAAATGTAATACCACAAGATAATCTTTGGGATAAATAAAATTCATGTCAATCGAATCATCCATCGTTGTTTTATTGCAACTTAAATTTCTATACATCGAAAAAAAACACCCCTTATAAAGAGTATAAAAAACCGACGCAGGAGTAAATAGTATTAAACTAGACCGTGGAAATTGTTTTGAAAAAAAATTGTTTTTTGATGTATCCTATGCGGGTAAATTCTAAACAGCGGTTTGATTAGTAATTTCTTTTCTCTCACCTATAATCAGCACTTCTTTGTCTTCGTTTGGGATCAGCGAACCCGCCGTTAACGCAGTGATCGTTTGGTTTACGTTTAAAGTTGCGATTTCTTTGTTCGACTCGGACCAGATAATTTTGCCGAAAGACGAAGTGCTTCTTCTATGTGGACTGTGAATTAGGACCTAACAATGAGACGATTAAATTGTGCGTCTGTAAAAATTATTATTTTTGCTGTCGACAGTTGTTCGACTTCAGTTTTTAGATTCAGTCCTTCGCGTCTTATTAGTTTGGTCTGTTCATAGATATAAGAAAGTGACCAATTGCTTTTGAATGGGAGTACCCAAGGGTGATCATTAACATACAATGCAACAAGATTATTACCCAAAACTTCGGAATTTAAATTCAGGTAAAATTGTGGTCCGTAATAGAAAATAATTTTATACCTACCTGTGTTTAATATTCTTTGGTTTGGTATACTACTTAGTTTCAGTTTAGTAGTAATCATTCTTATTTCGTGTGTAATACAGCGTGTGTTGAATCGTGTGCGAATTATGCAAAATATATTCGAATCTAGAGTATCTCAGGAGATGCTCCCGCCAAAATGTAGAAAACACTATTCTATTGAGACTAAGGAAGTTATAAACAATGTTTATTTGACTCTCATTGAACGTGGTGCCAGCATCTTTAGAAGAAACGGCCACATGGACGAAAATTCCAACATCAACTGTATGGAAAATTGTGAATAATCCCATTTCAGCGAGGAACAAAAGAAGCGATGCTGACATTTTCTCGAGTGTAGATGAAAGTGATCAAGATACAATACGGCGTAAAATTTTAGGAGGCTTGAAAAGGATGAAACCGGTGTCAAATGTGGCAGAACTACCTTATGGAAGTGTATTCAACACATAGGTATTAGATTTTAAAAAAATGAAAAAAGGCAAGTTTTAATGGAATCTTTTAGAATTCGGAAATGGCGACTGGAATATCTAGAAAAAATTAGGATTCACAAAGAACAACAAAGGCCAATTATGTACTTAAATAAGACCCGGTTCGACACTTATGATACCCCGGAAAAGGGTTGGATCGACTCAATTGATAAGTGTAAAACAAACGCGCCATCAAAAAGAGGTAAAAGAATAACTATTTTGCATGCTGGCTCCAAAGATGGTTGTATTCCAAATGGGCTTTCTCTGTCTGCGAAAATATTAAAGATTCTTCTCTGGATTACCATGAAGACACCACCGCTGATTTATTTGAAAGTTGGTTTAAAAACAAACTAGTTCCAAACATTCCTCCTAATAGCGTCATTGTACTGGACAATGCAAGTTATCATAGTAAACAGTTGACTAAAACCCCTTCCTCATGTGATACAAAAGCAACAATCCAAAACTACATGTATAATAACGATATTTATTTTCACGAACCTACAAAAGGAATACGTCTGTGATAATTATGCAAAAAATCTAGAGCATAAAGTTTTAAGGCTTCCACCTTACCACGGTATATATAATCCCATTGAACATGTTTGGCACCAACTGAAATTTTTTTCCCCGTGTTAACTCCAATGTCCTCAAACTTACAGAAACCGAAGTTTTTAACATCCCTCCACAATGTTGGGCAAATTCTGTTAAACATATAGAAAAAGCAGAACAATCGTATATCCATATTGCAAATAATATAGAACAAATAATAATTAGAACAGGCGATGATAGAGATAGTGATGCTGATATATTATGTGAACAATTTTAAGTAATTTAAGTAGGTAATAAAAATAAATTTGTAATTTTATTTTGGATTTAAACATAAATACATATATAAATAAATAAATATTGTTTAGTATCTTTCGTAACAAAACCCCAAATAATTAAATTCTAAGCAAAGTACGGACCTGTTCGGCCATATTCACTTTCTTATATCTATGAACAGACTTTATCAGTCATAGCAGAAAGGCGAACATTTTGAAATATACAGGGTGGGCTGTTTATCCTGGGCCAATAAATTATCTCACAAACCTCGGTATGCAACGACGGTTTCCCTTTGCATCCACATCTCTTTCTCTTAGGAATATTATACAAGTTACAGAGTCTCAGTTTAGATGGCAGAACTAGGTTAAGAAAATCCCGAAATATAAAAGGTAGCCCTCGTAATAAAAGAATTACCACCAAAAAATATATAGCACCAGTAGGAGGTTATGTTCTCCGTTTATAGTAATAAACGAACAAAGAGTAGGTCTTTATTTAACTCACTTTGTCTGCCGTGGTCGCTGCAGTCAAACATGGATGGCTCCCGTCATATTTCCCAATGGTCACTAAACCGGGCAAAATTTTATATCCGAGGTCCAATGTAAAAACTGGCCTAATTATCCTTTCCATTTTACCTAGGGTTGTATACAAACAATGAGCCGACATGGTTGCTAAGGACTACCGGTATCGATTGTAACGTGTACGAGATGTGTGCAAAAAGCAAGGCTACTTTTAGATTTCATCAAAAATTATGCATTTATCGAAATTAATGCTGTCCGCTTCCATGTGCCCCCAATCTTCGAAGGACATCTGGTCACTATCAGAGTCGTTATTCAGATTAATTAGAGTAGGATTTTTGTTGGCGATTTTGCCAGTTGTCAATTGCTGTATGCTCTTAATTACATTTTTTATCAAATTTACTTGAAGTAGGAGTAAGATTTTCTGCTCTGACTTTTGATTTTACTTGCTTCCGCAAATGCTCTATGGGGTTAAATATGCAATGATATGGAAGAAGACGCAGAACAGTAATTGCATATGAATTTAGGACTCCCAAAAGTTGCGCTTTTTTGTTACTGAATTCAAAATAAATATAATTTTCTAACAAATATTCCTGGATTTCAGTTTTTCAGCTTGATGAGACTGGTGCTTTGCGTAGCAAACTCCTGTGGTAGCTTGCGTTATCCATGACAATGTCACTGTTATTGGGAATTTTTTTTTTAAAGATTGTTTTGAAACCAATTTTCAAAAAGTTCTGTTTTCTAATCTATAGCTACTAATTTTTTGAAGATAATTAAATTAAGTACGTAATTGTGATAACGCCATTACTACTCGCCTTTTGTCTATTTTGCGGTACTTAAATCCCATTTTACAAACAACCCAATGCAGGGTGGCACGGCTTTTATTTATATCGGTTTCATCTTCTTCTAGCTTCTTGTCCTTCGTATCACTCTTGTCACTTTGAAAATCACTCCGTGTATTCCATTTCTTCAATTTTCCACTATTAATGATATCTCTTGTAGACGATATTGGCGTTGGGGGTCGGGAAGTATTTTTAAAAAATTAAAAACCGCATTCGCAGGGTATCGAGAAAAAAATTATTTCTCAAAAACGGTAAACGCGATCCAAAAAATTCTTCAACCAGAAGACGCGGGAGATCCTGGCAAAAATCATTTATTCTTGATGATTTTGTAAAAATGTAGAGGGTGCGCCGGCAAATTGCAAAAAACTGAAAATTCGGTTAAAGTTATAAAGATAATGACTATAACTAGAAGGCTATGTTTCAACTGCCATTTTCTTTCACTCTGCCATATAGTGCGTATGGACTGCTAAAACTTTTGTATTTTAGGTATTCACATATTGTATAGGGTGTTCGGGATATTCTGCACCATATTGCATTGCATATTGCACATTTAGCAGAGAAGTGAAAGTCCACACCCACATCTAAACCGTAGAAAGTGGGACCAATCAAGACTAGTATTTTTTTTTATTTTTGAAATTTTTGTTTTTGCTATTTTTCTTCCAGGAAAACAAAATTTCTGGAAAACTATTAACTTGATCGGCAAAATTAGACGCGGCAAGAAAGACGCGGAATATTCGGTGCCATAACTTCCATTTCAAGCATTTTTTCAAAATTCCTAAAAAATATGGCCAATTGGTTTAAATGGTGTTGTACAACACGCCAATAGCTACAATTTTGGTATTTACGGTTTTGGTCTATCACATACACTGTTCGAGATATTAGAAAAAATCCAAATGAAAATCTAAACGCGATGACATCATTTACTATTACTGTTTATCAGAAAACAAGTGTTTTTGCCAAAACCATTTACTCTATTGGAAAAATTCATATACCAGGAGAAACGGGAGATCCCAGGGCTATTGCATTATATACAGGGTGTGTCGTTTATGGACAAAAAATGCAAAAAGTCCTAAAAATGTGCGTTTTTGTAGGAAAATTATTGGCTATAAATTAAAAACCGTTAAAGATGAGCTAAACTGAATCGAGAGAGAGTTTCAGGTTTCATACAGGGTTCGCGAAATATTATTTGTAAAAATTTTAATATTTACCAAACTTTGCCGTAACTTTGAAGTTCGGCGAAACGTGAAAGACACTTTATACAGAGTGCATGCACGATAAAATTAGATCGATTTTGCGAAAGTTCCATAGCAATAGCACGATAGAAAAACAAGGCTTCCCTCTAGGGCACAAAGCCTTAAAAATACAAAGCCGCGTAGTGACTTTGCAGACTGCGTACCGCATAGTTCGGAGCAAAGGATTCGCACTGCCACGATTTTTCGAAATCAGTTTTGTTACTTTCGAAAATCGATGAAAACAAATTTTTCAAAAGTATCTGCGCTCGTATAAACATTTTATATCTCGGTAACGGTAGGTCCTACGGGATCTGTCCGTTTTCCGTTCTCTGTTCTGGTCTTTTGGTTTTGCCCGAATAACTTTGGAACCGTTGGAGCTACGAAATTGAAATTTGCTTCCTTTTTAACCGTCCACGAGGCACATAAGCTTATAAGAAACGGCCCTGATCCGAAGCCGGTATCCATCTTTTTTTCGCGATTTTCGACTGTTTTTTGGACCTTGCTATGAAACAGGATAAGTGTCCGAAATTTATATATGCAGCTTTGCCCCGTCACGGAACTTTTTGAAAATGGTGGGCTGGGGGGTCGGGAAGTATTTAAAAAAAAATAAAATCGCGTGTGCAAGGATCTACAAAAAAGACTATTTTTCAAAAACGGTTCATAAACTTTTATTCTTGACAATTTTTCAAAAATATACAGGGTGCGCCGCAAATTCAAAAAAACTGAAAAATGGGTGTTATTTTTGGCTGTTATTGAAAGTTGGCAATAATTTTAAATCTGTGTTTTAGATGTCAGTTTCTTTTACATGAGGTTAGGGTTATTAAGTATTGTAAAGAAGGAAACTGTACGAAGATTTTTGTGTTCAACCCTGTAGATATTTTTTTTTTGTTTCAGAGAGTATCCTGGAAAATATGGAGAACTCCAGCAAGCCATTGTGTCCTCGTAAAAAAAGAATTAAAATTGTAATAATGCTCCGCCTTATATAGAAAACATTATTGCTCCTTGTAGATCCACAATCGACTGGAGCCGATTCCCATTAACATACTACGGTAACCCAGATGCATTTTAATGAGCGCAAGCATGTGTAAAAGTAATGACAAATAAATTTTGATAAATAGCTTCTCGATTAGCGTCATTAAGATTTATTGAGGAATATTGGCTGCTAGACCGAAGTGTTAGAAATATGTTATGAATAAGGAGCGGAAAAGACGCTAGCGGAATGCGCAAAATAAAGACGAACACAAAACGCAAATACGAATTTTTATGATATGAAGAAAATATAAGGCAGGTGTTTCTAATTGATTTTTGAGACCATTTTGTATTGCTATTGTATATGAAAGTGGTAGGTCAGAGGGTGCAAAATTTGGTTCTAAGCAACCTATCAAAGTTGATTGGGGAAGTAACAATAATCTTTGCTCGAGTATGTCGGTATGACGTAAGCCCCAGACCGCAAGACCCCCGGGAAAAATATTTAATATGGTTTGATATATTTTTTAAAGAGAAGAACTTACTCTTTGTCGGCACAGACAGAGCTGCCAACGCTGCCTGGCTTGGAAACTGTTCCGTCGGTCATTTCTCCAAACAAAGAAGAAGAGAAGAATGTCACATTATGGTAATTTAGCAGGAACAGCTTGGATAAGTTGCCCTTAATTGTTAGAAAATTTTCCTCTCTCTCTGCCTGCGTGCACCAGTAGATTTATGGTGATATGGAAAGCGCCTTTGGAAACCCCATAAAGAAAAGACAGAGAGAGAAAAGTAACGTGACATAATATTCTTAGTTGTTTTTTGATAGATTAAATACTTTGTCTAGTAACTCTTAAATTAATTAAAATGAAAGGGTTACAAATATCATCGCAGGAGATAAAACTCTTCTTCTTTTTCGACCGGTACTTTTATCTTCCTTTTTGTACTCGGTGGCTCACTCTAGCGGAACAGTACTTCAATGAGGTCGGCTAGTTCGTCTTTTGGCGGATAGATGGTGGTGAGGGTGTTCATTTGTTACATTTGCCATTTTCACGTATCCACTATATTCTCAATTACAAAAATTCCTGTTATTAAATCCATGAAATTTCAGGACACTTCGGTGTATATATTTTATTACTCTCGAGCGGCAACGAACGGACTATAGTTTGTACACTTTCAGTAAAGAAATTTTGAGTTGACCTTGTTCGGAATAATCGTCGAATAGAAACATCGAAGCAACAATAATTTAATCGAAAAAAAATCTGTAATTAAGATGTATCTGGCAAACGTATTAGCGTAAAATTTTTGCCCCGCTGAATCACTATGTCTTATTTAGCATCCCAACGATTAATAACTAGAGTCGTCCACTTTTTATTAGACCGAGCGGATTAATAGATGTGCATCGTCTCTTGCAATATAAGCCGGAATGTTATTTGCGGCGGGAAAAGTTTGAAGTGTGGTTTTGTGCAAGTTTACCAACAGGAACTCAAAATATGATGTTCTCTTTAAGCGGAAGGTAATTAATTGTTTAATTAACCCGCATGAATTATAAAGTTCTGATATTTCATTGTTCGCTCAATATATACAGGGAGTCGCAGTAACTTCCGAACGATTTCAGTGAGAGAGCTGCGGTTTTACTCCTTTCAAACTGGCCACGAGATACATAAGCCCATATGAAATGGGTGGGGATGGAAATTGCGATTTTCGTCTGTTTTTCGTACATTGCTATAAAACACGATAAGCGTCCCACATTTGCAACTATTAATTTCAAAATTGGCACAAATATAGAGTTGTCTCCTAACGGAAACTATTGAAATTATGGTGGCTGCGGGGTCGGGAAGTATTTTTAAAAATTTAAAAACCGCATTTGCAGGGTGTCGAGGATAAAAATCATTTCTCAAAAACGGTATATGCGATCGAAAAAATTCTTTCTTTCTTTCGCACGACCATATAGTCCGTATGGGCTGCTAAAACTACAAAACCTATTGTGCAGGCTGTTTGGAATATTCTATACCATATTGAAAAATGTAATAGAAGTCTCAAATTTGTAACTATCGACTTCAAATTTAGCAGAGAAGTGAAGACCACACCCACATCTAAAACGTAGATACTGGAAGCAATCAAGACTTGCCGATTTTTTTTTTAATTTTTGAAATTTTTGATTTTGTTATTTTTTCTTGCAGGAAAAATCAAATTTCTGGAAAACTATTAACTTGATCGGCAAAATTATTTTACCAGAAGATGCAGAAGCTTCGGTACTATAACTTATATTTTAAGAATTTTTTGGATTATGTACAGGGTTTTTTCAATTATAGAAAAAAATCTAAAAATTTTGCTTTTTTTTTAGAGTAAATTATTAGCTGTAAATCAAAATTCCCAAAAAATAGAGATATTTCAAAAAATACCAATGAAAATCACCATTTCTCGCCCTCAATCTCGACGTGATGATGTCATTTACTATTACGATGTACTGCATGATTTCAGACAACAAGCATTTTTTCCAAAACCATTTGCTCCATTGGCAAAATTCGTATACCAGGAGAAATGAGAGATCCAGGGCTATTACCTCTATTTCGAATATTCAAAAGATTTTAAAAATTTCCGTTTTTGTGGCAGTAAATGAAAAAGCGTCAAAAATGGGATAATTTTATTTGAACAGTATCGCAAACTGTTTCAAGAGAAAGTTTGGGGTTTCATCAATCATACAGGGTTCGCGAAATATTTGGAAAAATATCATTAGAAATAGCTATTATTTGTACAAATTTTAATATTTATCAAACTTTCCGTAACCTTCAAGTTCGGCGACATGAAAGACACTTTGTACAGAGTGTTCCGTAGTGTACCATAGTGTACAAAGTTCCATAATGGTCCACAGGAGTACTATAGAAAAACAATGCATGCCTCTAGGGCACAAAGCCTTAAAAATACAAAGTTGCGTAGTGACTTTGTAGACTGCGTACCGCATAGTACGGAGCAAAGGATTCGCACTGCCACGATTTTTCGAAATCAGTTTTGTTACTTTCGACTTTTGTACAAAATAGTAAAAAAATGTGCTCCTGAAGTAATCACATTTATTATACATAACTTTTTATTAGGCTATACAATACAATAGAAGTTAGCCGGGCGTTGTTTGAGACATCCTGTATAACCATCAATTAATTAATTAAATAAAACTTGTAGCCAAGATTGCGTTTATCGAATTTGCTGCATTATTATTATTAAAAACAATTGTTCGCTAATATAGTGTTATAAAAAAAATGTTATGAAATAAATATTAATCAGTTATCATTTATCACTAATATCCGCTCTTTTCTCGGCTATTATGATGACACTTAATAGATTTAATAGCTGAAATGAATGCCAGATTTTGATATTTTCAAGAGCAATATATATGATGTTCGGAAATTGAGTTCGAAAACATAGAGGAATGGTATCTCCTATAATCCCTGCACATAAATTTCAAGAAAACAGGCAAAATATAAGATTTTTTCCATCATCTAAATTACAACGTTATATTTACAGTTTTAAGACATAAAAATAATAAAACTTAATTAGGACTATATTAAAGCATTACGGTAAAAACAATTTGTCTATTATTATTATTGTACCAATTGACAATTAAATGCTTTTCTAAATTTTCTATGTTAATTTTTGTCTTTTATCGCTTAATATGCTTTTGTGCTTGGAGAACGTCTTTTCGAAGTCAATAGGCGCGAATTTAAATGATGCAAGATGTTTTTTGAAACCCTCCATTTTTTATTGTTACACTATTAAATTTGTCAAGAATAATTTTCCCTATTCTGCTAACAAAGATACTTGTTCGGTCTCTAATTCTTTAATAAAGCCACTTAAAAAACTAAAACTAGCTTTGGCATAGGTCAACTGATTTATAAGTTCACATTTTTCATATAATTTTTTTTTTGAATCAGCTGAATCTGAAAAGTCTGATACAATGTTTTTTGAACTGAGGTGGCTTTTACTTGATGGAAATCCATTTATAAAGAAAAATAGGAACTAAAAGTTCAGATTTTCACGAAATTATATACTTTTACATGACAATTGTTTCGACAACACCGTGTCTTTATCACATGTGATAAAGACACGGTGTTGGCGAAACAATTGTCATGTAAAAATATATAATTTCGCGAAAATCTGAACTTTTAGTTCTTATTTATTTTGACAATGTTTTTTATTTGATTAAAGTGATTCGCGTGACATAAAGTTACGTCTAAGCAGGCTGCGTCTAACCACGCATCGAGTAATTGAGGGTTCCGGAGGTAAAGAAACATTTGTCGATGTTTCTCTATAAACTTGACCTCGAAGCGAGTCACGTGGATGAAGAGGGTGGGATGTATTTCATTAAATCACAAGCACCATCAGTGATAATTTTCAGAAGAGGCTGTTAAAATCGCATTAGATAAAAGCGTCAAAGGAGAAAAGAGACGAGGGCTTAATCCTTAGGGAACGGGATAGGATGTCCACAATATTGCAGATACAGAAAAATAGAAAATATTTACTTTATGTACAACAACTAAAAACATGTACTGAAGCTTCATTTTATGTGAAATATGTAATTATTTCATTCTAAAAAGGGTATATCCAAAATATTGGGTTAATATTTGTAATAAATAATAAAAAAGATGTTTTTTACATAAAATACTAACTCTACTCATCACCCTCATACAGTGGTTGAACCCGGTTCTTCTTATACCTCCCTTTATTCATATTATCAGGTTTGAATGATGCTCTTTCACCAAGCCATCTGTAAATGTTGATGAATATATTAATAGATGGAACGTTCCAATTGGGATAAGTCTCGATAAAGCCGTCGTGCTTGATCTGCATTTCCATTTGGTCACCCATAGCAAAAAAAAGCACATCGCTATATTCAGTATTTGAACCTTCCTGATGGGCCATCGCAGTAGCAGTTGGATAATAAACTCTTTTAATAGAAACTAATTTTTAACGGATTGCGAGAATGAGTTTTTCAAATTTCATTAAGTCCTATTAGGTAAAATCACATTTATAGGTAAAATTTGAGCCGAGAAAAAAAAAGTCGATTTGTGGCTAAGAAAAAAAATTACAAAAATGACATTTTTGACAACACTGTTCGGCTGTAACCAATGACGCAACTTCTCACGGTCGTGCCGTGCCGGACTCGCTCGAGTCTCGCCGGCTTCTCTTCCGTCTCGTCGTCGGCCATCTTTTCAGTCTTGTTTTTGTTGGCGGTATACGGCATACGGCGACTTGGCGTCTATTTTGAGTATTTTGTGTGCTGTGCTTACTGCTTTCGGTGCTTTCATTTCAGTCAATTCATAATTCATTTTAATTGGTTGGGCATGAAGAAAAAGGAGAAAGTTTTAAAATTAAAATTGGCCAAATTAATACTTAGTAAGTATAAGAAATATAATTGAATAAAATATATATTCTATATTTATGTTTTTGAAGCAGTTAAATTTGGGCATACAAAACCATTTAATTAAGCAATGTTAGAGAAAATCCCCAGAAGAAAATTATATTTTTAGTATAGTATATATAGTATAGTTAGTATATTTTTTCCATAAAATGGATGCAAGAATCACCCCCCCAAAAACAAAGTATTAATTTTAAGAATCACCCTACATAACGTGCAAACATGAAAACATTTTTCCAATTTTTTAAGGCTTGTTTTCATTTGATAGTAGGTACCATCTCGACCAAAAAAACTAGGACAATTTTTAGGTTGACAAGAAATATTGGATAAAAATAGGCCTTTACTGTCAAACTTAAAAGTCATATTTGTTGTAGAGGTCTTACCGATGAGAGTTTAATGAGTTTTGTATTTAATGAAATGAAATACATAAATATATACCTACATCATCGTGGTGATTGGAATCTAAGATCATTTTCCTGAGAGTACTATCAGCGTCAAATCTTCTTTTTTGAACATATAAGATACCAGTCTCGTTCTTTTTATTTTTTTTATAAAGTACAGATATATAAAATATATAATATATATATAAATATATAATAAGTAAGGTCCACAATTTTCACAAGCTATAACTCGGAAAACATTACGATATCGAATTTTCGTTACTTGACTTACAATCATTATTTTACCACGTTGAATCCTGCCTCTAAGTTTCCGAAATCAATTTCCGAACACGCTGTGTAGCTACGTTACTTGTCTTCATACTTTTTCTCTATTCTATTGAGTTTTTGGTTTGTCCAGATGGGCCTTTTTGACTTGTCTCCTCGCTGCACTGATTGGATTAAACGCTCGTAAGTACCACGTCTCATTTAAAAGAAAAAATGGATTGAGACATCAAACGGAACATTTATTTATATTTCAGAATATCCTGATGAAGATGTTAGAGTTCCATGCGCAAACTTTCGCATAGGAGACGACGATCTACAAGCTTACGACTTTATAAGACAATATCAACTCGACCTGCCAAAACTGCAACATGCCGGAATCAGCAGAATTAGAGGCTCTAGCAAATTACAAGTCGCATATCGATTAGAGCGAAATGCCGATCTAACCATACCCACTAGGTGATAATTAAAAAAATAATAATAAAAAGTAACGCCCAACGTGGGGCTCGAACCCACGACCCTGAGATTAAGAGTCTCATGCTCTACCGACTGAGCTAGCCGGGCTGATGTTTAACACGCACTTCAGCCACAACCATTAACGAAAATAATAGTCGACATTTATTTCAGGAGAATTTTTCCTTTCGGTTTACCCGAACAATTTTCATTTATAACAACGTTCCGAACACGCAGGCCGCCGAAAACAGCGTGGAATTTGGTTCGCGTTACCGATCTAGAATTGAAGCCACAATTTTTGATTTCGCTAAACCCACCGCAACACGCCGTGGAGTTTTCCGTTATGAGCGTCGAAGGAAAAACAGAAACCGTAAAATTTAACAACGTGCAGGCAAGTATATATCGAAAACATGTATTTTATATGTTGGGCCCTCTCATAAATACGCGGTTTGAGATAACTTGAACTATAGGTCCTGTGGCGCAACGGATAACGCGTCTGACTACGGATCAGAAGATTCCAGGTTCGAATCCTGGCAGGATCGAAATATTTTTTTTTTTTTTACTTTTTTGTCGATATATGCAGGGTTATTCATAGTGAGTGTCCTATCAGACGTTTATTGAGAGTGACTTACGATAAAATCACTTAAGTAAGCGAATATGAGTTACTTATGTAAAATATTTTTCTCCATGCGGTGTTGCCAGATATACTCGTAACCCTGTATATTATACATTTTTAGATTCTGCGAAACATTATGAAACTGTTTTATGTAACATTTACCCATACACATCTTGAACATTTTTATAGATAAAAAAACAATTTCTAAGTAATTTGGCGATATAAATTAATAATTTTTTTCACAACCCGTACAGCTAAACACGTGAATTTTTCGTATTATGTATGTATTATGTATTATGGTACATCTATTTGCACTGGTTTTCGAGGTATAAGCAAAAAACCAAAATATTGCAATTAAAGCGTTGGTTTCATTTTCTCCTGAGTTTGTAACAGGTTTTGGAAGTTCCCTTCTTCGTAGGTTTCGAAAATTTGCCTCACTTCTTTTCAACTTTTTCTCATACATTGCTGGCAAATGCCGATATTGTTAAATCTTCTACACGTTCTGTGCCATCTTCCTTTCTCAAATAAATGGAACTATGAAAATGTGATAAAATGAGAAATCCGAGTGCATCTAGACAGGTCAGTTATATTTTTACAAGAAACGTCACCATGGCCAGCCAGAGCCCGCTACCCAGATGAAGTTTGATTACTTTACGTCACAGAAACATTGGAGAACATTGTTAATAAAATATGGTATGAAATATACAAATACTTCAGAAAAGTGATAGATGAAAATAAACAAAATTCAAGAGAGCTATGGAAACATTTAAAGACATTAATCCCGAACAAAAGTTCGTCCAGACCAAGGGAGATTATTTTTGAACAGAGACTGGTGAAAACTGATAAAGATATAGCCAGCGAATTTAATAAATATTTTGTGCAGAGCATTGAATATACTATATCGGCAATAGCTAGACCGTCCGTCAATTTGTGTTTAGATCTAAACCAGGATATGGAAAATCACAGCGCCACGGAGTTCGCGAGCTTTGAAAACATTTCATTGGTTCACTTAAAAAGGATTGTGCGTGGAATGAAAAATGTTGGTGGGGGTGAATCTGGTATTTCAACAACCTAAAGGGCAGTTTCCAGAGGAGTGGACGTCATCTTTGGTGGTTCCGGTGCCGAAGGTTCCGTGTACTAAGCTGCATTCTAATTTTAGACCGATCAACACTGTGGCAGTGTACGAGAAATTATTGGCAGAGACATTGTAACGCATCTGTAGTCAATCGGGATTTCAAACGGGATATTCTTGGGGCTGTCGATGACAATAGTTTTGTTTTGGCTGTTTTTGGACTTTAGAAGAGCTTTTGAGACTGTCAATAGGGATATTTTAATAGATAAGCTAGAAAATATGGGTATAACGCACCCAGCCCTTGATCTTACTTATCTGGCAGAACACAAAAAGTAAAGTATGAGTCATCTGTGTCTGATTTTGGTAGATCATGGGGTACCACAGGGAACTGTTTTGGGGTCATTATTGTTTCTGTATATTAGTTGAAGTTGCGAAAAATAGCAAAATTACGTTATTTGCCGACGATACCATGATATGTGCCGTTGCTGAGAATATCGAAGAAATGCAGCGAGATATCAATGATGACCTGTATCGAGTGTTTGTATGGCTGTGCAATAATAATCTTAGCATTAGTGTTATGAAGTCGAAGTTCTGGTTGTATGGTAAAAAACATACATTGAGTGGTGTGGATCTGGAGAGTGTTAATATTAATATAAATGGCGTTAATTTGCAGTATGAGAAACATATAAAATATTTGGGAATTGTATTAGATCCATAATTAAATTTTCGTGCATATTGTGATTATATAATGAAAACGTTCTCACAAAAGGTGGGTTTCATATCTAGAGCAGGCAAAAATTTAACAAGTTATACAAAATTGTCACTTTACAATAGCTTGGCGGCGCCACATCTGCAATATTATTCAACCTTATTGTTCAGTATACCTAGAAAATACAAAACAGAGCAACGCGCGCAATTCTAAAGTGTAATAGATATACACCTGTGATGACTATGTTAAATGTGTTACAAACATTAACGGTAAAACAAAAAGTAATGTTTGATGCCTTTATATTTACATTTAAGATAAAATAATAGGGTTAATTACTTTAAGAATGTTCATGACTATAACACTAGAAACCGTACTGATTTCATCGTAGTCAATCGATGTAAAACTACACGTGTGTTGAATACCATTTTAAATAAAGGTTTGTTAGGGTTTAATAGGCTGTCAAAAGATATTAAAGAGTGTGATAATTTAAATGCTTTTAAAAGATTAATTAAAACTTATGTATTGTCTGAAATTTTATTCTGATTTTTCATTTATAATTGTTCTGCTGTTATATACTTTGTTCTGTGTACTTTTGTACTTTCATACTTATTTACTACTACTGGGACGTATATTTAAAATGTAAATACGACTAAAGTATTTATTTATAAGTCGCTTTAATTGCAATATTTTGGTTTTTTGCTTATAACTCGAAAACCATTGAAAACAGATATAGTACTTTTAGATGAAAATTAAACATTTTTTGAAAGTTCCCGTTTTTAACACTGGAAGACATGGAAAGCAACGCAGAATTGCAAGACGAAGTGGATGTTAAACAAATTGTTTTGAATGTTTTCAATTTTATAAGAAATTCAGAAGATGAATTAGGGGCAGCAATCAAAACCGGCGATCAAAGTTCCGAAGGCAACTGTAGGAAAAATTGTTGCAAATGGGATAGTCAAGAGGAAAGTGAGAGAAGATTCTGGTACTTCGGGAGTTTTTAACACGCTTATAAAATGAATAGTGTTTTAACCCTAGAAGGACTGCATAAAACAGTACTGACATGTATAAACATTAGTTGTGCCAAAGAGTCGTCGCGTACTTTTTTGAAGAAAATGGATTTTCGGTTCGAAACCATCAATAAACGTCAAGTGCTAATAGAAAAAGAGAGAATTTCGAAATGGAGGGTGCATTATTTAAATGCAATTAAAAAAAACCCAGAGCAAAATAATAGTGTATTTAGTCGAAACGTGGTTCCACACTCACCACATAGTAAAAAAAGGATGGTGTGATATCCGTAACAAGTGTGTGCTAGACGCGCCGCCTTCACGTGGAAAACGCATAGTAATTCTTCATGCTGGGTCCAAAAATGGTGTGGATTACTATGAAAACATGACCTCGGAAATATTTGAGAATTGGTATGAAAATAAACTGTTGTTAAAACTATCGTCATATACTGTTATTGTGTTGGATAATGCCTCGTATGATTCAGCCCAAATTAGAAAAATTTCAGATACTTCTTCAAATAAAAAAGAAATTAAAGAGTTCCTGCACGAAAATGATTTATAAACTTAGTGACAGTACCGTAACCGTAATTCGGCAAGAGCTAGCTAAAATATCAGTACAAACGATTAGTTAAAATAAAACATTTTAATAAAGGCTACAATATATATTTTATTTTATATATTGGGTTCTTCGGAAAGTCATTTCGTTTTTTTTGGGGAACATGAAAGACAGTTTTCGTATAATGAATAAATATTTTATTAAATTATATATTGGCCATTCTGGTCCAACACCTTTTGCCATCTTTCTGGCAGTAACATAATTCCCCTCTCATAAAAATTTTGGTCCTTGCTGGCAAAAAACTGGTTCAGGTGGTTTTTGACATCTTCATTTGAGGTAAAGGTTTTGCCATCCAAAAAATTTTGCAGGGACCGGAACAAATAGTAGTCGGAAGGCGCCAGATCTGGAGAATATGGTGGATGTTGCAGTACGTCCCATTCAAGCTGTAAAAGTTTTTGGCGAGTGACCAAACTTGTGTGAGGTCTCGCGTTATCCTGGTGGAACACTACACCCTTCCTGTTGATTAATTCGTGCCTCTTCTCTTTAAGTGAATCATTCAATTTGTCCAGTTGATGACAATAGACTTCTGAACTAATCGTTGTATTGTCCGGCAAAAGCTCAAAAAAAACGATTCCTTTGACATCCCACCAAACGGAGAGCATCACCTTTTTTTGGTGAATGTTGGCTTTTGACACGCATTGAGCCGGTTCATCTTTTCTGCTCCATGACCTCTTGCGTTTAACATTGTTGTATACAACCCATTTTTCGTTCCCAGTAATAATCCGCTTCAAAAATGGATCATTTTCTTGACGTTTGAGGAGCGAATCACACACGTCAACGCGACGACATAAATTTCGCTCCGTAAGGACATGGGGCACCCACACTCGAGCTTCGAGGTTAAGCCCATGCCTTTCAAAGGGCCATAAACAGTCGAATTCGGCAAATTTAATCTCTCACCGATCTCTCGTGTGGTTATTCGCCGATTTGCATCAACTAATGCGTTTATCGCATCTTTGTCAGCTTCGACCGGCCTTCCAGACCGTGGTGCATCTTCGACATCAAAATTGCCGGATCGAAATTTTGCAAACCAGTTCTGGCACCGGCGTACTGTTAACACGCCTTCTCCATACACATCCGTCAATTTTTTTCTCGCTTGGACAGCATTTTTACCTTTTCTGAAGTAAAAAAGTAAAATATGACGAAAATGCTGCTTATTGCTCTCCATATTTAAAAGGGCACCAACCAAAAACTACTGCGTAGAATTGATAGAACTTTTTCACACACAAGCCTTGCAATATCAGCTCTCAAGACATAAGTTGGTTTCGAAAAAACGTAATTAAGTCGTCTGACGGGAAAAAACGAAATGACTTTCCGAACAACCTTATATATTATTATTATATATATTTTATTATTATTACACAGCCGCAACTCTACCTAATGAAATTGAAGGGGACTGCTCTTTTTTCCTTATAAAAAGTTTTTTTCATATACATATTTTAACATCTACTTAGGAACATTTTATATAAATATTTAAAAACTACATTTAATGTTTCAAATAATCGGTAAATTTTTTAGTATGCCAATACGTATCTCGTTCTTGTATTTTCACTATTTCTTCAAGAGGGGCATCTTCCCCATGATTCATAAAAAAATTCTCTAGCAGCTGAACTCAATATAGGGCTTGAATGTTGAATGGTTGGTTGTGGTCCCGGACCAACTTCTTCATCTTCTTCTTCCTCTTGGTGCTCTTCCTCACCCTTTCTTGCTTCTTGTAATATGGCTTCCTCTGTCATGTCTGCTCTTGTAGGCAAATCCTGATCTATCACCATAAAATCTTGCAACTTATCCCTTGTAAACGTAATTGTTGTTTGAAACTGCTTTATCGATTCGCTTGGTGGCTGATCATCTTCAAAGTCCTGTTCGCATTCGACGATAGAAGTGTTGAATTGTTTCCTAGCTTTACTAATAAGGTTGACTGCATCTAGCATATTAATGGAAGATTTGTCTTCGGACTCGATCATTTAAAACACTTGTTTTGGCTGGAAGGAATGCCAATTCAATATTCCGTAGATTTGGAATATGGGGATGTGCGGGGCAGTTATCTAAGAGAAGTAATATTTTCCTCCCCTTTAATTCTTAATCCCTTAAAACCTCGTCGGTCAGTTAATTTTCCAATCACGACTACCTTTCTTTTTTCCCTCCCACTCATATTGGCAGCTACTAACACGTTCTTTGGAAAGTTTTCCGCCCGCACACTTTTCGCTTCGAAATTTAAGAGTTTTATCTGGCGTCATTTTGTAAAAAATACCACTTTCGTCGGCATTAAAAATATCGTCAGCAGAGTACTTTTCTGTCACGTCTTCTCCAGCAAATCGTTAGTGACGTTCCTGTCGACATCACAGGCTTCGCCACTTATCTATCCATAATTTATACCGTGTCTCTGTTGGAACTTCCCCAACCATCCTTGCGAAGCCTTGAAATCGATACTGCCAAGCTGTTCAACGAACTTTTCTGCTTTTAGTTTTGCGATAGGTCCAGAGGGTGGTACATATTTACGACGTTGCTCTTGGAACCACTGCAACATTGCCCGATCCAAATCTTGGCTTTCTTAGTTTTTTACTAGAACTGCCTGCCGCTTCAGCCCGAATGATTTTTTCTTTGCACTTCCAAATCGTGGAAATAGGTAATTAATTGTTACTTTGTCGTGGTCCTGGAATGGTTATGGTTTTGGAGTAATAAACAGTAGGCAAAATTAATATCGGGGTCGGTTGTAAAAGCACTATATATCTGGTTCAAGTATTCAGTTACATAAATAACCCACATTTCCGGTTTTTATCGTAAGTCATTCTCCATAAAAGTCTAATATTACACTCATCGTGAATAACCCTGTATATTATTTTTACGTTCTAGGTGTTCGATAGAAACTGGCACAAAATGCATTTCGGAGTTTCCCGCGAAAGGGTGTCTTTGTACGTCGATTGTCGGGAAATTCGCCAAAGCCCTCTGCTTCCCCGAATTGGTATCGACATAAACGGAAACATATCGATATCGAAATACGACAATTCGTTCGAAACCGTGCCGGTAAGTATATGGAATAACGATGACAATACAAAAAACATTTTTAATATTCATTTATTTACTCCTTATATAGATGGATCTGCAGTGGATGCTGATGAGCTGCGATCCAACGAAACCTGAAAGGGAAAATTGTGCCGAATTGCCAGACATAGTGAGAAGCCTTGTTTTTTGTGTATTTTTTAAAGAGCGGGAGTAATAACATCAAATTTTTTGCACGAACCCAGCACCGGTCGTTTTTAAACAATTTAAAAGCACATTCAATATAAGTTACAAAAATCCATTTATAATAAGGGTTAATTTAAGAGAAAACAAAAAACACATTAATTATAAGAGGATTAACGAATTCTTCGGAAATATTATCTAGACTCTCTTCTTCTTTTATCATACGCACTACACACGTTTGCGTTTTGTTTTATTTACATGTAATATCGCTTCCCCATTTGCTCTTACAGAAGTACCGGGCGTTCAATTTATCTTGATAACATTTTAACTGGCTGTAACTATTTTGTTTTTAGAGATATACGAGGGCAGCGCCAAAATTTCCCGGCCTGAATATGAAAGAAACAAAGTAGAGTAACAATTTTTTATTATTTTTCAATAAAAACCCAATGAACTTCAATACACTTATTACATCTCTTCATTAACAACTCAACCTCTTTAAAAAAAAATATTCTTTTGGTTTGTCTGAAAAATGATCTAAAACAACTCAACACAACTTCGTCATTAAACTGCTGTCGACGTAAGTCCTTTTTCAAATATACAAACAAATAATAGTCGCTGGGGCCCATATGTGGACTATAGGGAGGATGACCTATCTGTTGGAACCCACACTCTAAAATGGCAGCCTGTGCAAGACCAGCAGTATAAACAGATGCATTATCGTGCAAAAGACGCACGCCTCTGGTCAGTTTTTCTCGACGTTTTACAGCTATACAGTCTCGCAATTTATGTAATAATGTTGCGTACTATTTACTATTGACAGTGGTATTAGTTTCTTTAAATTCTATCAAAAGAATTCCTTCACCTTTTTTGTTGACTGGCAGACTCTGAATTTTCTTGGAGGTGCTTCACCCTTACGACGCCACTCCATCGATAGAGAACTATAGTTTCATCTCCCATCACAATAGTTTATATCACAGGCTCCGGTTCCGACCCACAGAATTCCAAAAAAGACCGCGCACACTCGACACGGCATTGTTTTTGAATAGCCGAAAGGTTTTTAGGAACCCATCTTGCACTAACCTTATCCATACCTAAACGATCATGCAGGACTCGACGAACACTTGTATCAGAAAGCTTAGTAATTTCTCAGATTTAATTGACCTTTAAACGTCGATCACTCAATACCACTTTTTCCACAATCGCAACAATATCTTCCGTTATGACCTCCACTGGTCGACCAGTTCTTGAATCATCTTCAAGGGACTCCTGCCCAATTCGAAAACGTTTTGCCCATTCTTTCATTACAGAATACGAAAGAGATCTTTGGCCGTACACACCATCCAGCCTTTCTTTAATAATTTTAGGTGTTAACCCTTCTTTTGTCAAAAACTTTATGACTGCTCTATACTCAGTTTGCGTTATTTGCGACATTTTTTAGGACACGTCTTGTTTAAAATGCTGTCAATAAACAACTATTTGGCGCAAGAGTTCATTTTTTTCGCAGCCTACTAAGATATATATTTAAAAGGATACAAACTTTTATCGTGATACTGGAGCTGCGTCTATGTCAGGCCGGGAAATTTTGGCGCTAATCTCATATATATATATATATATATATATATATATATATATATATATATATATATATATATATATATATATATATATATATATATATATATATATATATATATATATATATATATATATATATATATATATATATATATATATATATATATATATATATATATATATATATATATATATATATAAGAAATATAAAAGTATAATATATTACGCTTAAATAAAAAGTTCCGTCTGCCAAAAATGAATGACACTCAAAAAGTCAACTCTCGAGATAAATATTAAAAACAATCCTTATCAATATCACTTGATTGCACTACGTCACGATCTTTACTTTGCGTCACAAATCCTTTTTATAATAATAATAAAGGCCTTTATTAAAAAAAGAAGGGCGAGATTCAGTACAACAAAGTTAAATAAATAACTGGAAGTCTGTTTTTACATCTAACCCAATCAAGAAGATGAACGGAACAGCAACATTACCATATGGGTTTTAACGAATTCAAAAAAGAAATTATAATAGCACGAAAGACAAAAGATAATAACTAAAATAATAATAATAAAGTAATGATAAAGTGACACATACGAACAACAAAGTTTATGGTTACATAATCTGGCGGCAGTAGACAATTATTCAATAATTATATAAACAACAGCCCTATTTTCATTGATCTGAATATAGTTTCTGGGACATTTATTTCTTAAATGTTTGTTTTGAAACTGATTTTTTAACTTCAGATCAGATCTGGTAGGAGAAAGACCGTTTATATAATTCTGTTTTGTGGAGTGTTCCCTTAAGATCGAATATTTAAGTTGTGAACATCAGTCCTGAAGCGAATCTTGCTATACACATACAAGGGTGTTTTACTAATCAAAATACAAAGGTACAAAGTTGCTCTACAATAGGTTTTCAACACGTCCGCCATTTTGAATAACTCACGCTGTATAAACAACCTCTATATGATTAGTTGAACTACAGCTTCTCTAAAACACCTTTGTAGTTCATTTACCGTAGTGCATCTTTCTTTATCATTCACACAGGGTGTTGCGCCAACCGAGCCCCATACTTGCCCCACGGTATGTCCAAGAGGTCCACCTGGATATAATGGTACCGACGTAAGTCGAAACTAATTTAATCTTACTTATTCCCTCAAAAAATACTCCGGTCAAAATGATTTCATCGCTTGTATGAAGCGCGAAATAAAAGAAAATCGGCAGAGATTTTTTTTTAATTTTAATTTTAAGTTTCAAAATGATTTTTTTCAAAAATAAATAAAATAAAATAAAATTAATCACAACATGTTAATTACAAGTTGATTGATTTGAAAGTTGTATTGCCGGCTTGATTTATATTTGTTTCGACCTTATTTTTACAAATATTACAAATTTAATGTTTACAAAACTTCTGGATGCCTCCTGCATGATCCCGTTCACTTCTTCATAGCTTAACTGCAACTGACCGGCATTTTACTCTGTACCTGCTTATATACTGTTTGAGGGGGGCGGAGCTAAAGGCGGGGCATGAACATTCTCCCGCCATATTGGTCTCGGTGAAGATTGTTTGGTTGCCTATAGTTTTCTATAGGTTTCGGGATTTTTCGTTGGTAGAAGAATTGACTACATGCAAGTTTTTAATTTATATTTCTTACGAATTTTTGATGTTAAGTGATGTTTTGAATGTAAGGATTGACTCATTGCCTTTGGAAGGTTGTGGTGAAGTGTATTTTGTGATGGAACAAAAGAGTAAACAACACAATTAAAACAGAATGAAATAGATAGATGAAGACCTTACCCTAATATGACAAACATTGGTTTTCCAAAATATTGAATATTGCTATAGTTAGTCGACACGACACTAAGGACACTTATAAGAGTAGCAATGCTATTGCGAGGAAAAGCGGAATAGTTTTACCGACAGTCTTTAAGTCCTTTCTTAAATATTCTCGCACTCTGGAAGCAGTAAAGTTGGTCAGAAAAGCGAGTCGCTAGTGCAGCTGACCTAGTAAGAAAAGAACTCTACCCATAGTTAGTACGACGGAACTTCATGGAAGGACTGGTTTATTCTGGTCTGGCGGGAGGAAACGCGAAGCCCAGTCTTACATAACAGCACAGGTCCATGGGAATTTGAATGCAGTAGATTATAAAAAATGCATGCGACGAATCTGAAGAGTTTTAAGTTGGAGAGAGTTTTCCAATTCAGAGTAATCAATGTCCTCAAGTCCTTGGTGCTCCTAAAATGCTATATACGGCAGAAACCTATGCTGCATTCTTTCTATGGCCTGTATGTGGACGTTATAGGAAGGTGACCACACAAAGGAACAATAATCCAGGTGTGGACGCACGAGGGAACAGAACAGTAATCTGAGTTACTAACACTCTGGAAGTCCACTGTACAACGCTTAATAAAGCCCAAAATCTGAAGTGATTTAGACATAATAAATGAAACATGGTGTGTGAAAATCAAGTTAATATCCACTATGTTTATGTTATACGTAAAATGTATGGGGTTTCTCCTCCGGTAGAAGTTCATTTGGTCGCATTTATTAATATTTAGTTCCATTCCATTCAAAACGCTATATAGCGATAGGTGATCTAAATCGGTCTGGAGTTTTATACAGTCATCAACATAATGGACTCCCATATAGAATTTTTAGTCGTCAGCAAATAATACGAAACATGCGTGATGAAAACATAAGGCAATAGACATAGACATTGAAGAGGTGGGATCGTTGTGGAACACCAGAAGGCCCTCAAATTTCGATGGATTGGAAGCGCTGGACGCGCACAATCTGAGCTCTCTCGCAATGTTTCGCAATTTTTTTATTAAGATTTACTCGATCAAAAGCCTTTGAAAAGTCTGTCTAAACGTGAGAATGTGAGAAAGTTTAGCTCAGTGGAGCGATGGGGGAGAAACCAAATTGTTGGTTGCTAATCGATGATTGATGATGTGTGATGTGGCATTGATGTATCGGTTTTCTGTAAACAGAATTGCTCAGTGTTAGGTCTGATTTTCTATTGATAATAAATATATAACAAAGTGTGTTGGGCTTTCCACTCAAAGGCTTCCTTCACGATGGTGACAATGGAGACCCCATAGTTGATCCCGACATTTGTTCAAAAAATTGACCGTTATAAGAAAAATATGTTCCCGACAAGCATTTTTCAAGTAAGACGGTAAGACAGTGTACAGATTAATATTACCAGTTTTTGCTTTTGTGCTTGATGGCCTCTCCATAAAGGGTTGTTCAATTTTAAAAGAAAGAAAAAATCCGAACATTTTTAGAAATCTATAAGCAACCAAACAATCAACGGAGCTCGTTACTTGTCAATAATGCGATGACTATCCGAGACAATATATAACTAGGTACAGAGTAGAATAGGACCCAGTCTCAGTTAAGCTCTGAAGAAGTCATCAGGATGATTGGCGAAACGTCAGCAAATTCGACGCAGGAGGAATCCAGAAGATTTGTAAATAGTAAGTTTTTTTAGTGTAGATATGTAGATCATTAAGTTTTTTCCAAAGAGTTTTGACTAAATCACACAGTTTTTCTTCTGCGCGAAATAAATATTAAAATTAAAAATAATTATACTTAACTTTTCCTTGAAATTACTTAATTCTTTACACATAAAGCCATATGTAGTGTTTAATTAGTTTTTTAAATTCACTGCCAAATCACAATGTCGATAAGGGGTTGCCAGGCGATAGGGGCCCGCCAGGACCATCGGGTCCGATCGGTTTGCCAGGACCTCGTGGAGAAAGGGGAGAATTTGGAGCCCCAGGTTACCCAGTAGGTGGAGCCCATATATGACCAGCCTCGCTTCCAATAAAACGACTGATATCCGTTGAATTGATTCCAGCTTCTCGCTACTAACGCTAAATTAATCGCACTAACGTCCGCAGGGGAGTCCGGGACCTCCGGGACCTAAAGGAGTACCGGGTCCAGAGGGAATCATTGGTCCCTCGGGTCCCAGAGGACTTAGCGGACCAAGAGTATGTACTACACTAAATTATATGAAAAATCTTATATCGAGCTTCGCATCTTGTACACTAATGAACCTCCCGCTATTCTAAAAATTATTTCGATATATGCGCGTAGGGTACTCCAGGTTTACAAGGAATACCGGGCATTAAAGGAATCCAGGGTAGTCCGGGACACGACGGCAATCCAGGTCGGAGCGGATCCCCTGGTTCCAAAGGAGAAAAGGTAATAACAATATAACAATATAACTATAGAATACGTGTGAAAATATGGTACAATATTCATAGATAGTATAAAAAAGTACTCATATCCACAATTTATATCCAGAATGTGCTTGTACTCTTTTATTTCTACATTCTATAAGGTACGAGGTGGGTTCAAAAAGTATTTATTTATTTATCAACATTAATGTTGTCCCCTTCAAAATAGTCCCCCCCAATTGCTCCTTTTTTCCAATCCTGGAAGCACTTCTAGTATAGGATTCAGGTCTTAAAGCAATTTTTCGTTTTTTCATCAAATCAAGTGGAGTTATCCCGTTTTACCGATCCACTACGAGAGTAGGAATTAAATCAGGGAAACTTTCACTGTCATCACTGGCGATGACAAAATTGGTTTAAATTGCACACTTCCATCATAGTTTTACCTAACCAGTTTTTATAATTTTTTAAACACATAAGAACAATCCTTTGTTTCATAATTTGTTTCAAATAATAATTCAGGAAAAAAATACGAAAAACCGATGATTAACAAAAAATAATAGAATGGGTGTTTCTTAATAGGGTGACCTTGGACCGCCTGGGCCCAAAGGCGATCGTGGGTTAGATGGATTTCCAGGCATTGAAGGGCCCCAAGGACTACCTGGGCCTCCAGGATCGGTTTTGGGATTAAACGGAACGTACAGAATTGAAAACTCTCCGGGACCCATAGGTCCACCAGGACCTCCGGTTAGTTACTTAGATAGATAGATTCACAAAACCCATTACAATGGATGTTTCCTCACAAAAAATCACATTAAAATTGTTTTAAAAGAGATGAAGTAGAAAATGTGTATGTATTACAATAAAGTTATACATATCGGACAATCATATAAGATGTGTATATAACAAACAATACAAACACATCAATATAACAAACATTGATTTAGACATGCGCTTCGAATTCACTTAGGCTATAAAAAGTGTTGGTTGTCAGATACATCTTGACATGTTTCTTAAATTGCTTTCTAGAAAGGTTCTTTAAGTCAGGGCCTGTGGTCCTGCATGGCCTAAAGATCTTCTACAAAATATGTGATTCGGTTTAGGCTTTAAGAGATTTTCTCTGTTACGAGTGTAGTGACAATCGTTATCAATGCGTTTCTTATGTAAATGTTTATTTTTGTGTGAAACTAGTAGTATTTTAAATAGGTATATACAAGGAACCGTCATTATTTTGTGTTGCTGAAATATTTCTTTGCAAGACTGTCTCGGAGAAAGTTTCAAAAATAGCCTAAGTATTCTTTTAGTTTACTACAAACGCGTTTTGACCTCACCTCGATGATTCATCAATGTAGGAGCCAAGAAATCTTGTGCTCTGACTTTTCCCTAAGGATGTTCCAGAGAAACTAAAGGATAATTCATATAAGGGTCTAATGTACTGGAAAGTAAATCCAAACACAACTGTCTTCTCTAATTTATGATTAAATGATTTTGCTTGCAAAATTTATTAAACTGTTCAACGGCAACAGAGACATTATTTATTAGCTCCTGAAGACCAACACGGACATGAAAACTCGACAGTTACTGTTTAGGATTTCAGGTAAATCGTACACTTGTTTTTCTTTGATTCGTATACGACCTGATCCAATTATTAATAGGCCCTCTTATGGCTAAAGATTCCAGCTTTTCCGACATTTCGAAATCGAAATCGAATGGGCAAAACGTTTTCGAATGGGGCAGGAGTCCCTTGAAAATAATTCAAGAACTGGTCGATCAGTGGAGGTCATAACGGAAGATATTGTTACGATTGTGGAAGAGGTGGTATTGAGTGATCAACATTTAAAGGTCAAGGAAATCTCAGAAATTCTCAGAAATTACTAAGCTTTCTGATACAAGGGTTCGTCGAATCCTGCATGTTCATTTAGGTATACAGAAAGTTAATGCAAAATAGGTTCCTAAAAACCTTTCGGCTATTCAAAAACAACGCCGTGTCGAGTGTGCGCGTTCTTTTTTGGAACTCTGTGGGTCGGAACCGAAGCCTGTAATAGAACCTATTGCGACGGGAGATGAAACTATGCTTCTCTATTATGACCCTCAATGGAGTGGTGTCGTAAGGGTGAAACACCTCCAAGAAAATTCAGAGTCTGTCAGTGAACAAAAAAGGTGATGGCCACGATCTTTTGGGATTGTGAAGGAATTCTTTTGATAGATTTGAAAGAAACTAATACCACTGTCAATGGTAAATGTTACACAAGATTATTACATAAATTGTGAAACTGCATACGTGTAAAACGTCTAGGAAATCTGACCAGAGGCGTGCGTCTTTTGCACGATAATGCACCTGTCCATACTGCTGGTGCTGAACAAGCTGTCATTTTAGAGTGTGGATTCCAACAGATAGATCATCCTCCCTATAGTCCAGATATGGCCCCCAGCGAGTATTATTTGTTTGGATATTTAAAAAAGGACTTACGTCGAGGGTGGTTTAACGACGAAGTTGAGTTAAAAGAGGTTGTTTTAGATCATTTTTCAGACAAACCAAAAGAATATTTTTTAAAGGGATTGAGTTGTTAATAAAGAGATGTAATTCGGTTGTACACTGCCTTCTCTAATATTTTAGATAAGCAATCGCTTAATGTAGAGTCCCCTTTTTTGAATACCGGGAAACCGTCTCCTATTACTTTATAATTGTTGAAAAAACGTTGTTAATATTTAGTTTAATAATATTCCTATTTATTTTTTTACCTAATTGACCAGTTCCGACATTTTTTAGATTTATCAAGTTTGAAAAGAAAGCTTTTTTTTGGTCGACCTGTTTATTTACTAGATTTTTCAATATTTTGTCGTTATTGTGTACGGTTTCATCTTTAAAGGTTTTCTACTCCAATTTAGCTGTTTTAATAGAATATATAGGTATAGAAATTTTTTGATTTAAGTTTTTATTCTGAATTTTGTGTACTGGATGTGATACTTCAAAGCACCATAACAAATGATCCCAGAATATATTAAACATATTATCGGTGTTCGTATACCCCGTAAGAATTGTAGATTCCTTTTGAAAGTAAGTACGAAATATTGGAGCTTATTTTATTGGATTGGAATTTGAAACTTAATTTTTGAGATAAATGGTCTGATATTCCTAAGTTAATTTGATTAAGAGTGGAATCTTTGAAATTTGTTACGATATAATCAACTGTTGTTGAACTCGTATGACCCCCTAACATCCTAGAGCCTGAGTTCTTGTGGGCGAGGACATGGGAGATATCAAACCAAATGTAATTTTTTTGTTTTATAATCATTTTCTTCACTGTTGAGGTTCAGATCTCCACACAGCAGCGTCAATTCGTATTTGGTGGTAGAATATTGCAATACCTCATCGAGCTGGTTTAAAAATAAATCATAGTCACCTAGGGGTGGTCTATACAAGCAAATAATGCACAGTTTGTTCCTATAACTTGTCGCGCAGCATTCAAAAATCTGCTCGATCGAGAACCGATTAATATTACTTATATCCAAGCAATCGCTGTGTAATTTTGATACATTACTTTGTTGTTCTGTCAACCAATTCTCCGTAAATTACTTAAATTCGATAACTTATTATTTAACTATTATTATAGGGGCCACCTGGAGAGGGGTATCTAGGACCACGCGGGCCACCGGGTTTACCAGGACAAGACGGGAGGGATGGTTTGCCGGGCCCACCAGGTCCAAGAGGGGATATGGGACCACCGGTAAGTCACCGGTTATCGCCTAATCACGAAAGTCGCGATCTTTGACATGTTAAGGGCGAACCTGGGCCTGGGTCCTATTCTGGACGTCCATTCGCGATAAACGGCGTTGGTGCAAAAGGGGAACCCGGGATCAAAGGGGATCGGGGTGAGCAAGGCGAAAAAGGAGAACCAGGTATGCTTGGACCAGAAATATAGTGCTTTTACAACCGACCTTTGCCTACTGTTTATTACTCCAAAATGGCCGCCCCTTAAAGAGCACTCTTTTTCACCGAGCAATATGTACATAAAAAATTAAACAAAATATTAAATACAATAATAATAAAGTTTCAGTCACTATCGTACTGTCGTCAACTAGTTCATCATCTCTCGCTTTCTTCTTGACTTGCAACAATTTTTCTTACAGTTGACTTCGGAACTTTGCTCATGTCACTTGTTACTTTCGAAAATAGATGAAATCCAATTTTTCGAAAGTATCTGCGCTCGTATAAAAATTTTATATCTCGGTAACGGTAGGTCCTATGGGATCGTCGTTGGTACAGAAATGATCGCCGTCGAAAGAAAAAAAAATCTTTTCTGTATGTCCGTTCTCCGTTCTCGTCTTTTAACTTTTCCTGAATAACTTTCGAACCTTTGGAGCTACAAAATTGAAATTTGCCTCCTTTCTAAAAGCACCTAAGCTTATAAGAAATGGCCCTAATCCGACGCCGGTATCCATCTTTTTTTCGCGATTTTCCACTGTTTTTTGTAAGTAAGATAAGTGTCCGAAATTCATACACTTTTATTCTTGACAATTTTTCAAAATATACAGGGTGCGCCGTAAATTAAAAAAAACCGAAAAATGGGTCCCCCTATTATTGAAAATTGGCAATAATTTCAAATCCACGTTTTAGATGCCAGTTTCTTTTACATGACGATATAGCCCATATAGACAGCTTAAACTTTTGTATTTACAGTTTTTAAATATCGTGCAGGGTGTTCGCGATATTCCGTGCAATATTAAAAAAACATAATAAGTACCAAAAATTTGCAGCTACCCACTTCAAACTTGCGAGAGAAGCGGAAGTCTGGACCGGCATTTAGAAGAAACCTGAAACTCTCTCACGACACCGTTCAAGTAAAATTATCCCATATTTAACGGTTTTTCATTTATCGCCAATAATTTACCCACAAAAACGGAAACTTTTTGGATATTTTAGATTTTTTGCCCATAAACGACACACCCTGTATATGATTCAATCATTGTTCGAAGTAGAGGTCATAGCCCTGGATTTTCCACGTTTCCTGGAATTCTTTGAGAATAGTAAATGGTTTTCGAGAAAATAAGTTTTTGCTGAAACGTAATAATCAATGTTGTCATCGCGTGTTGACAGCTCCCGAAATAAGGATTTCAATATGGGTATTTTCAAATATTAGTTGAAAATGTGATACAAATTTATGTACCGCTTTTGATAACTTTTGAAATCGTATATAATATCTTTCCTTTACACATTTCACGGTTCCTTTAGTAGTGATAATAATAAAATTTCTAAATGGATATGCAAAAATATTGCCTGGATGTGACAAAAAAATCATAGAATAGGACGTGCATTAACGCACCACTGGGTCAAAATGGGTTAATGTATACATCCGATATCAGGTGCGCGAGGCGTTGCGGGAATTCCGGGCCTGGACGGCGCGCCCGGACCTGCCGGAAAAGAAGGCCATTGGGGTTTGCCCGGTTCAAAGGGAGAACCGGGAGTTTCAGGACAGCCAGGACCAGCAGGATCGCAAGTACGACAATCAAAGGCACGTAAAATAAATCGGGAAACGTGAAAAACATTGCAGGGTTCACCCGGACTTCCCGGAGTTCCGGGTCTAAAAGGAGAACCAGGCCTGCCTGGAAACGCAGTCGATGCTGAAAGGGGTATTCCAGGATCTCAGGGTGAGCGAGGCTATCCGGGACCGGCGGGAGAAAAGGGAGAACGCGGTTTTCCAGGCTTGCCCGGGCCGCCGGGGCTAACAGGACCTCAAGGACCTCAGGGTCCCGAGGGAATCAGAGGTCCATCGGGCGAACAAGTTAATTTTGTTTCTCTTCAAATCGATCGCATTCCGGTCTACTAAATTTTCTAGGGGCAACCGGGAGAAAAAGGGGAACGCGGTCCTACAGGTTTGGAAGGACCCGCGGGTCCGCCGGGAAGAGACGGTTATCCAGGACGGGCCGGTAAAACCGGACCGAAAGGGGAACGAGGAGAGCCGGGAGAGCAGGGATTAATAGGACCGAGAGGATACCCTGGCCCGGCAGTAATGATTGAAATCACCTTGGCAATATACAGGGTGTTCGGAAATTGAGTTCGGAAACTTGGAGGAAAGATTCGACGTGATAAAAAAATGGTAGTAAGTCATGTAACGAAAATTCGAAATCGTAATGTTTTCCGAGTTATAGCTTGTCAAAATTCATGTTTTTAAATTTTATTTTTAACGCAGTAGATCGATAGATAGATAGATAGATATTTATTTCGCTTTTCGCATATAACACATACGAGGGCAGCGCCAGAATTTCCCGGCCTGAATATGAAAGAAACAAAGTTAAGTAACAATATTTAATTTTTTTTCAATATAATCCCCCTTAACTTCAATACACTTATTACATCTCTTTATTAACAACTCAATCCCTTTAAAAAAATACTCTCTTGGTATATCTGAAAAGTGACCTAAACGAGCCTCTTTTAACTCAACTTCGTCGTTAAACCGCCATCCACGTAAGTCCTTTTTCAAATATCCAAACAAATAATAGTCGCTGTTGGCCATATCTGGACTATAGGGAGGATGATCTATCTGTTGGAACCCACACTCTAAAATAGCTGCTTGTGCAACACCAGCAGTATGGACAGGTGCATTATCGTGCAAAATACGCACGCCTCCGGTCAGTTTTCCTCGACTTTTTACACCTATGCAGTCTCGCAATTTATGTAATAATGTTGCGTAATATTTACCATTGACAGTGATATCAGTTTCTTTAAAATATATCAAAAGAATTCCTTCACAATCCCAAAAGATCGTGGCCATCACCTTTTTTGTTGACTAGCAGACTCTGAATTTTCTTGGAAGTGTTTCACCCTTACGACGCCACTCCATTGATTCTTTTTTCGATAGAGGGTCATAATAGAGAACCATAGTTTTGGTTAGTTTCTATCACAGGCTTCGATTCCGACCCACAGAGTTCCAAAAAAGTTTTTGAATACCCGAAAGGTTTTTAAGAGCCCATCTTGCACTAACCTTATGCATACCTAAATGATCATGCAGGATTCGACGAACACAGAAAGCTTAGTAATTTCTGAGATTTCCTTGATCTTTAAACGTCGATCAGTCAATGCCACCTCTTCCACAATCGCAACAATATCTTCCGTTATGACCTCCACTCGTTGACCAGTTCTTGGATCATCTTCAAGGGACTCCTGCCCCATTGGAAAACGTTTCGCCTATTCTTTCACTACAGAATACGAAGGAAAACTTTGGCCGTTCATGCCATCCAGACTTTCTGTAATAATTTTAGGTGCTAACCCTTCTTTTGTCAAAAATGTAGTGAAAGAATGGGCAAAACGTTTTCGAATGGGGCAGGAGTCCCTTGAAGGTGACTGCTCTATACTCAATTTGCGTTATGTGCCCCTTTTCTTCGGACACGTCTTGTTTAAAATGCAGTCAATAAAAAACTATTTGACGCAAGACTTCAATTTTTTTTTCGCAGCCTGCTAAGATATATATTTAGAAGAAGACATAGTTTTATCGTGATACTGGAGCTGCACCTATGTCAGGCCGGGAAATTTTGGCGCTAACCTCGTATGTGGGTATATTAAGCACGTCACATCACATTAAAATGCGGTGTAGAGACACCTATTATTTAAAAAGATCTTAGTTCTTCTCTCAAACACAGATGAATTATCAGTTTCTTCGAAGCATTTATAGAAATTTAAAGCTATGCCATGTACTTTCAAGCCAAAATACCTTGGGTTTTGTTGCCCGAGATGCAGTCTAGAGAATGGAACGCCCAAGTAATATCTTTGCCGTGTGTCATGTTCGTGCAAGTCACATCTCCTATTCCATCTTGTCGTGTTACTTTTGACGTAAATCGAAACGGAATCTCTACATGAATGTTTACTAGTTACACGCATCATGTAACGAATAGCACGTTTTTGTGCTAGGAAGACCCGGTGTGCACCAGTGGCTAGACCCCAATATTTACATATCTTAAATACAGCCCTGTTTTAATAAGAATCATCGTTACAAAATAAAAGTGTTTCAGATATCTGCCACTAGAGGGCATTTTACCTAGAACATTTTTTTTGATTTTCCCTGTATTTTATTTATTTAGACTGATATTACAAAATAGAACAGATCGCCTTAAACAGAATCACAAATCCTCAAAAATTATTACTTTTGTTTTAAGTCGATAAGTGTTATCGTTCAACCACAAATTACGATTCACTTTCAAAATGCCCATTTCTAAACATTTTCTTATACATTTTAAAAAATGCTATCCAACACAAAAAATACGCCTATTTCTAATGATTTCTCAACCGTTTTTTGTTTGTTGTAGATATTCCATACACTAAAGACTTTAAGTGTGTCTGGTGAGCGGGGCGGCCAAGCTAGAGGTCCGCCCCCACCTAACCATCGATGTTCAAATATCTGATTTAAATCCCCTGTACACTGTAAAATGAGGTGGAAGGCTATCTTTCATTAACCACATGTTTTGTCTTCACTGGAAGAGAAAAGTCTGTTCATAGATATAAGAAGGTGACTAACTGATACGAATTAAGGAAAGAGCCGGGCAAGTTGCAAGAATAAGATATGGCCGAACAGGTCCGGACTTCTCTTAGAATTTCATTATTTGGGGTTTTGTTAGGAAAGATACGAAACAAGATTTTTTTTTATGCATGTATTTATGTTTAAATCTAAAATAAAATTACAAATTATTTTTATTACCTACTAAAATTACTTCAAATTATTCACATAATATATCAGTATCACTATCGCTATTCTGTTCTAATTATTATTTGTTCTATATTATTTGAAATATGGATATACGATTGTTCTGCTTTTTCTATATGTTTAACAGAATTTGCCCAACTTTGTGAAGGAATGATAAAAACTTCGGTTTTTATAAGTTTGAGGACATTGGAGTTAACACGGGGAAAATATTGTTCAATGTTAGTAAATATACAGTGGTAAGGTGGAAGCCTTAGAACTGTATGCCCTAGATTTTTTGCATAGTTATCACAGACGTATTCCTTTTGTAGGTTCAAGCGTTGTAGAACCTCAATTAATTGCTTTTTGGCATAATCTTCGTGAAAATAAATGTCGTTATTATACATGTAGTTTTGGATTGTTGCTTTTGTGTCATATGAGAAAGGGGTTTTAGTCAACTGTGATAACTTGCATTGTCCATTACAATTGCGCTATTAGGAGAAATGCTTGGAAATAGTTTGTTTTTGAACTTTCAAATAAATCAGCGGTGGTGTGGAGAAGAATCTTTAATATTTTTCGCAGACAGAGAAAGTTCATTTGGAATCCAACCATCTTTAAAGCCAGCATGCAAAATAGTTATTCTTTTACCTCTTTTTGATGGCCCGTTTGTTTTACACTTATCAGTTGAGTCAACCCAACCCTTTTCCGGTATATCATAAGTGTCGAACCAGGTTTCATCCAAGTAAATAATTCACCTTTGTTATTCTCTGTAAATCCTAATTTTTTCTAGTTATTCCGGTTCCATTTCCGAATTCTAAAAGATTCCATTAAAACTTGCCTTTTGTCAATTTTTTTAAATCTAAAATCCATGTGTTGAATACACTTCCATAAGGTAGTTCTGACACATTTAGCATCGGTAATGTAGGCACGCTTTGTTCCTCGTATAACTGGTATATTTTACGCAGTATTATATCTTGATCACTTTCATTTACACTCGAGAAAATGTCAGCATCGCTCCTTTTTTTCGTCGCTGAAAATTCTTCTAAAGATTCTTGCTTACTGGCACTACGTTCAATGAGAGTCAAATAAATAACTTTCTTAGTCTCAATAGAATAGTGTTTTCTACATTTGGGCGGGAGCATCTCCTGAGATACACTAAACTCGCACATATTTTGCATAATTCGCACACGATTCAACACACGCTGTATTACACACGAAATAAGAATGATTACTGATAAACTTAAACTAAGTAGTATACCAAACCAAAGAACATTAAACACAGGCACGTGTAAAATTATTTTCCTTTACGGACCACAATTTTGCCTAAATTTAAATTCCGAAACTTTAGGTAATAATCTTATTGCATTGTATATTAATGACAATTCTTGGATTATCCCATTCAAAAGCAATTGGTCACTTTCTTATATCTATAAACAGACCATACCTCTTCCAGCAAAGGTGGTAGTTCCTCTTGGAGAAATTGCAAATACATCTCCCCATTAAGTCAGTGAAAAAAATGACATTGAAGAATTGCGGGTAATTTTGAATTTTGCATTGCATAAAATTACTATCAATTGGTCATAATCGTCATACAGGAGCAGCCTCCACATCCTGAAGTATTCTTTATTCTCTTGCAGCGGTTCTTTTATACCTTGGTCTCTCTTTATTCGTATTATCAGGTTTGAACGATCCTCTTTCGCCAAGTCATCTGTGTATGCTCGATGTGCATTTCCTTTTGCTCTTCAGTAGCAAAAAAGTATATCGCGAAATTCGGTACTCGAATATTCCTGATGGACCATCGCAGTAGCAGTTGAATAATAAGCCCTTTTAATAGCAACTTTCAACTTTCAAATTTCATTAATTCGACCCGAGAATAAAAAATCGTAGTAACAATTTTTGAGGTTATGTTCTAGGTAAAGTGCCCTCTAGTGACAGATTTCTGAAACACTTTCACTTTGAAACGATGACTTTTACTAAATCAGTGTGTAAAGTAGCAGCTCATTCCTTAAAAAAAAGACTTTTGACAAACATGACTACCATTATTTTACCACGTGCAATCTTTTCTCCAACTTTCCGAACTCAATTTCCATACACCCTGTATATTTCGAAATTTTACGAAATCAGGGTAACAACGGACTTCCCGGACCCTCCGGAATACCGGGTGTACCCGGATCGGACGGAAAACCCGGAGCGCCAGGTCAACCCGGGCCACCTGGAGCTCCAGGTGAAGTCAGCAGCGTGTCTCACCTAGTCGAAGGATACGGGAGGGCAGTTTACGGACCTCGGGGACTACCGGGACCACCGGGAATTGTATGGCGTTTAATGAAAAATAAAATACGGATAGGTTATCGTAACATACGAATCTTCCAGCCCGGAGAAAGAGGAGGGACGGGAGATAGGGGTCCCGAAGGACCAAGCGGACCTCCAGGTGTACCGGGAAAAGAAGGAACGCCGGGATTTCCAGGGACGCCGGGTCCGCGGGGACACCCAGGTCTTCCTGGAATAGAAGGCCCTCCGGTGAGTACTTATTACAGACTTTCATTTTGGCTAATTTATAAGATTTTCGAAAGCTCTGGCTTTAGGCTAAATCCATAGAATTATAGAAAAAATTTACACTTTCGATTCGATTATAATAATATGGAATAGCTTTTTTTACAATTTTTAAGCGGTCCATTTTACCCCTGGCATTTCGCAAGGCGCTCAAAATGTACAAATAACCAGAATTTATAATTGTGGTAACGAAAAAAAATTAAATATCATTCATCATTGTCATCATATCGGACATTTTACTAAATTCAATATTTTTTCTACTCCAATTTGTAAAATACCTAATTACACACCGATCTAGCGTGCGGGAAGCGTCACTTTACCACGTCAGTTTCGTTTCCCACGGATCCGAGCCACTTCGGACATTTCCGGGATTTTACCGAACGGGTTTGGGTGCAATCGTATGTTTTCGTTGACATTTCCCACGCCTTGAATTTTAACGTTTGTCAATTCTGACAGTCATGTCGTGTTGTTTTGCGAAAATTTACCCAAAAACTAACGGTCGTAGTGCAACACGTTCGGTAAACTTTTTAAGTCACTCGTTTATTAAAAACTCGCTCCGCTCGTTTGTTGTTGATATTTGTTTAATAATAATTATTACTATTATTATTACATAGTAGGTACTAAAAAGTTTATCAGACACTCCTTGGTATGCTAGGGCCGACTATGTATCATTAAGACATCATTTAAAAAAAAAAAAGATAATAATCAAATGATAATTCAACAGTTAAACTCTCAAACCTTACACAAAAAACTATGTGCAGTTAAGGTAGACTTTGTGGCTTTTAACCATCAAGTCGATTTATTTTTGACTAACTTTAACTAAATTTACTCACTCTCCCCTATTTCTAACGTTATATATAATAATTATAATTATTTATTAAAAAGTATTTAATAAAAAAAACGTTGACGTGAGAAAAAATCAAGCCCACGAGAAAAGTAATTGTCAACAAGCAATACTAAATTATATGAACCGACTTGCCTCTCCCTCCCCTACCTTTTAATGAAATATTTTCAAATTGAAAAAACGAAAAATGGCAATTGCTAAAAAAAAGTAAAAATGCTACTTAGCAAAGTTTTTTAGAATGTTAAAATGAAGGATAGAAGGACTTAGTAATCATTTTCAAGGTCGTGCTGACATAACTCACATTTACGATTTTTGGGTACTTTTGGGATACAAAATCATTTTTTTTTCACACACGTATTATGTATCAAGATGCATTATTTAGTGTACCATTTTATTTTCATACATCAGTGGCGGGTGTACGGAATTTCACATATCTATTTTGAAAAACATTGATTTCTCTTAAAATAACAATTATTCTTACAATAAACAAATTAATTTAATTTCTTGCTTTTTTCAATTCAATGTGCGGTTTTCATATAAAAAAATTAAAACCTCTCCTCCGCATATTCATAACAAAATCATTAATATGGATCGTTAAAAGTGATTGTCCAGATGTTTTATTAAAATACTTGAAAAATCGAAGTTCAACTACGAAGTAATTAAACTCTGAAGTGTATTTTTGAAATCTTTATAATTATTTTCTAGAAGACGGTTGTTTGACATCAGTTTTTAAATTTAGTCCTTCGCGTCTTATTAATGCGGTGTTTTAAGAACGCTTTCCTAATAGAGTCCTACCAGATACGTGAACATTTTTAAATGTAGATAAAAAGTTGACTGAAACAGGTACTGTGAGGACAAATAATCATTTAAAAGAGGCCGACCGGACTGTAAGAACTCCAGAAATTGAGGAAGCAGTTTTAGATTCTATTGATGAAAATCCTGAACTTAGTAGGTACAAAAAAAAGTAATTTGAATACTTTTTTTTTTGCTTGAGTGTTAATTTTTGTCAATTGAGTTGTTTTTTGTAGAATTGTAGAATTTAAACATCGGTAAATGTTTAAGCTGGAATTGTTGGGAATTAATTCATTGGACACTTTTTCCAGAAAGGCTAAATGGCTATAATTATCACCAGTTTTTATAAAAGGATTTGCCAATATTGCTAGAAGTATGGTCTGTTCATAGATATAAGAAAGTGGCCAAAGGGTGGTCATTAACATATAATGAAACAAGATTATTACCTAAAATTTCGGAATTTCAATTCAAGTAAAATTGTGGTCCGTAATAGAAAATAATTTTATACCTACCTGTGCTTAATATTCTTTGGCTTGGTATATTACTTAGTTTAGATTTATTAGTAATCATTCTTATTTCGTGTGTAATACAGAGTGTGTTGAATCCTGTGCGAATTATGCAAAATATGTGCGGGTGTAGTGTATCTCAGGAGATGCTCCCGCCCAAATGTAGAAAACGCTATTCTATTGAGACTAAGGAAGTTATAAACAATGTTTATTTCACTCTCATTGAACGGGGGCCAGCAAGCAAGCATTGACGAAAATTCCAACATGAACTCTTTGGAAAATTGCGAATAATCCCATTTCAGCGAGGAAAAAAGAAGCGATGCTGACATTTTCTCAAGTGTAGATGAAAGTGATCTAGGTATAATACGGCGTAAAATTTTAGGAGGCTTGAAAAGGATGAAACCGGTGTTAAATGTGGCAGAACTACCTTATGGAAGTGTTTTAGATTTAAAAAAATTGACAAAAGGCAAGTTTTAATAGAATCTTCTAGAATTCAGAAATGACGACTGGAATGTCTAGAAAAAATTAGGATTAACCGAGAACAACAAAGGCCAATTATTTACTCGGATGAAACCTGGTTCGACACTGATCATACCCCTATAAAGGGTTGGGTTGACTCAACTGATAAGTGTAAAACAAACGCGCCATCAAAAAGAGGTAAAAGAATAACTATTTTGCATGCTGGCTCTAAAGATGGTTGGATTCCAAATGTCTGCGAAAAATATTAAAGATTATTCTCTGGATTACCATGAAGACACCACCGCTGATTTATTTGAAAATTAGTTCAAAAACAAAATAGTTCAAAACATTCCTCTTAATAGCGTACAATGCAAGTTATTACAGTAGACAGTTGACCAAAACCTCTTCCTCATGTGACACAAAAGCAACAATCCAAAACTATATGTCTAATTGTAAGATTATACCAAAAAGCAATTAATTGAGGTTCTCCAAAGCTTGAACGTACAATAGGAAAACGTCTGTGATAATTATGCAAAAAATCTAGGGCATACAGTTTTAAGGCTTCCACCTTACCACTGTATATTTTTAATCCCATTGAACATGTTTGGCGCCAACTGAAATCTGCCATTCGTCGTAACAATGTTTTTCCTTATGTTAACTCCAATGTCCTCAAACTTATAGAAACCGAAGTTTTTAAAATCCCTCCACAAAGTTGGGCAAATTCTGTTAAACATATAGAAAAAGCAGAACAATCGTATATCCATATTTCAAATAATATAGAACAAATAATAATTAGAACAGGATAGCGATAGTGATACTGATATATTATGTGAATAATTTTAAGTAATTTAAGTAGGTAATAAAAATATGTGATTTTATTTTAGATTTAAACATAAATAAATAAATACTGTTTAGTATCTTTTCTAACAAAACCCCAAATAATTGAATTCTAAGCAAAGTACGGACCTGTTCGCCCATGTTTCATTCTTACGGCTTGCCCGGGTCTTTCCTTAATTCATATGTCACTTTCTTATATCTATGAACAGACTTTACCAATCAATTAATGTATGGTGTAGTGTCATAGATGTCGTGTTGGAGGCTTTTTGTAATAAAAGAGAACTCCACTAAAAGTCCTTTATTTAATCTGCGTCATGAGGCTCGGACATAAGCGCGCGAGATACCGGGCCGAGAATCCCACATTCTAACCTCTCAAGACCATAGAATATGAACATCACAGACCACCGAAAACCCTGATGCAACAATAGATAGGCATATTTTTTGTCTGATATTTATAGATCAAAAGTTAACTGGAGATCATTATTTGCAACTCTTAGATTGTTTTGTTTTATATGTTACTTGGGAAAAAACTTGGCTATATTTAATTAGGAATAGAATGTGGTCCATGCATGAGGGCGTGCTTGCTTACCTTAGTATTGCAGTAAGAGAATATTTAAATCACCATTTAATAATCGATGGGTAGGTCGGGGCGGACGTTAACCATGGCCCCCTAAGTCCCCAGATTTAAATGCTTTTCAGTTTTTTTTATGGGGGCCTCTTAAAAGTTTGGTTTATCGCACCCCAGTTAACACTGTTGAAGAGTTGAAATTATATACAGGGTATGTCGTTTGTGGATAAAAAATTCTAATAGATCCTAGAAATTTCCGCTTTTGTATCGTAAACTGTGTGGAGAGAGAGTTTAAGGTTTCGTCTATACTACAGGGGACGCAAAATTTTTGAAAAAATATCATTTTAAATTGCAATTACCAGTACAAATTTTAATATTTACCGGAGTATGCCGTAAATTTGAAGTTCGACGAGATGTGAAGGACACTTTATACAGGGTGCATTCACAATCAAGTTATATCGATTTTGCGAAAGTTCCATAGTGGTCCGCAGGAGCACGATAGAAAAACAATGCGTCCCTCTAGGACAACAATAAGCGAAGCGTCTTCTTTTTAAAATAAAAAGCTGATTCGCGCTATTTGCGACGAGTTTTCGAAAGTAATCTTGTTTTAGCTCCGCCCCCTCAAACCGTATATAAGCAGGTAAAGTCTGTTCATAGATATAAGAAAGTGACTAACTGATACTAACTAAGGAAAGACCCGGGCAAGCTGTGAGAATGAAATATGGCCGAACAGGGGTATCACAATTGTCGAACCAGGTTTCATCCAAGTAAATAATTGTCCTTTGTTGTTCTCTGTAAATCCTAATTTTTTCTAGATATTCTAGTCGCCATTTCCGAATTCTAAAAGATTCCATTAAAATTTGCATTGTCAATTTTTTAAAATCTAAAACCCATGTGTTGAATACACTTCCATAAGGTAGTTCTGTCACATTTAACGCTGGTTTCATATTTTTCAAGCCTCCTAATTAAGATCGGTAATGTAGGCACGCTTTGTTCCTCGCTTCTTTTTTTTTCTCGCTGAAATGGGATTATTCAGAATTTTCCATACAGTTGATGTTGGAATTTTCGTCAAGGTGGGCCTTTCTTCTAAAGATTCTTGCTTGCTGGCACCACGTTCAATGAGAGTCAAATAAACATTGTTTATAACTTCCTTAGTCTCAATAGAATAGTGTTTTCTACATTTGGGCGGGAGCATCTCCTGAGATACACTACATTCGCACATATTTTGCATAAGTCGCACACGATTCAACACACGAAATAAGAATGATCACTAATAAACTTAAACTAAGCAGTCTACCAAACCAAAGAATATTAAACACAGGTAAAGTTATTTTCTATTACGCACCACAATTTTACCTGAATTTAAATTCCGAAACTTTAGGTGATAATCTTGTTACATTGGATAATCCCATTCAAAAGCAATTGGTCAATTTCTTATATCTATGAACAGACCATACCTCGACCTACAATTATTGGTTCGGGCAGATCCTCGTTAATTTTGGCTCCAATTTGATTCGCTTCATAAATGGTTGTTTTGAGTTCTTTTTTTTTTGTTAAGTCGGCATATCTGTTGTCTACATTCCTTCTAAATCTTAGCGTTATAGCTTTACATTTACAAAAGCTACGTAGCACGATTTTATCTAACTCTGGGTGTGTTGGCCATATTTTTCAATTTTAAAAATGGACTTTTTCACTACTTTTCGCTGACGATCAAGTTATTTTTGCACAAGAAAAAGAGGTCGTGGACTACATGATAAGAAAGCCAAAAGAAGAGTACGAACTATGGGGATTGAAAATGAATGAATGCGAAGTAAACTCTGAGGTGTATTTTTGAAATCTTTATATTGATTGTCTTGTCAAGGCGGTTGTTCGACATCCCGTTCCTAATAGAGAATGACCACCCATTCAAAAGCAATTGGTCACTTTCTTATATCTATGAACAGACCATACCGATTAGTTTAGTAGAGTGTAGAGTTTTCAGTCAAGCTCTGAAGAGTCCGACAGGATGATCGTCGAAACGTCAATATCTAAGTAAACCAAAAAACATTTTGCTTCTAACTTACTTTGTCCGGGACCCCGTAATGGATTTCATTCGACCCCTTTTAGCGTGAAAACGCGCAAAATTAACTTTATTCGAAAATCACATAAACAAAATTACAATTTCCTAGAATCTAACGATGATTGAATAATTACGTATAAAACACGGGTAAAATAAACAAGGACGAAGCTTCACCCGAGGGTGAGTTTCCGGATCAGGGGACCTTTGAGCTTAAAGTTCGTGCTCACTTTGCCGTATTGCGAGGCTGCGTACTTAATCTTGACTACGTCGAACTTTGACGTTTCGGCTTTGACCACGCACCGGGCCAGCGCGACCACAACGTCCGCGAAATCCGCATATTTGTACGTGGCGTGACGGGCCAGGGTCGCGTTCCACACCCTCGATGGGTCCATGGTTTCGTTGAGGATCGCTATGGAGAGACAACAGGCTGCCGCAGCCTGAACCGACGGTTTGACGTGGGACACGTCGTACTCCAACATGGCCAATTCGAGTAGGTATTTGGCCAACGTGTGGTGTTCCGGTTTCGCGTTGGCGACTTTGCTGTAACGTCGCAGAAAGAATATGGAGATCGGCCAGCCCATGCGGAAGTCCAACCGGCGCATGATGTCCACCTCCATTTGGAGGATCTGCCTTTTCGTGAACGCCTCGTCGCAAATGAACACGAAATCGTCCAGGTCCGGGATGTAGATGTCCTCGTACTTGCTAGCGAGTAAAAGCGACGCGGTCCCTACCAGCTGGTAGATTTTAGCGTCGACGCCGTGGTTCTCCTGAAAATTGGACAGTTTTTTGCAAATACCGGAACAGGGATTTATGGTCGCTGATATTTCGCGTCCTCTGGTCCAAGAATTTTCTTCATCAGATATGTGTTCGAAAAAGATTTTTTTATTTTTGAAAAAAATTGTTTAATTTAAAAAAATACTTCCCCGCCACTCATTCCGCGATTTCAATAGGGCCCGAACCATATACTTTTCCGTTTGCGTTTCAAAGGGGAAAATCTCAGCGCACTGACTTGAGCCGTTCGGAAGTTGTTCGGCTCTTTATGAAGCGTCGACAGAGAGAACGAACAATTTTTTTTTAAATCGAAAAATCTATGTAATCTTATTCTGCATGCACCTTGTATAAAGTGCTTTTCACGTTTCACCGAACTTCAAAATTACGACCAACTTTGGTAAATTATTTTTCATTATTTCATTAACGGCTAATAATTTACCCACAAAACCGAAAATTTTCAGGATTTTTTTTGTTTTTTTTGCTCACAATCGAAACACACTATACAAGGTGGGCACTATATTAGGGGCCTGTACCTTTTATTAGGAACTACTGATTTTAGAAAAAAAAGTTTATATAAAATTAAATTTTAAAATTATTTATTTTTGTTATATCCAGGGTGTCCGATAAGTCCGATAAACGGAACACTCTATATATTTTAATATTACTAGAATCCTTGCCCGAAATAAAGGTAACCTGCATAGAAATTACTTATTCAAATTTTATTATTATATGTTTTTTTATGCAAAATTATATTCTTAGTAAATGGGGTTTTCCACGGATAATAACTACTTGATCAAATTTTAAATACATTTTTAGAAGACTTCCTTCTAACGACGTGCGATGACTAGGTATTTTAAAATTATACAGGGTTTCTTAAATTAAAAAACATTTTTTTGAATATATATATATATATATATATATATATATATATATATATATATATATATATATATATATATATATATATATATATATATATATATATATATATATATATATATATATATATATGATGACACTATATTCCGGGATATCATCCGTTCGCTCGTTGAACTCCGACTGGAATCCTGCAAATCTTGCATCCGACTGGAATCCTGCAGACGTTTCGCCAAAATCTCACTTGGCATCTTCAATGCTCGCGCTCCGAAAACACTTCGAACACTCGGAGCGCGAGCATTGAAGATGCCAAGTGAGATTTTGGCGAAACGTCTGCAGGATTCCAGTCGGATGCAAGATTTGCAGGATTCCAGTCGGAGTTCAACGAGCGAACGGATGATATCCCGGAATATAGTGTCATCACATTTTTCCATCCGTGAATCAATACGTGAGAATATATATATATATATATATATATATATATATATATATATATATATATATATATATATATATATATATATATATATATATATATATATATATATATATATATATATATATATATATATATATATATATATATATATGTCAAGCGGCGCACCCTGTAAATTTTTTAAATATTACAAAGAAAAAAGTTTATGCACACCAATATTTCGAGTTTTCTCGTCCAAAAATTTTTACGACACCGTAAGCAATTTTTGATATATAATTTTTTTAAGACATTTGCAAAACACAATTTTTAATTTTTAAAAAATACTTCCCGACCCCTCAATTTCAATGGGTTCCGTCACGGAGCCAAGCTCCACATGTATGCCAACTTCGAAAAGAACAATTTTCAGGGTGTCTTTTTGTCCATAATTGAAAAACACTTCATATAATCGAAAAAATGCCTGAAATTCAAGTTTTGATCCTGGTTCTGCCGTGTTTTCCTACCCAAGAATTTTGCTGATCGGGTTAATGGTTTTGGTGAAGATAAGTTTTTGTTGTGACAGAAAAAATAGACCACAAAAAATTTTCAAAAATACCTCGCGACGTTTGATTGGGCCCAACTTCTGAAGTTTAAGTGTAAGTATGGACTTTTGAAGTTGATAGCCGCCAATTTAAGACGCCTACTATATTTTATAATATAGCACGAAATATCCCGAACACCGAACAATATGTGAAAACGTTAAACAGGAAAGTTTTAGCAGTCGACGATTAATTAAAATTAATTGATATTAATTAGAATTAAGTTATTAATTTAATTTGAAGATTAATTAAAATAACAAAATTACGACTTGTATCGTAAAAGTGGTAAATCTGACAACCTTGCCGTTAGCATTTTTAAATTCCGCATGTCCAAAAACCCTCCGGTATTGAATTTTATCGTTTCAGCTTCACATTTTATAATTAATAATATTTAAAGTATAATTATTCAATCTATTAATAAAAGCAATATTAGTCATGTAAATAAAAATAACTATTAATGCACTTACAATAATTATAAATAAAACATAGGGTTTAAATTTATTTTACAAATAATTATACCAATAATTAAAATTAACCAAAACTAGGATAGAAAAAACTGTATTTTCTAAAATGTTTATTTAAAATAATAGTTTTATCAATTATAAAAATTAAAAAAAACATATGCTTTTAAAAAACACTTTAGCTGGTAGCTAAAAAGTTATTGAATTTATTTAAAATATTATAATTCTAACAAAAAAAATTGGTACAAGATTTTTTTCATTTTTTCAATACAGGGTGTTTAAAATAAAAAGGATAACTGAAATGGCAAAATTTTATGTTCCTTCCTATATCTCAAGAACAAAGTCAACTAAGATTGTTTTTTTAAAAAGGCATCTTCTGTTTCACTAAAGTTAAGCACAATAACAACGAAAAATGCACACAATTTACAGGAACATAATTTAAACTTCCGTTTGCATACAATGGATTTGAAAAAAGTTTTTCTGTGTAACTTTTGACGAATCAATGACTTAGAAGAATGGAATTTTTGAAACGTCAAAGAATTTGAAATTTGAAAACAGCGAAAAGGGACAATTGTATTTCGACCGAGAAATTTAAAAAAAGTTGAGAAAAATGGAAATTTGGCAACGTCAAATATCGCAATGACTTTTTTAAAAAAATTAGAAATCTTTTTTGGTATATTTTGTGGAAGATGCGGGACGATGACCTTTATTTTAAGCATCTTTTCGATTGTATACAGGGTTTTTCATTTATAGACAAAAGTCTAAGACCCTGAAAATTTTTCTTTTAGGCATTTCGCTAAATATTTGAAAAAGTTCATGTGACGATCGCTATATCTCGCACTCAATCTAGACGCGATGACGTCATTTAGCATTGCAGCGTACTGCATGGTTTCAAAAAACAATTAGTTGGGCTATCGAAAAAATTCTTCATAAACCAGGAAACGTGGGAGGTTTAGGGCTAATTTTTAGGAATTAACTCGCTGACACCCAATTAAGATTTCGTATATTTAAATAAAATGTTAGTTAATAGTAAAAACTCCCTTTTTTTTAAAGGCATAATAATATTATGAAACTTACTTTTTATCCTAGTAGGTTGTGGTAACCAAATAAGTGTAGTTTTAAGTGACATTATAATTAAGTGTCAGACTTTGACAGATGTGATTTGAATCACGCAATATTATTATTACTTAGTTAAAAATGTATAAGGTGCAAGAAAAAACAAACAGATATACTTGATGACCACGACAAGTTCTAGCAGATCAGTTGGATATACTACTACAATTCGATTTTTCTTACAAAAGTCCCAATTTTTAATCTGAAAAACACACGTTATTGGAGTGATCAAAATAAGAAAAGGGTGTTGGAAGTAAAAGGACAAGGCAGACGATCTGCGAAAGTGTGGTGCGGAATATGCCGATCAAAGGTTATAGGGTCAATTCTCTTTAATGACGATATTTAAACATGCTCAGAACTGAAATACAACCATTTATAGTAAATGAAATACCGGTTTGTGAACGTGCTCAATTAATATGGCAGCAAGATGGCTCCGTATGATATAATTATATAAACGAATTTTTAAATTGAAATTGCAATCGTTGGATAGGACAAAATGGAATGGTGGCCACCTCGAAGTCTAGTTCTCACCCCACTGGACTTTTTTTATGGGGGACAATTAAAGATATGCATATGACGAAAAATGCACTACGGTAAATGAGCTATAAAGGTATATTAGAGAAGCTGTAGTCCAACTAATTACACCCATTTTGTTCCTAATGCTATTAACCAAATAGAAGTTGTTTATACAACGTTCGTTATTCAAAATGGTAGACATGTTGAAAACCTACTGTAGATTTTCTATTTTGTTTTACCTTAGTTATTTTAATTGCTACGGTTACCGCTATTTGTTACTTTTACTTGTTACCGTTATTTGTTTTAAATTTTTAAACTTATAATATCATAATTATGCAGATTATTTTACAACGTTGACGATATAAAAAATGATGACGTTTTAATTTACTAAATCCATAAATCTCTGTATTACCTTACCTACAAAATAATTAGGGATCAATATTTCGAAAACCATTAGATTTAGGACATATATATACCAAATTATAGGTATTTTGAACGGTTTTGAGAAAAATATCAAAAACACGGGCATCTCATTAAAAAAAAATTAATGAAATTTTAAAAAAATGTCCTTTAATTTAAGACACCCTGGATAATGCCTAAAAAGTTACCTTTATTTTTGGTCAGGATTCTAATATCAAAATATATAGGGTTTGAAATTTTAAAACTATCGCTCTTATCGGACACCCTGTATATATAAAAAATAAATCATTTTAAAACTTAATTTTTTATAAACTTTTTTTTTCTAAAATCAGTAGTTCCTAATAAAAGCTACATGCCCCTAATAAAGCGCCCGCCTTGTATAGTGTGTTTCGATTGTGAGCAAAAACCAAATAGATCCTGAAAATTGTCGGTTTTGTTGGTAAATTATTAGCCGTTAATGAAATAATGAAAAATAATTTACCAAAGTTGGTCGTAATTTTGAAGTTCCGTGAGACATGAAAAGCAGTTTATACAGGGTGCATGCAGAATAAGATTACATAGATTTGGCGACTTTTTTATTAATTTTTATGTCCGTTCTCCATAAATTTATAAATAATTTACCTGAGAGTATCTGTCACATAGAGAGACTGCAAGAAATAAGGTCTCTTGGCACATCTTAAAATTATTGTGCACTTCAACAAGCCAATTAACCAGCATCGATCGCATTTTTGGCGAAACCTTGGTATCAGCCAGAAACTTCTCCTTGATGGGGTATGTGTGTTCGATCCCTCGCAAATAGGCAAGTATATCCTCGACATACTCACTTACCATTTGCGGATCTCTCCGACTCTCCTCATCTGAATCATTTATTAAAAGTTCCTTGCATTTTTTATTTAGCGTCTTGCTTGGTCCAATGGGTATTTTTTCTGGCTCCCGAATGCTTTTGGGTATAACTTCCACATGAGTTTTTTTTTTAGCAACATTTTCTTTGACCCCAACATTTTTGGTTAATTGAATAGCGTTTTCCTAGAAAAGTACATACCCTATTTAATTACTCGTGCTTGAATTTACTTTTCGTGTACTCTCGTAAAATATTTTTAAATATATATTGAGGTTAAGGTGGAACTTACCTTGTCTTTTTTAATTTTAGCATTATTTTGCGGTAAAACGGCTTTCTTAACCACCACCGCTGAAGGCCCCATAAGTTTACCTGGCAAAACATGCTTGTTCGAAAGTTTATTTGCTAAATCGTCAAGAGCTGGTCTTCTTGTGGGTTGAAAATGCGAAAAATTGTTAGCCGTTATGTCTTTCAGTTTCACATTAACATTTTCTTGGTTCTCTCTAGGGCGTGTTGCATGCCCTTGCACTTTGTGAGATGCCATCGCTATAAAACAGATCAAAGGTATGATATCTTTAAACATTAAAATAGCGCATTTTACCTTCAAACGACCGTTACAAAAACTTCCAAATCCGTGCAAAAAAACGTATGAGATAAAAAAATGCGTATATCGCTTGTAAATTGTTAGTAAAAATTGCTTGTACGTATTTGACAAAACTGTCAAATAAAACACCCACTAGCCACCTCCTATCATAATTTAAACATAAATTTTCCAACAATATAATATGACTTACGACCTGACCTGCACACACCAAACATTTAAATCACAGAACAGCTAAATTTGAATTCGGGTCGAAAATAACGGACGTTTGTCATTGAATCGCAATTGGTCGTAAATCGTTCGGCACAAATTTAATCAAATCGTGACGACATTGTTCGCATCAAGTAACGTTAGAATATTAAATCAAATATTTTTAATTACTGCCTCTATTTTGATATTTTTCAACTTTGGAATTGTGTATTTTATTTGAAGGGACGAAGTTATTCGGAAGAGGAGATAAAAGATATCTGCGCAGCTGTATTAAAAGGTAGAATATAAAATATATTTACCAATACCTTTTACTAATTTTTGATTCGTGTATATTCTACAGATCAACTATCGCAGCTGGCAAGCACTTTAGTGGGCCCACCAGGTCCACCCGGATATTCCAAACCTGGTAAACCGGGTCCGCCAGGAGTTCCAGGACCACCAGGTAGAGGATTGATTTTTTTTCACGCAACGCTGAACCTTTTGCCATAATTTAAAAAAATTCTACAATGTAGGAAATCCGGGACAGCCGGGATTGCCCGGGGACAGGGGTTTCATGGGCTTGCCCGGAATCGCAGGGCCTCCGGGATCCATAGGAATGCCTGGAGACAGAGGCGAGAAAGGAGATAGGGGTCAGGAAGGGACCGGCATAGAGGGACCTCCTGGACCACGAGGTCTTCAGGGTAATAACCAGGGTTAGTTTTGGTCAGTTTGGTTTAGTAGCATACTAAACCAAACTAACCAAACTTAACCCTAACTAACCAAAATGCTGGCTGAGTGAAAAAAAATATTTTGCTTATATTGTTTCAGGTCCTCCGGGAATTCCCGGAGAAGGGATACCAGGCCCATCAGGCGAAAGGGGTGAACCAGGACATCCAGGTAAACTCATTTATTTAAAATATTTCAAAAATTCTATTTAACGAAAAAATACATTTTTCGCTATTCATCAATGAATGGATGTTAAAAGGCACTTAAAATTGTAGGAAACCCGGGAACACGCGGATTGCCAGGTTCACAGGGTCCACCAGGTTACTGCGAATTTTGCAACAATCAAGGCCAAAATTACCAACAAATTTACGCTGCTTATATGAATGCTCAGAGACAAGGCAACAACAAAGGGCCATAAATACTTTCCTAATACGTGTAAATTATTAACAATCTTAATGATAATACATATTTTATCCCAGAGTGCGTTTTAATTTTCTTTTGATGGGGTACCACACTATAGATATAGTTACCGCTCCCTACAAAACCGAAACTAATTAAGCTAATTGCAGATACACAAAATAATAACTTAGCAAAAAAGTTAACTGAAATTGTGTTCTGTGATAGATACTAATTTGGATGAACGAACAACCTGTGATCTGATCTCTGATCTGTGGTCAATGCCAAAACGAGCACTGCTTTAAGGGGAGACGGAATAACTTACTCAAAAATCCAATTGCAGGCGAATCAATCATAACCTTTCAGGAAAAGTTAAAACTGCTAACTCGCAAACTCTGATGCAAACAAAGCTTTTTCCAAAACTTAGGCGTGGGTACTATATTTTTAAAATGTTTACACTACTCATATTTTTCGGTGTTTTAGATTTTTTTCTGTACAGACCCCTAAATATTTTACTTCATTTTTAAATGGAAGGGGGTGGTTTCCTATTTTTACAGGGGGAGGAGGAATTTTACCAGTACCCTTTGCGAACCAAACGCATTCGCATTTCTGAGGGGAGAGTTGAAAGTCGTTATTAAGTAACCATATGTTGATTGTGTTAAGAGCCTGATTAATTTTAGAAGTCATAGATATAATATTGTTCCCTTTTAAGAGTAAAGCCATGTCATCCGCATAACCTAGTAATATGAAACTTTCATCTAAGATATTAAAGAGCTCTATAGTGTATATATTGAATAAAATTGTACTTAAAGGTGATCCTTGTGGTAATCCTGATGTGGAAAGGCCTGGACCAATGTAAGACCCATCATTTCTTTTTGTATATAGGAGTCTGTTTTCCAGGATTCTAAAGATTAAATTGCTAAGCTCTTGTGGAATGTGTAATGTAATTTGTTATATAGCTTATATATGTTAACAGAGTCATAGGCCAATCTTATATCTAACAATACTGCTAATACTGTTTCTTTTTGCTTAAAAGCTAGATCGATGAAAGATGATATAAATGCAATGTTGATACTAATTCCCATTCCTTTTCTGAAGCCTGTCTGGGACCATTTAAATGATTTATTTTTTTCTAATAACCACTCTAATCTATTCTCAATCATAACTTCCAAGAGCTTGATATAGCATGAGGACCGAACAATCGGTCTATAACTATCCGCCATGTATGGGTCTTTATTGGGTTTTAGAGTATTTAAAAAGTTATATTTTTTCCAAGATTGCGGGAGAGATTGTCCTTCTAGGCATTGGTTATAGATTTTAAGCAGCCCTAATTTTATATTTAAGGGCAGGTTAAGAATCATTTTATAAGTTACCTTGTCTAACCCAGGAGCAGATATATTTTTCTTAAATAGGGCATTTTCTAATTCTTGTAATATGAACGGGTTTAGGTCCTCCATAGAACTTAGAGTAAAGCCGGGAATCACATTATAAATTACCATTTTTTTAAAGATTTCATTACGAAGGTCGTCATCGAGGATAGGTCTATTGGAGTGTTGATTTATGCTTGAATTTTTTTTTATTTTTTTCCATATATATCTTGTGTCAGAATCTCTATTTAATGACGAACAGAATTTTATGGATTTTTTGAGTTTTAGTCTTCTTTTGGCAATTGCAATATATTTTTTTGCTTGTATATAGTTTTCAAGTATAGGAGCAATTTCAAATTGTTTTAGCTTTTCTTTACGTTGTTTGACTATAAGAGTACATTCCTCGTCCCACCATACATTCCCCGTTTTACCTCTTGTTTGTTTTCAAAGGGATAGCGATATCTGCCGCCGAATTAATAAGGGTCTCTATCTCTTCGAAAGTCATATCAGTGATGTATTGTAAAGAGTCTAATATAAGTTTGTCCCTATATAGTCCCCAATCTACTTTTCTATAATTATATAATATATAATTATGTACAAAAGAGTTTTTTGTGTAGGATTCTCTATCTTTAATTACTGCCATAGTGGGAAAGTGGTTACTGTTGCCACAGTCCGGTAAGACTCTCCAGTTTGATGAATAAGTTATGTCACTACTGACAATGGTTAGGTCTACCGCACCCATTTTCTGATTGGGAGGTTGAAGTAGGGTTGAAGAGCCATCATTTAGAATTACAAGCTCTTTATCAAATAGGAAATCATTAATATGTTTGCCTCCATTGTTTGGAGTACAATAATCCCAAAGTGGATAATGTGAATTTAAGTCTTCCATCAATATAGAGGGACCCTGAACATTAGAATAAAGCTCCTGTAAAAATTGGGAGTTGATATTATTATTAGAATTAGAATAAATGTTGATAAGATTAAGTTCATCAATTTTAACTATAATATATTGAACTTGGTTATCGTTAAATTTTTTTATTTCTCTGTATAAAAAATTGTTTTTTATGCAAGTTGCTATTCCCCCATATCCATCATCCCTGTCTTGTCTTATAATATTATACCATTTAACTGAAAAATTTTTTTCTTTATTTAACCAGGTTTCATTTAAAAAAATAATATCGGGATCCTGTTCCCTGATTAATGAGATTAATTCCGTTCTGTTTGAATTGATACTTCTTAGGTTCCACTGAAGTATTTTTAATTTTGAATTGAATTTTATTTGGTTATATTAAAATTTAATTAAAACAAGGGTCGTCAAGATACGTATAATTACTTAGGTTCATATAGTTAGTGCACTACTCACTAGTTTAAATTATTTTACTTGTTCAAAGAACACAAAATTCAACGGTTTAATACGCCTTCAAATGCATCGACAGAATACACAAACACCGTTAGAGGACTTCGCTTACGTCACAAGCGACCACGTGCGATCGATAATTTTGGCGAACGTATGTCTATGGGATTGGGCAATCCTATTGGGTTTACGATTCTTGGCCGCATCCAAGCTTCGACGATCTGTCAGCGACCATGTTGGTTGTTAAACGAAGCCATGACATTGGTTAAAAATATATAGCTATATAGTGGCTTACTACAGTAAAAATTGATGCGCCGCAGGTGGCTATGATATTTTCGTAGACAAGGTATGGATCTTTTGCGCATGCGTCACCCCCAACTGTCGAGTTGCTACATTGTCGTATTTTTTTTTGGAAAATTGATTAATTTTTATAAGACCGCAACGTCAATCTCTGAAATCGGAACATAATCGGCAACGCCGAGATAAGTAATTACTATTGTCGCATTGCCCTGTACATTGTTTAATAATTTTGTATAATTTGTACATTCAATTTTAATGCCTTGTTTTTTTTGCGAATGATGCCTATATATTTGACATTTAAGAAACTGGAAAATAGACTTACTCAAATATTTACATGTAAAATTACTAAACAGAATTTCCTACATTTTTTATGTACACTTAAATGCCACGAAGAATGTTTGAGTAATATGTTTTAGTGTACAAGAATTACAGGAAATATAAGAAAACAATTAATCTACAAGTTGAATTTTTACTGGAACAAGCATAGGAAATACCCATCGCCAACTACTAAGGTTATTGTTGAACATTTTTTCCACTTAGATGTTTCTTGTGCAATATCTAGCATCTCCAAGTAATTTCAATAGAGGTTAGAACTATGAATTTATGAGAACTAACGCTTTGCGCCGATTTACAAGCAAAAGAAATCGTTAAAAAATAGCTCCGATTGCTCCCAGACTCGTGCGGTAAAATCCAGGAAATGTCCGAAGTGGCTCGGATCAGTGGGAAACGAAACTGACGTAATAAAGTGACGCTTCCCGCACGCTAGATCGCTGTTTGCAATTAGGAATTTTACAGACGGGAGTAGAAAAAATTAATTACAAAATTATACTGACACAGGGTAGTTCAATTCTGCACTGCTTTTCCACACCTTAACTCCTTTCTTGCCTGGAAATTTAATAGGAATTCGACATATTCTGAGAAAATACTGCCGTAAAAATACCGCATCCAAACATAGACGATCTGTCAGCGGCCATGTTTGTTGCAAATCGCAAGGTCTTATGGGTCAACGTCAGAATTCGCCATTATAGTTGCGATTGGTTAAAAACAAAATTTTAAATCTCTCGCATACGTACGTTGACTGGACCTTCTCAACAAAAAGTTACATAGTTACTTCATGAGTTCCTGTACTGTCAGCATATGCAGGGCCTCTATATGTCTAGTAGCTATATGGTTAAAAACGACAGAAGAGGATATTTAACAACAATAAGACTGTGATTCTGTTTATTGTAACAATTACGGGTCTGCTCTATGGTTTAATATTTCATCTTTTAAAATATATAAATTAAAAAAAAAAAACACTCTTAACTGTTTGATTTTTATTCCATTGTAACATGTAAAATTGTAACAATTCTATACTAAATCCTATGTAATGAAGTTTCAGTCGCTGGATTTTTTTCATAATCGCTATACATAAACAAAATAACATATTTTTTTAGCCTACTGAACGATTAAAGGATTAAGGATGCAGAAGTGAAAGCACCAATAAACGCAATAATTAGAGAACTTTATGACTTCTTCTATTGAGCTTGATGCCTTTTATCTAACAAATGTAAGGTAGGTGTGTATGTAGGGTGGAGAAAGAAATAAAGCTGTAGGGAAATAAGGGTTTTGAAGAAAATATGTGAACAGTCCGCCATTGTGGTGCATTTTCTCCGTGAAATGTGAAATTTGGATTGTCGAAGAGGAAGGTGTGTCCAGATTTCAAAAACCGGAACTAAAATTTGGTTACATATTGACATCATAGGTAGACAAGAAACAATGTTAATTATTATAGACACAATTAGAATGTACAATTTTTCGATTACTATGATTTCATACATGAGTAACGTTTTATTCGTATATATTGTATAGTATAATCTTAGTTACTAAAAGAATGTGCATTAGACGATATCATCTAATATATAAGCGCTGGTTACAAATTTTCAATGTAGAATAAAAAATCCGAAAGTCAGACCATAAATTTGGTAGTAAAATAACAATAAATAAATATAGTGCGAATATGGAAATGTTTGTAGAGAGACAAATTTATTAGTCGCTAATCTTAGGATAGCTTTAAAAAAGTACATTGTGCTGTCTTTTAGTTACTAACTACTGGAATAGATGGGGTCTTACATGAACTAATCGTTATGTACAAATGGGGTGAAATTATTATTCGGTTGGATTTTTATAATAGTTGGTCCGATTTTCAAGAAAGAAAATTTGCATGCAAATAGGCCCAAAATGTGGCTTTTTGGGAGAGCAAAATATAAACGGTCCTTTTTGCTTTTCAACAATTCGATTGTCATATCAAGTGCTGCGAATCGTAATGTAAGGACCACTTTACAAGGCGCAGAGCTCTTAACCTTGTAATTTGCTAGAAATATACTTGTGCGAAAATGTTTGAAACTATTGTTTAAAACTATTGAGGTAATCGAGTTATGGAAAAAGGTTTAGTCAAAGCAGCTTTCAGCAACAAATTTCTTTACGAGGGAAGCATTTTTTTCAAAAACACGTTCAATATGAATGTACCTTTAAATTTAGGCCTTTCAGATATTATAAACAATACAAAAATAAAAATTCTCCAAGACCTTGAAAGAAATTTATAATTTTTCACATACAAATAACGCCTGTTTCAAATTAAGTGCGCACCAATAACATAATATTCATTATTTATGTTTAAATATTTCAATGATTTTTTTTTTGTAAAATAAATAAATATTCACTTAATATTTTCCCAACCTATGCACACTTTTTGGTTTGGGAAATAATTCTAGAAACACCCAATGCTCAATTTTTTTTGCGCACTTAATTTAAAACACTAAACTTAACCAATAAATATCCCAAAGTCTAAAAATTCGATACCGACCACGGAAATTTTAGACTTTCTATTAAGTAAACATGGGAGGGCAAAACAAATTAGTCCCTACGTCTAAATTTCTAGATATCCATCTTCCGTGCTTTATTTCACAACATAAAAGCGCGACAACCTATTAAATATTGACTATGGCAGACTTTCTCTGACAAAACACTTTTATCGATGGACCCACTGCTTAAGAGCCTCCTCGAACTCCAACGTCTCTTTGTTTCTCACTTCCTCTTGTTCGTTAAGGTTTTCATTATGCTCGGGAACATTGGGTTGATCCAGATTTTGGTTCAGCTGCATCGGAAATGAATTTGAAAGTTACTCGGTTTCCAAACACACCTGAAGTTTCATTCATTGAAAAAGACCAAAAACACTTTTATGTTAATTAACTGTCCTACAAGTTTTTGGAAAATGTTATTCGAATCGTTACAAATTTATTATTTTTAATAATATAGGCTCCTTTGATGTAACGAAATGTTAAGCTTCTTCCTCTTTTGCTTTAACATTAATCACAACTCAAAATATAATATGTTTTCCTCACACAGGACAGTTACATAAATAATTAATCAATATTATTGACTTTAAACTTAAGGGAAACAAAACCCTAACCAACATTGCTAATAACATTGTCAGTTTGTTTTTGGGTATGTGGTAGGAAAGAATAAGAACGAAATTACCCTACGAAGAGCGCATTGCACATAACCTATCAGGGCATTTATCTTTTTTTTCGTCCAACCAGGTGAAGTGGCGTTCACAATTTTACCTCGGTCCGAGAAAATTTTCATTTTTTTGACGTAATTCTAGTCTTCAACTGAATTTTTCGGTCTGGGTGAGATTTATATTTAGTCAGCCGTAAATATTTGCTTTGGTTTGGTGTCGCAGTTCGCAATAATTTAGCGCTTTTCATATCATGGCATGTCCTTCGGGGGGTAAAGACCCCCCTGATAGAAACGATCGTATCGTAGTTAATAATCCGATAGTGTTCGCAAATGATTTTGATTCCTTTCAAGCTCAACTAAACTTGTCCCAAGCTTCTACCTCCTCTAGCAGTGGTTATTCATCAGCCTTGACGCTTTCGCCTTTAGCTAAGAAAACAGCACATGCTATTGCTCAGCATCAATACTTCTTAGTACCCACTAAGGAGGAAATAGATTTATTGGAGACAGAGTTACAAAAGCTTAAATCTGTCTTCGTGGAAGATCAGGATGCCCTAAACGAAATTGCAAGAATTTCAGTCAACATAAGGAGAACACTTAACCGAAAGTATAAATATGAACTTACAGACCAGGGACCATTTCTTATCATAATGGAGGGAATAACTTCTCAAGTTGGAAACATTCACCCGATGAATATTGGAAAAATTTTGCACAGAGCTGGAATACAAGGTATAACGAAAATCAATAGAAAAGGGGCTAATAAAATTGGAATTGAATTCAGAACATCAGAGTATGCTAATCAGTTTTTGTCAAATGAAAGTTTCAGTTCTGCTAGAGGCTACAATAGGTACATTCCACAACGTCTTGTCACTTGTAGAGGACTAATCAAGGATGTAGGGGACCAAATTACGGAAGAGGATTTTTACTCAGAAGCGGTAGCTTATACAGGAGAAGGATCCCGGGCCAGGTCGATTAAGATATTAAATGTAAAAGGAGTCTTAAGAAGGAAGAAAATACTTGCTATTTCTGGTGAAACAGTAATGAAAACCATCCCCACAAACGATTATATTGTAACATTTGAAGGCAAATCATTACCCCAAACTGTAAATATTTTTAATAATGAAAGAGAAGTGGAAAAATATGTTAACCCGGTTATAATGTGCGTCAATTGTTGCAGATTTGGACATGTCAAAAATAATTGTAGAGGCAAGCCTCGTTGCGGTTTTTGTACAGAAGATCATCTTATGTTTGTTTGTGAAAAAAGAGAGCAAGCAATGAAAAAAATGAAATGCCCTGCAGATCATCTTAACAATCTGACTAAAACGTGTAAAATTCCAAATTGTGAAGTAAATCCAAAACCAAGCTGCGTAAATTGCAAGGGACACCACACTGCTACTGACTGGGGATGTCCCGAATACAAACGGCAAAAACAAATTAACGAAACCATGAGCTTCTACAACCTTTCTTTTTATGAAGCAGCTAAACTGCATCCACGGCTAACTAATGCAAACCAAGGCTTTACCCCGAAAACCAGAAGATTTTCCTAGTTTAAATAAAAAAACTCAGAATAAACCTCCTCATCCAACAAGTCCTCAGGGCTGTTCCTCATATACATCAGTACCTAAAGGAAAACGGCCTGACACCCAATTCAAAGGGTATGATAAAGTAGCCCATGAACTAACTTTGTTACCCTCAAGTGCAAGAAGAAAAGTCTCATCTATACAAGTAGGTGAAAACTCGACATCAGAGTCGAAAATGGAAGTAACTCCTGCAGGAAATGGCTGGGAAGAAGTATGCAACAAGTTTGAAGGTTTCAAAAAAGACGTTATGTCAATAAAGGGTATGGATGAAAATTGTGTCAACAATATCAAACAATATTTTGGTTCATTTTGACCTACAGGGGTTAGAAAAAGAAAAGGTAATCTTATCACTAGTTTTAATCTAACAGTAGTTTTTACGTAACAAAACTAAGTTTAAGTTTTAGTCACAAGCGTTTTATAGTGGAGCTATAATGAATATCGTTCACTGGAACATTTGCGGGGCTGAAAAAATAAAGATGCTATCATTAGAGTTATAAGGGATTTTAAGCTACAGATCTTATTGCTCAATGAAACCTTGCTCAAACCCAACACTAACTTTAAAATATCAGGGTTCTCTTCTGTAAGAGCAGATAAACCTAATGGTGCAGATGGTATAGCAATTTTCTTGAAAAACAAAATAAAATATAATATCATCGACTTAAGCAGAATTAATATACCAGAGAGGTGTCAGGTTATTCTTGTAGAGCTTGTCGATTTTTTTATTTGTTGTGTTTACAACCCTCCAGATATTTGTTTGGTCAGGGCAAGCCTCAATTCAATTTTCGATCTAACCCGTAATAAACCCGTCCTCGTTATGGGAGACTTTAATGCCCATAATCCAATATGGGGTTCCCAGGTCAGTTACTCACGGGGAATTAGAAGTGGGAACATTCTTTATGATTTCATTAAGGATCACGATTTGTGGGTACTAAATGATGGATCAGCTACTCGGCTCACACGCCCAGGCGTACACAGCGCTCCAGATGTAGCTTTTTGCTCCCAGAGACTGTCTGGACTTACTGACTGCAGGGTTCTCCAGGATAGAGTGAATAGCGATCATTTTCCTATTTTGTGTATCATCGGAAATAACCGTTGCAACTCAGGTTCGACAAGAAACTACACTAGCAAATATAATTTCAACAAGGCAGACTGGGAGAAATTTTCTGATTTAATCTCCACGAAATTTAGAACTTCACCTCCTATAAATTATGAGGATTTTATGAATATAATTTTCCTATCTATTGCAGAATCTGTTCCAATGCATAAACACTCATTAAACTACGGGTTACCTTGGGGGAATAATGAGTGCACCAACGCTATTAAAAGCAAAAGACAAGCATTCAGAGATTATAAAAACAACCCCTGTGAGACCAACTTCCTGGAATCATTAAGGACCCGGGCACAAACAAGAGAGCTGCTACGTAAGAAGAAAAAGGAAGGCTTTGTCAACTTTTGTGAGAATCTATCTCCAAATACTAGTGCAAAAGAAGTTTGGAGCAGTATTAGAAGGTTTGCTAAAGGTATCAGGTACCAAAATTATCATTTTCCCTTGAATTTCTCAATCCCACAAGATATGTTTGATCTTTTGACGCAACCTCCCTCTATGTTGCGTAACATCCCCGAATGTCGCTTCTCATCAGAATATACAGAAGACTTCCATATCTCAGAATTTGTTGCGGCGGTTAAAGGTCGGAAGAGCAAGAGTCCCGGTGTGGATAAAGTACTTTTCAGTGTGCTCAGCCATCTCCCTGTTGAAGGAGCAGTCTTTCTTATCAAATTTTTCAACAAAATACTTCGGAGGGAAACCACCATTCCAGAGACGTGGAAAACCCAAATGGTGATTGCAATTCCTAAACCGGGGAGAGACCCCTCAGCGTTATCGTCCTACAGGCCCATCAACCTAGCTTCTTGCATAAGCAAAACTTTTGAAATTATGATCAAAAACCGACTGGAATGGTTCGTAGAGAACCAAGGTTTAATAGACGTTCGCCAAACCGGTTTCAGAAAGGGTAAGGGAACTTTCGACAATCTTGCAGTTATCTCCTCAGAGGTCCTCTGCCGTTTGGCTCGCAATCAACTAGCAGCAATGGTGACTTTGGACATATCCAATGCCTACGATAATATAAATGTTGACTTATTGACCTCGGTGTTGGCCAAAATTGGAGTCGCCAGAGATTTGACCGTGCTCATTAAAGATTTTCTCACGAACAGGAAGATACAAGTTAAAGATCCATCTACTAATACATTCGTGTCAGGCAGAACCACTAGCAAGGGAGTTCCCCAAGGTTCCCCTCTTTCTCCATTACTATTTAATATTTACATCAAACAATTCCTGAGAACATAAGACTTTTACAGTTTGCGGACGATACCGCCTTGCTGAGTACTGGGACTGATGCCCAAACAATAGTGAACAATTTGAACAATTTGCAAAATATACATATTTGGTCTTTGAATGTAGGACTTGAGATTAACCCCAATAAATCTGCAGCTATATTTTTTTCCAGGAAGAATTACAAGGTTAATTATCTCCCCAGACTTCACCTCAACACTCGAACCATTGCATGAAGAAATTCCATCACATATCTAGGAGTGATTTTTGATCCAAAACTGTCATGGGAGCCACAAATTTGAAATATGATACAGAAAGCTTCAGGTGGGTTGAATATGATGCGATTTATAAGTAGAATCTGGTGGGGGGCACATCCCTCTACCCTTCTAACTTTTTACAAAGCTTATGTTAGACCCCATTTGGATTATGGAGCCTCTTTTTTGGGTGGTAGCTCAAGAAAGTCTATTGCTCAACTTAACAAAATTCAATTTGAGGCACTGAGAATAGCTCTGGGATATATGAAGTCCACACCTACTAACATACTCCTAGGGGAAGCAAGTGAAATGGATTTAGAACACAGAAGATACATGCTAGCGACTAAATCATTATTGAAAGCTGCCAGTTTAGTGGACAGTGAAACCTTAGCTGCGGTTAGATGGTTATATATTACCTATAATGAAAACTATTACTTTTTTCGGAAAAAGAGTATTCCTGCACTTGTGGATGCTTTTGAAAGAGTCGATTCACTGTTAGATACACTTTACAGGAGCCCAGTTTACCCCTGTTTCTCTTGTCCACTGCTGAATCTTTTAAGCTCTGTTCAAATCCAAGACTTAAAACTAAAGAAAGATAATAATAACTCCAAATTATTTGAAATTAAGAAGAGCGAGACTTGGACCCCAGAATTTCATTTAATTTTTACAGACGCCTCAAAAGATAAAGAAGGCCGAGTAGGTTTTGGCGTTTACAACTACAATACGAACCTTAAAATGGGACAAGGCCTACCAAGTGAACTATCCATTTGCTCTGCCGAGATTTATGCTATTGGTCAACCTCTTAATTGGATTGAATTCAAGGACATCAACAAAGCAGTCATCCTTTCAGACTCCAAAAGTGCCCTCGAAGATATCAATAAAACTGGGATGGATGCAAAGTCTAACTACCTAACCTTGCAGGTTAAGAATAAACTATTTACCTTAATAAAAACGCAAAATAAGGACATCCAATTATGCTGGATACCAAGCCATACCAGTATAAAAGAAAACGATATTGCGGACCAGATCGCCAATGCTGCACGCCTCGAACCACAGGAAAATATAAAATTGAGCTTTAGGGAATTCTTCCCTAAATTAAAGCATAACATCTGGAATGCTTGGAGCGACAGATGGAAACATATAGGATTAGGGAAAGGAGTTAATTTCACCTCACATTATTCTACTCCGCCAACTAAACCCTGGTTTCATAAGCTCGACCTGAATAGAAGAGAAATCACAACTATGTGTAGACTGAGAAGCAACCATTGCTGTTCTCCGGCTCACCTAAATAGAATCAAAGTCAAACTCTCCGGAGACTGTGAATGTGGAGAACTGGGCGATTTAAGTCATGTGCTGTTTGATTGTGCTCTTCATTGGGAAAAATCACAACAGTTGTATGAGTCACTCATTAGTGCTAATTTTCCTTCGCCTCTGCATATTAATTCCACTTTATTTCACCGCACTCGGTTGGATTTTGCTGCTAGAATTGTTTGCCGCTTTTTAGATGCATGTGGATTAAAACTTTGAATATTGTTTTCACATATTCTAATTCTTTCGTCCATTTTTTTTTCCTGTATAGCCGTCCAGTAGGATGACGGTATCACCCAGACCCTCTTTACGGAGGCATCCTTCATGGAAATAGTTTATTGCACACCACTACCGAGAAGCTGGCCGAATTGCCTTAGCAGCAGTGGCCAAATAAAGCGCAATTAAAAAAAAAAAACCTCTCCAAAAAACAACAAGTGTAAATAAATGAAAGCAAGGGACAAGAATAGAAATTGCCGTTAGTTCGGAAATAAGAAGGAATACGGACGATCGCCTCGTGCAATCCAACCGCATTCCGCCGTAACATCTTAAATTGCAGCAAAAATGCAAGGACCTACACTTATTTACATTTATTTTAGGACAGGCAAACCACACCAAGCAATTAAACAGTTACAGTGTGTTCGAACAGAATGAAGTAGTGAAGAATAATTAGCAATACCGGTAGCCTTGAGGATTAAGACAGTGTGTAATTGTGAGAATAAAACATTTAATAGGTAGTCTCCGAGAATTATTAACCTACATGTGAGAAACATAAGTCGAAGTAGCCAATGACAAATTGAACCCGTTACATGGTCCCACAAACATCCTTTAACCCTTTTTATTTTTCTGGAATTGAAGCAAAATGTTGCTATATTAAATTTCTGGTGGCCCTCTTGTTTAGCCTGTTTCTTTGAAGATTGTTGAAATATTCATTCGTGATTCAGATAGATAGATAGATAGATAGATAGATTGTTAGTTTTGGCTACCGGAAATATACCTGAGGTAATTTTCTTTGATAGTGAGCAATCTTCAGTTGTTAATTTTTAATATTTTGAAAAATAAAAAAACCAAAATAAAGACATTTGTTGGAAGCTATAATAAGGCCCATCTAAAATGGTATTTTATTTAATTATATTTTAACACAAGGCGCTCACCTGCTCATACATTTCTTGCGTCATCGAAAATTGTCCGTACCCGGAGTGATTTTGCTGGGCCATTGTGGTGGGGATCGGATTGTTCTGGGTTGTCGGGTAATGGATCCCTTGCATCCTAAAATTCTGACCGTGAACGTAATTCTGTCGGACCTGGTAAGTCTGATCGGAATATTGGTGATGGTTGCCGTCGTCCGCAGGACTTACGGGCTGCCGGGCTCTCAGTTCCGCCATGAAACTGGCATCTTGCACATACCTCCTCTGGAGTTCTTGCTGCCACCCACCATCAGATTCATCCTCTCCGTCGTCTTCAAAATCTGTTTAGTTGAAGAGGTTTATTTATAGTGATTGTGGACTCATTCAGATTAAAAACTTTTATATGTAACTATTTTGCGTAATTCTGACGTAGATTAAACTAGGCCTTAACTATTTAGCTTACAATTAAAAAAAAACAACACAACCCCTATAATAGCTTAATGTGCTACTTACCATTGATTTTCTTGCTCGAAGAGGGGAGTGTAATGCTCGATGTGTCTGCAAATCAACAATCATTCTCTGCAGGCAACATACAACATACAGTCTACTGAAAATTAAGCGCTGTCAAAAGAAAATTCGTCGAAACCAAAAATAAAAAAACTTACCCGAAAACAAGCATTTAAACAAACCAAAACTATAGAAGTAGTAGTAGTAGTAGTATCACCAAAATAATCAAATCCACACGTAGAATAATGCGCTACCACTGAGTAAACAAGAAGCAAAGGGTAAATTGATATTATGGAAGCTTTGGTGTCACAGTTACAAAGGAAAACAATCTTGTGTGATGGTGTAACTGCTTGAAATTTTTTTTGATCACGGTATTATCAATAACTGTTAAGTAAGAAGAGAGCAAAAATATCCCAAAGTTTTTATTAAAATAAAATATAATACAAATTAAAAATATTCGAGAAAAACAAATATTTTTAAAAAATGTAACAACAAACAACAAAGATCGCTTCAAAACATCACAACTTCATGAGTATTCATTTATGTACATGCCCGTTTCACATGGAATTTCACAATAATTAAAAACTAGCACTGCGTGTAGTCTCTTTTGGAATACTTACAATTGTTACTAGTTAGCATTGTATATACAAGTACAAGACGGCATAGAATAAATAGTTCAGCAAATACAAGTATAATCTATAGAAGTAACATCGTTTTCAATGGCAAAGGAGAACCGAAAAAAAATCAACCGACGCTCCAACACACTAAATTATTTTTGAACGTAAAATATTTTCACTTTGGAAACTTTCGTAAAGCAGTAATTATTGAATTTTATACAGATCCTCATTATTTTTATTCTTAATTTTACTAGTGCGTTTTGTTTCTCTACTGTGTTTTGCTTTTAAAAATCTACCAGGGGTGTTAAAATTTTTGAAAAAAAAAAAAGAATAATGACCTACTTGATTCAATGATTTCACCCTAGCATTCAATTAATTTGTTTACGTCCTAAATTTAACTTTTTTTTTCATTAATCTTTCTAGAGATCATTTTCTAACCACATAGTTCACAACCTGCACAACAATACTCAGCAGAATTATAGTGGCAAGACTCCTCTTGATCTAGTCAATGGAAAAAAGAAGACACCCATAGAGTTCTTCCATTTACTCTTCGATGAAGAAGTTTTACCAAACATCGAAAAGCAAACAAACTTTTGAACATGACCTATAATGGTCAAATAAAACCGATGCGCCAAAACTTTTATCAGAAAGCATGATAGATTTCATCACCACAAAATAAAAGTGTTTCAGAAATATGCCACTAGAGGGCACTTTACTCAGATTTTTTTTCCCTGTATTTTATTTCTTTAGACCGATATTGCAAAATAGAGCAGATTGCCTAAAGCAGAATCACAAATCCTTCAAAATTGTAATTTTTGTTTTTAAGGCGATAAGCGTTATCGATTAACCATAAATCGACTTTTTTATTCTCGGTTCGAACGGACTTATCCCAATAGAAACGTTCCATCTGCTAAGATATTCATCAATATACACAGAAGACTTGGCGAAAGAGGATCATTCAAACCTGATGATATGAATAAAGGGAGACTAAGGTATAAAAGAACCCAACAGAAGCTTCCCATCACCAATCTGGGTCAAAAATTTAGGCCAATTAATGCCGTCCCAGTTTATGAGAAGGTTCTTGAGGTTCTGGTGAACCAGCAGCTGCAAAGTTATTGTGACGTAAACAATATTTTAGAGCCTAACCAGTCGGGCTTTTGCTCCAAACATTCATGTGAATCTGTCGTTCTTACTGACTGTGATGTTTTCTCGAGGGCCTTGGAGGATGGTAAATTTGTGTTGGCTGTAGACTGTTAAGAAAATTGTACAAAGTGGGTATTAAGGGAACAGCGTATAAATGGCTTTGTTCGTATTTAACAGATAGGGTACAAAAAACAAAATATCAAAATCGAATATCTCATTGCATAACTGTAGAATATGGTGTTCCTCAGGGGACAGTTTTGGGACCATTGTTGTTTCTTATGTATATAAACGATATTGTAAATATTTTAGATGATACTAAAGTGGTATTATTAGCGGATGACACTATGATTTTTATTGTGGGTGAAAATGTGGATGAAATGCAAAGAAAAATGAATGCTGATCTGAAGAATGTTTTTGAATGGCTGTGCAATAATAACCTTTGTATCAAGACGGACAAGTCAAAATTTTGTATTTTTGGTAAACGACATAAATTGAGTAAATTAAATTTCGATGTAAGCATTTACATTAACAACAAAAAATTAATTCATGAAACCGAAATTAAATATCTAGGTGTTATATTTGACTTAATTTGACGTTTCATACACGTGCCGATTAAATAAGGAATACATTTTCTAAAATGGTTAATTTTATATTTAGAATAGGGAAAAATGTGTCAATTGACACCAAAATCTTATTGTATTGAAGGGTGTACAAAATGACATAGAAGGGTCAAGTGACATAGCAGTGCTTTCCGACTTATTGCGAACATTTCCGATTTAAATAATCGTAACGAATTTCGACGTGACGTTGCATGTATTTTCGAACGTTTAGTCCTAACCAAAACTAACCAATATACTATAGTTGTCTATGGTTTAATCGCCGATTAGCATGTCAAGAGACGGATCGTTAACCTCAACAAATCATTACAGTTCGCAAATTAGGTTGGTTTATTTAAATTATGTTTTATTAATGTCTGCCCTATAAGTTGCATCTTTTATAGACGTAAAATATTTAATTTGTTCATCAAAAAAATTTGTTTTATACATTGCGAAGTAGTCGGGTGAAATGACATAGTCTACAGGTGGCTAAAGTGATATAGTATGTCGTTTTGCCCGACTGATTTTTAAATATGTAAAACACGGCTTCATTGTTTCATTGCAGAACAATGCCACGAGCCTACGTTAGGAAAATAGACATTCATGGTCCTCAGCTTCGATGGAAAACGCTATAGAAGCTGTTGCTAATAACGAAATGGGATGGCTCAGAGCATCTAAAGTTTATGGTATCCCTCAAGCAACACTGAGAAGACATGCTCAAAACAAAAATAAGTCCATAAAAACAGGAGAAAAACATCTAAAGTTAATGGAATCTAGATTTTTTGGGTTAAGAAGAAAGGAGGTTTTAGAGCTGGCTTATCAATTACCCGTTAAAAATGGGTTTCAGCACACTTTTATTAATCAAAAGAAGAGCGCAGCCAAAGACTGGTTACGAGAGTTTAGAAGAAGAAATCCTGACCATTCCTTACATAAGCCAGAGGCAAGGGTACAAGCTTTTAATAAACCCCCAGTTGCCCAGTTCTTCACTCTTCTGAAAGATATTATCAAGAAGGAAAATATAGTGTTTGCAACATCTGGCAGGAAGCAAGTTGGTGCCATTAATAGTGCCGAAAGAGGATCACTCCTTACTTTAGTTTGCTGTATGTACACTAATAGCAGTTACATTCCATCTGCCTTAATATTCGCCCCCATGAAAACATGAAAAATGAATTGTTTGATTACGCCCCACCCTTTGAAAACATATTTTGATCAAGAAATTACCAAGTGGCTTAAAAATCATCCGGGAAGGGTGGTAACACAATTTCAAATACGTGCTTTGCTCACTGAAGCATATGGAAAAGCAGCAACAGTTCAAAACGCCATTAACGGTTTTGCAAAAACTGTAATTTTTCCAATAAATGCAGATATTTTCCCGGACTATATGTATAAAGCATCTGAAACAACTAATATTTCCATTCAAACCAGGAACAATTGAACAAAGGGCTGAAAATGTTGAAAACCAAAGATGAACCCACCACTTCAAAAACAACAAATAACGTGCTTACCACGACTGTAGCTGATTTACGCCCAATTCCAATAGGTCCGTTCGTCTCTGGACAAGGAAAAAGAAAACAAAGGAATAGGAACAAAACTACGGTGCTAAATTCTTCACCAAACATAGAAAAAGGAAAACAAAAAAACAACCTGTGTGGGTAAAAAACTTTTTGCAGGTTTTTGTTTAGATTTAAGCTTCATAAATATCGTTATTTTTTTATTATTTTTTTCTGTAAATACAGACGTATAGGATAAATGGTCTTGCATTTCTTACCTTTGTTGTTAAGAAAAAATATTTTTTGAAAAAAAAATCACTTTACAAAACTCTATGTCATTTTGTACACCCTTCCCCTAACAGTTAGCTGCTCCTCATTTAGAATTTTATTCCACACTTTTGTTCAATTTGCCTAATTATAAATTAGAGCAATTGCAGATTGTTCAAAATAAAACAAAAAGTAATGTTTAATGTCTATGTATTTATTTTTAAAATTAAACAGCAGTGTGTTCCCAATTATGTTTGTGAAAAAGTTACCTATTTCAGAGATATTCATTCTTACAATACAAGAAATTGTGGTAATTTTATGTTGAGAGAATGTTGAATGAGAACGAAAAACTGCGATACGCTTAATAAATTTAAAAGACTTTTAAGACGCCGTGTATTGTTCTAATTCTGATTTCTGTGTGCTTAGCTTTTGGTTTCCGTTTATCTGGTATTTTATATTTAGAATTTATTTTTAGAATATTTTTTTAAATAGCATAATGCTAAATAAAGATATATTATTATTATTAGAACCGCCGCAAGAGAAGAAAGAATACTTCAAAATGTGGAGACTGACCCGTCAACGAGTACGAGGAAACTTGCTGCTCGGGAAAGAATTGCTTCGACGCTTTCAGTTCAAAGGGTTCAAACACTCTATGAGAGCGATGGCAATTGAGAGTAATTTCATGCAACCAAATTTTAGGAAAAATTCAAAGTTATCTGCAATTCTTAAATGCGATTTTGTTCACTGACGAGGCTGCATTCAGTCGTGATGGCGTTGTAATTTTGGAAAAATGCAAAAATTTAAGGAAAACACCAGCGTCGGTTTTCTTGCAATGTATGGGGCGGGATTATAGGAGATAATTTTATAGGACCTCATTTCTTTAACGGATCGCTTAATGGGAAAATGTGGCACTTATTGTATATTATGCAACAAGTGGGGTAAACGGCATTTGATTCAAGAGTTTATTTGACACGAACGGTGTGAGTGTTTAATAAACGAGTGACTTAAAACGTTTTCCCGAACGTGTTGCATAATTTACCTTTTCTACGACCGTTAGGTTTTCGGTACATTTTCGCAAAACAACGCAAATACATTCCCTGACATGACCGTCAGAATTGACAAACCGCACAATTCAAAGCGTGGGAGATATTTCCGAAAACATCCGATTGCTCCCAAACCCGTGCGGTAAAATCTCGGAAATGGCCGACACGGTGGCACGCTTGGTCGGCGTGTAATTAGGTATTTGACAGACGAGAGTGGAAAAAGGTAGTTTCCAATGGAAAGACGAGATGTTACGGCAGCATCCAACTTTTTACTTATGCATCCCATGTGCGTTCGATTTAACGAACATGCTGTTTCTTATGCTAATACATTTTTTGACAAAAAAAGAGTAAAAACGTGTTTACTTAACCTTAACCACACCATATTAAAAAAAAATGAACCTTCCAACTTTTATGACTTTTATGAGAATTTAAGTTTAATAATTTTGTTAATCTCCATGGCTTCCCATAAATTTAATTAATTGTATGCTTTTTGTCGCTGTGGTATATTGTCGTCAAAAATGTGTTTTTCTGTGTTGAAGTGTGTGGCATAATTAGAATCTAGGCTATTGTTTTTAAACGATCTTTTATGTTCGTTAATGCGTTTTTGAAGGATTTACTGTTTGTTCAATATAAATTTTAGGACAAGATCTTTTCATTGTTTTGAAAGCTATTTTTAAACCACATTTTGACAAACTTTTTCACTGGATTCTCCTATGTATGTAATTCTTTTAAATTGTTCGTGTTCTGTATTAGGTTTCGGATAAATACTGTTGATACTGTTGTATGGATTTATTTTTTATTTATAATTTTATCGATAATTGACGGATAGTAGCCGTTGTTCAGTGCAATTTGTTTAATGATATTAAATTCTTTGTTGTAATTTTTTGTTGAGAGTGGCGTATTAAGAAGCCTGTGTATAAAAGAGTGAAATGCAGACATTTTATGTGTATAATTTAAATTTTATATCGGACAAACATTTAGATCCTTCAAGGGACGCATTAACGAACATAAAAGAGCGTTTAAAAACAATAAACTCGATTCTAATCATGCTACACACTTAAACACATTTTTGACGACAACTTTGATATTTTACATACAGCCACAAAAAGTAGAAAATTTAATTTATTTGAAGCCATGGAAAATAAAAAAAATGAGACATTCAAATGTATTGTTTAACGATCAATTAGATTTAAATACCTCTCCTTTATTGAACTTAAATTCTCACAACAACATTAATTAAAGTTTTATTGTCATTCTATATATAGTAGCAGGCAGTTTGTAAATATTACATTTGATAAAGACACGGTGTTGTGGAAACAATTGTCATGTCATAATATATAATTTCGTGAAAATCTGAACTTTTAGTTATTTATTTTGTTAAATGGATTTTCATCAAGTAAAAGCCACCTGAGTTCCAATATAAATTTCATGGGTTTATTAAAATTATTGGGGTCAATTGACTGGTCAATTCCCCAACCTTATATGAAGGGTGAAGGGAAAAAACAGGGATTGTCACAATCGCCATCTAAAAGGTATACTGCATATCTACCATTTGCAGTACACTGGTGCCTAAAAACTAGGACCGTCTCATAAATATGCGTATTTAAAATGTCGGTGCAAATGTTAAATGTGTAGAAGGTAAGAACAACATAACAAAAAATAAACGACTATTAATCGTTTCGTTTCTTTTGCGTGCCAAAGCAGGCAGCGTTTTGTTTTTTTTTTGAGTATTTATGAGTACTTAACAGTAAAAAGTGTCTTCTGATAGTAATGAGTGTAAAAATAATGGTGGAAGTACGAGAGAAAGAAAAGTGAATGAGGGCAGCCATGCAATTGAGAAGACTCAAGTGTTTTAAAAATTTATCCAGCATAGAAAAAAAAGGAGATTTAACATATTTTAATACTTTGAAGTCAAATGATGAGCAAAACGCATATTTGACTGGATTGATGTCTCTAGTACCATTTCAGAGAAGAGAAGAAAAGAAGAAGAGAGCCGAAGAAAACTAGGGATGTTCCGATACCTACTCATTTCGATAGTATTCAAATCTTTTTTCGATACTACTCAAATAAATACTAAAGTATCGATACTTTTAGCATTTTATTATTTTTTTATTGATTTTAGGGACACTAACCATGAACGTTCAAGGACAATAATTAAAACAAAATTAAGAAGGAATAGGTTTGCGTCACGTTCAGCACGTATTTTAAACAAAAAACTCCATGATAACATTGCAATAATAAGCCGATGAATACAATAAATAAAATTATTCGTAAGCAATCTTTTCTATGTCTGACAATTTATGTTGATTGACAATGCAAAAAAAATGAAGGGCGGACGTCTTTCTCGCTTTTGGCTCGGGCTCGGTCGAGTGAATTCGGACGAGTTCGGCACCATAGATCAGATAGAGATTATGTGTGTCTGATGCGTTTGGTTTTTTTTTAATGGTGAGGCTGATTCGTTCCAAAAAAATATAAAAATGTAATTTTAGTTTTCTCCTTACATCACGATGACTTAATTGATAAGTCAACCGGAGAGAAAAAGAACCTACTACCTATAATCATACCAAAGGGGGTGTTGATAACCTGGACAAGTTATCTGCTACTTTTACTGGCGATGTGGCCTATGGTGGTATGTTATGCCTTAATAAATATGGCTGGAGTAAATTCACAGATAATTTACGCTGTTCTAACTAACAAACAACATTTGGAACGCCTTCTTTTGGAGCTTAATGTGCCACGAGCTGTGCGAGACAGAAAACAGGATTATGCTGGAACTTCGTCTAATAATCAACCACAACAGGAAATTATTCTAGGAACTCGAAAGAGATGTTTTTTCGGTGCTAAAGATTCAAAAACCTGATTTTCCTGCCAAAGGTGTAAAAAATTTCTATGCTTGTCTCACCTCGTAGCTTTGTGTGCTCCTTGCGTTGATTCTTTGGAAAACCAATAAAAAACAAAATTTCAACTATGTTGTTGGTAGATTTAGCTAATTAGTTTTGTAATTTTCCTACTTAAGTGTTTTTTGTTCTTATTATCACTTCTTCTTTTTCCGTTTGAAGGATGGTATTTGTTTTGATTTCGTATGTTGAAGATAAATATATTTTTTCTTATACTTGAATAAATAGTTAATACATATTTTTTATTATTTTTGTCAAAAAAATATCCTATTTGTGACACAATCCTTTAGGGTTAACCCTTCATATGCAACCAAACCATTAACCTCAAATGAAATGAAAATTTCACTTAATAGTCATATTATTTATTCCCTTTTTCTTTCATAAATTTTAACACCAATTTGATTATTTTCCTAACCAGGTATTGTATAGACATCGTTCACTCGAACCTATGCAAAATAATACTCGCAAAATACCAAACACTCACAGTCTACCACGGAAAATGTCTAAGCTCGATCTAACTAGACATGTATAGGGAAAACGTTTAACTCCTTGGGCTTTGAAACGAGTCGTCATAGATACTGTGCAAAATAGTCACCGAGCTCATGGAAATTCTAATGCTTGCAAAGTAGCTAATTCGTAATACGGCAAGTGTCTATTGATCCCTACCTGAGTTCAGTTCTCTAACTAAGGTAGACATCGCGTTGGTAACCGAATCGGCAGCGACCAAGAGGTCGTTCCTCAAAGAACGACCCGCTGAACCCGGAGTACCGTTACCATTGGAATCTGCAAAATTAAAGGCCTCGTCAGAGTTTCGCCAAAGGATGAATGATCTGTTTTCCAAAATTCTTGGTTCAAAATTATCAAAACTATAACCAAAACTAACCAAAACTATAATTTTTTTTTATTGAAAAGAAAATTTAATGGCCGTTGAGCCATGGCTTCTTCTTATCAACTCTACAGGAGATTTTTAAATTTTTTTCAAAAACCAAACAACGAAAAAAGTTCTGCGTTTAACAGATTTAAATTTTTTAATATAGATCCTTTCTTATGTTGCTAATTTGTAGATAATTATTATCTTGCGTTAAAATTTTCGTTTCTTTAAAATTAAATTCATGGTCTATTAAATTGTTGTTGTTTATGTAAAGCAGTTGAGGCGTTTTTAGTATATTTATGTCAACTGTTTTCCAAAAGTTGGGTTTCCAATATGTTTTTTTTTGTATTTGTATTATTTTTGATATTTTCATTTTGTTATAAGGCATGTGTAGGTTCGCTGTTTAAACATTTTATTAACGTTATTTTCAGGGAAATGATTTTCAATAAAAATTTGTTTATTTTTGATAAAATTTACGTCCTACATTCTGGTGATGTTAGAATGATAAGCCAACTTTTGGAAAATCGTACGAGTGGACATAAACATACTAAAAAACAATTAACAAACCATGAATTTAATTTAAAAGAAACTAAAATTATGAAATATATTAGTAATTTAAGTTAATTGTCCCACCATTTAAGAACCTAATATAAATTAAATATCAAATCCACTTTCTTAGAATGATAGTGTTGAAAATAAAGCAACAATTAAATAAACTCTTAGCTACTAATACTAAACACAAATTTTAAAGAAAAAATATTAATGTCAATTATTTCATATTTATACTTTTTAAAATTTATTCAAAATACCACTGAAGTATTTAAATATTTTTATATAAAATTATAATTATAGATTCTTGATAAAGGTCGACATTGTGATCGATATGTTGAATAATATTTTAACAAATTTAATGAAGTTTGCTGTTACTGAACAAGCTCGACTCAGGAACAACTCCAGTATTGTTTGGGTTTCAAGGTTAAAAACAGGCACGAGTCACAACAAACCCGCTATGCAGACTCACATCATATTTTTTTTTAACAAATTATCAGTAAAAATAAAGACATTGTATGTTCACTTCGATAACTGATATTGATAACTTTAAATGTATCGTTCATACATATTTTATTTTATTATTTACCTATCGCAGGTATGTGTCCGAATTTATTTACAAAATGTTTATTTTTGGCAAGTATAGTAAGATCATTATAATTGTTATGTGTTATGTGTCGCCATCTATGTTCGTACATTAATAACCTTGACAGTTAAAAAATAAAAGTCAGTCGTTGCCGATTACTAGAACGAAATCTTTGTAGTGGGACAGTCTTTCTAATTTTTGTTTTTTGGTTAAACGCTTTTGACCGTTCATCTTCTTTAAGTAGGTAACTGATAATAACTAAAACAATGATATAGATAATAGTCCGCTTTTTTATTGCACTTTATTGATAATAAAATATGGACTAGATGCTGGATATACGAGCAACGTTTACAGGCAGAATTGTACAGCTCTGTGAAAATATTACACCTGCGTATGGGTCACGGTTAATATAGAAATATAATTTTGCAAATACAGTCGAAACTCTATATAGCGAAATTGAAGGGAAGTTATAGGCACTGGAAAAATAACAATACGCATTTTAATATTTAATTATTTTATATACATATTTTAACATCTACTTATATAAATGTTTAAGAACTAGATATGTTTCAAATAATCGGTCATTTTCTTTTGAATTTTTTTAGCATGCCAATATGCATCTCGTACTTTGGCTTCTATTTTCACCTTTTCTTGAAACAATGGTGTGCTTTTATACATACCGATAAAGGCATTAACATAATCGCTTATTACGACAAAAACACTTAGGATTTACACTTAGTCGGCCTACATTCCTTACTTTGTTACCTGATGTGCCCTTTTTTCTTTGGGTATAGAGAGTTAGAAATTATATATAGTGGATTAATGGAGACCGAATAGTACAACAAATTTTGTTCGTAATACAGAGTTTTACGATACACAGCTTTTCGCTATAGCGTATTTTAAGTCTCTCTCTGTCACGTTAGATAGTAGATTGTTGTCATTCTCTAAGACCAGAGCTAGATGCAAATGGCTCACGTTATCATTCTAAAAGTTACCAATATAATATAATTTATCTCAGGTAACATTTTTTTTATTGTTAAATATTTAGAAAAATGTTATTTAGAAAAATTTATTCAGCTAAATGTTTGACCAAGAAGATTCTGAATTTGAGTATGCCAATTTATTGATTGATTGAATCGATAAACTTATTGCTAAGCAGAACATTTTTCTGATAATGAACCATATGACTGTCATACTCATTCGAATCCTAAACTAAACAAAATTTGGCCTATCGATGAAGCTCTAAATAGAAAATTTGGTACATTTTATATACCTGAATGAGACTTAAGTGTAGATGAAAGTTTCTTTATTGTACAAAGGACGATTGGGATGGATCCAGTCTGTACCTCTCGTATTTGTATTTGTTTATTATTTATACTGGAAACTTAACTATAATATCCCAAAAATATAAAGACATACTATGACTTGACATATGGGATATTGTGAAACAAAAATATTTACCACGACAATTTGCGACTAAAAAAACTAAAAAATGAGAAGAAAAAAGTCATGGTAATGAAGAAAGAAATTCACAATGCCGATAAAGAAGGAAATCCCATAAGGACACCTAAATTAGTTGTGGAGTACAATTGCACCATGGGAGGCGTCGATAGATTCGATCAACACTTACATGACTATCACTAACTAAAAAATGAGGGAAACAATATTTGTACTGACGTGGCTTTTATCAAAATAAATAATAACTAAAAATTCAGATTTTCACGAAATTATATATTTTGACATGACAATTGTTTCGACAACACCGTGTCTTTATCAAATGTAATATTTACAAACTACCTGCTACTATATATACCGAAAAATGACCATAAAACCATAATTAATGTTGTGAGAATTTAAGTTCAATGATGGAGAGGTATTTAAATCTAATTGATCGTTAAGCAATACATTTGAATGTCTCATTTTGTTAATCTCCATGGCTTAACGATCAATTAGATTTAAATACCTCTCCTTTATTGAACTTAAATTCTCACAACATTAATTACAGTTTTATGGTCATTTTTCGGTATATATAGTAGCAGTTAGTTTGCAAATATTACATTTGATAAAGACACGATGTTGTCAAAACAATTGTCATGTGAATATATATAATTTCGTGAAAATCTAAACTTTTAGTTCTTATTTATTTTGAAACAATATTTATGCATTTATTTGATTTTGCTATTTTCAACTCTTTCATTTTGTAGGAAAACCATGGAGGAGCGATGCATAATTTGGGATACAGAACGAAACGGATAGAAGAAATGTCACTTGAGTACAAACGTCAAGAAGGCGTGGCGACAAAGACATATGGGACCATTACCGCTAAAGGAACGACATTTTCCTAACTGGAAAAAAGGCTGTACCTTATAGAAATTGTGCAGTAAGTTGTCGAAGAAAAGACAACACGGGCAGAAAAAATCAGAAAAGAAACAAGACATTGGTGGAGTGAGCGTCACGTGGGACTCACAATTAAAATATTAATAAAATTAATAAAACTACTTTTGGTTAGCGTAAATAATAATTATTTGCAAAACAAATAAATGATTTTTACCACCTAAATTGTGCACTAAGGGGTTAATTGTGACGATGCCCTGTTTTTTTGTTTGGAATTGTTCATCAAATGAATGACCATTTGACTTTGACTTTAGGAATGCCACACTATCAATACGATAAACTCACTTATAGGGTTGGAAACACCACCGAAAGCATTTCTGACGTCGCCACCGACGCCCATCAGAGCCTCCAAATTGACATTGTGACTGGATCGATCACGGTCATTCCTATCCTGACCCATCATCTCTCGATTTACCAAACCGCCCAATGGCTGAACTATGCCCAGAGGAATATCTCTTCTCTCCCTGAAAAAAAAAAAAAAAACGATGGCAAAATTAGCCTTATTTATATAGGGTGATTTTGGGTCCATTTTAAAAAGAAAACTTCGTATGAACATATGTCCTACTTTTGAGATACTGGGTGGTCAAGTTTTTAAAAACATAATATATTTTTTTAAATATCTGTAATACCACTTGAGAGGTATTATTTAGGGTATGGTCTGTTCATAGATATAAGAAAGTGACCAGTTATTAACATACAATGCAACAAGATTATTACCTAAAGTTTCGGAATTTAAATTCAGGTAAAAATGTGGTCCGTAATAGAAAATAACTTTATACCTACTTGTGTTTAAGATTCTTTGATTTGGTATACTACTTAGTTTAAGCTTATTAGTAGCCATTCTTATTTCGTATGTAATACAGCGTGTCTTTAATCGTGTGCGAATTATGCAAAATATGTGCGAGTCCAGTGTATCTCAGGAGATGCTTCCGCCCAAATGTAGAAAACACTACTCTATTGAGGCTAACGAAGTTATAAACAATGTCCATAATTCATTCTTACAGCTTGCCCCGGTCTTTCCTTAATTCGTATCAGTTAGTCACTTTCTTATATCTATGAACAGACTTTACACAGTAGAAAGAAAGAATGGAACGAACACATCAGCAAAATGGCCGACAGAAGTGTAGGGCATCTTCGAAAACGTCGGTGCGACAACTTGGCGGTCTAACTGGCAGGGATGAAGAAGGAAGAAGAAGAAGAAATAGACTATTACTCAAGTAAAAAATAACAATGATAATAATTTTCTGCCGTATTAACGATATTGTGATGACCTACAGAGAACAGGTTTTTATTTTTTTAATCGAAAATCCTACATCGGATTGAAAAAAATCAATAAATTAAAAATTTCTTTGGAAATGATTCGAGATTGTATGTATAATTTGCCTGCCAAAACATTTTATTTTGCAACTAACCCAAAAATCGTCTCCTTAATTATTGATATTTGATTAGAAAACACCCTGAATAGCTCCAAGACTTAAAACAGTAGCAATTAAATCACACCGACCGTTCTCTATCGCTTTTTTCGCAAGTTCCGGAGACCCCGACGGACGTGTTTATGCTGGATGGGTTGGAGGAGGCGGGCACGCCCATCGGGGTCTGAGGCGCGCTCCTAGGATTCGTTTGGGTAGTGGGTGCAACGCCGGGTGGCAATGGCGGCGATTTGGTGCTTCTAGGCGACGAATTCGGGGTGCTCCTGGGGGAAGACTGGTGATTCTGGAAACGAACCTTTATAAGCGGAGAAAGGCGGAGCAAGGCGGGATTGTACCTTAAGCATTTTCATTAGACCCTCGAGTTGTATCATTAGCTGCCTTCGGGAGTCCTGAAGCGTTATCAGGTGTGTCTCTAGTTCGTCCTTGCGCATCCTCAGCGCCCTCAGTTCGCTCATCAGGATGGGATTGTCGGGACCGTGGCTCCCGGCCTCCAATTCCTGCTGTCTCCTGCAATGACGCTGTCAAAACTTCGTACGGTATAAACGGTGCAGTTTTCTACCTCAGTCTGGCGATTTCGCGCATGATTTCCCGATTTTTCGCCTCCAACTGGCTAATGAGTTCCCTCTGAGCGCGAGTCGAGTCCATACCCAGGCACGTTTCCGAAGGAACCCGACCCTATAACATCGATGTTAGCGAAAACGACATTTTTAATTCAGCAATTCAACGAGCATGCTTGGTAGATGAAAATTATAGTTAGCGTTTATGACAACACAAGCGAAACCTTACCGGCCATAATGGGGTCCTTGCAGATTTTTTATTTATTGAATAAAAACACTTAATAACACTCAAAAAGTGGCCATTTCCGCTCTTGGTGACGTCGCGAGGTACGTTTTCGTGTTGACAGTTATCAGCTTATTCGTGAGTTTTCCGTTATTTTTCGGTTGAAAATTAATCAAATTACCTATTCCAGAAAAACAAAGAAAAAATGCTGAAAGCTGTTAGATGCACAGAAAGTACTTTGACTTGATCTCAAGGTTAAAATTGTGACGTAAAAGCGTCATTTAAGAGAAATTTCAAAAAGCCTTAAAATTTGATGCGCAAATATATTTTTGCTTTTAGGAAAAATATTCCCTAGAGTATTTTAAAACGTAATTAAAAAGTTTTCATGTAAACCTAAAAATGCGTGCAACAGTTATTACAATTCGAGTTAGTGTATCAGTCAGTGTAAAGCACCTTTCATCGTAAAAAGGGAGAGAAAGTGTTCCAAGGAATAGAACGTATTTTTGTTTTATTGTATTGAAATAAATTTAATTCACCAATTTAATCACACTCAAAAGGTGTGGACACCATTTTTTTTAGGCACGGACAAAGTACGACCACGGCACTGCTTGATGTCACTGATGACCTTTGTAGGACTCAGGATGTGTCAAGAAATACTTGTTTGATTCTGCTGGATTAAGGCAAGGCCTTCGATACCTTAATTCATAATCTTCTCATTTCAAAGTTAAAGTTTCTTGGTTTAAACGACAGGGCCATTACTTTTACGAAAGGTTATTTGGGGGGTCGCCACTAGAGGATTTATTTGGGATCAGTGGTGTCCTACTACTGATTGCAAATTAACTGACTAACTGACGCTGCATGCACCTGTGTCGTTCCTTTCAGAGAATCCCTAAATTTGTGTCGGGGAATCGTACGTACATACGTACACATATTTTGTTTAAGGTTTTTTTTATTTTTTTTTTGTTTCAAAGCAAACTTAGGTTAGCTGTTATTGGGAAATCGAAAAATCCGAGGACTTTTAAAAATATAAAAACACTGCCCGTTGATTATTATAATCAAAAGGCTGCTTAGATGGATAGAGTAATTTTTAAACAGCGATCTTTAAAAAAAATTATACCCCAAGTTCAAGTTTATTAAAAAGAAAATAATCTTCCACCAAAGGCTGTACTGTTACTGGACAATGCGCCATCGCATCCTAATGTAGAGCAACTTATGTCAGAAGATGGAAACATATTCGTAGCATATTTTCCTCTGAATGTAACATGTATTGCCCAGACGATGGGACCAAGGAGTTATAGAGACAATGAAAAGGCTTTATAGAAAAGATCTTATGCTTCAACTTTTGGAAAATCGTGACATTGTGTAATTTTGGAAACGTCTAAATTTGAAAGACGCAATATATGTTGTAGATCGCGCTTGGAATGGAGTAAAGGCAACCAACATTAAAAAATCATTTTATAAAATAATGAGTTTAATAGGAGATACAAAGGATGAAGACGTTATTGGAGATAATGATCAGTTAAATGAAGGTGAGCTATCGATCGAAAACATAGCATCTATAGCCTTGCAAATAAATGGTTTGGAAGAAATAGAAAATAAAGAAATACAGGACTGGATAGAATGTGATCACAAGGAAGCAGGGTATCAGATCATAAATGATGATAACATAATTAACAAAACTTCTGAAGAAAGTTCTGAAAAATGTGATGGGAATAATTTATTGCGAGGTCAAGACAAGTCATCAAGAAACAAGGGATGCAGTAAACGTACTTATTCAATATTTTGAAGAAGAGCCTAAAATTGTTACGAAAAGTTACGAAGCCCAAAAACAAACAAAAATCAGTGATTTTTTAAAGTGATTTTTGCAAATATATTTTATTGTATACATTTTGTATATACTATATTTTATTTTGTGTTACGTGTATGTCGTATCTTGTATTACGTTTGTTAAAAAAAAAGGTCATTGCATTATACGTGTTTTCGATTATCCGGCGTAGGCTCGGTCGCGGCTGGCACGGATAATCGAGGTTCTACTGTAGTTGCTTGTTTCCGGTGTTTATTTTTTTTTTCTTTTTTTAGGAATATGAAATTTTTACGTTTATCCCCATTGCTAAATTTTGATTATTCTACGACATTGTATAGGTGGCTAAGTGAAAGAGCGCTGCTAGACCTCGCCACAGGTTTAACTCTATCGAGGGTTGTTCTATTTATTATGATTATTATTACTGTTATTGTTAATTTGCACAAATAAATCGAAATTTCTACCGGAAACCTTTAAAAAAATATAAATAAAGGCCTAATCAGATTTGAATAAGCCAGTAAGACCGATTCTCGACAGTTCATTACAACATAGCACCACATTATCAAACTCTTGACTGGAACCTTCGGCACTGTACTAACACACAATAACGCGTTTTACCACAAACCGAAACTCAATTTTACGTTTTAAAACAGTTTTAATCTTCTCCTGAAGATGCCAACTTGGTTGGCGAAACGCGCGTCGGGTACGTAAAAAATCCTTTTTATGTATAAGTATAAAAGGTAGTAACAGAAGCTCAACTTACCGAATCTGGCGACAGCGAGTTTTTTCTATAGGTGCCCCGGGGCTAAAGAAGCAAAACAGCAAAAGCACATTTAGGAGCGCCCGAAAAACAAAAGGGAAACAATCTTAAACAATTCATGCCTTACGTGTCCGGGTTTTATCGAAAACATTAAACTACAGACGATACGTGAACGCGACAATATTTTAATATTCAGAATTTACAAAAACATTTTGGCCAGAACGACTCGAGCGCCATCTTTCGCCAAATTTTTAATTCACAAACTTTTGAACGCTCATTGTCTGTTTTTTTTTTTTCAGTTTAGTGTGGCATGGTGAGGTTTCAATTGAATCATAACATGTATGCGTTTTTTACATTTTTTGTCTTTGAATTTATTGTATTTTATTAGCAAATAAAGATCCTGTCAGGCCCTATTCATGCAGGCCAATAACGTAGATCTACAAAATAAATTTTGACAGTGGTAGGGTGATTTAAAAAATGTTATGCATTTATTTGTATCGCGTAAAGTTTTTCTAAAGCAATTTGTTTTTTTATTCAGTAAAAAAGTGGAATCCTACGAGGGCAGCGCCAAAATTTCCCGGCCTGAATATCAAAGAAACAAAGTAGAGTAACAATTTTTTATTATTTTTCAATATAATCCCCCTTAACTGCAATACACTTATTACATCTCTTTATTAAAAACTCAATCCCTTTAAAAAAATAATCCTGAAACTCTCAAATAAAAATATCCACATCTATAACGGTTTTTCATTTATCGCCAATAATTAACTCACAAATACGGAAATTTCTAGGATCTTTTATTAGATTTTTTGCCCATAAACGACACACCCTGTATATGATTCAATCATTGTTCGGAGTAGAGGTTATAGCCCTGGATTGTCCACGTGTCCTGGTTCAGGCATTTTTTGGAAATAGTAAATAGTTTTCGAGAAAATAAGTTTTTTCTGAAACCATGCAGTGCACCATAATAATCAATAACGTTATCGCGTCTTGACAGCCACCGAAATAACGATTTCAATATGGATTTTTTCAAATATCCCGAGCAGCTTATGTGATAGACGAAAACAGCAAATACAAAAATTGTAGCTCTTAATGCAGCTTATGACACCGTTTCATCCAATTAGCCATACTTCTTACGATTTTTGATTTGCGGCTAATAATTTATTCTGTAAAAGAACAATTTTCTAGGTTTTTGCCTATAATTTGAAAACTGTGCATATAATAGAAAAAATGCCTGAAATAAATGTTATTGCACTGGATCTTCCGCGTCTGCTGGTTAAAGAATTTTGCCGATCGGGTGAACGATTATGATATTTTTCTAGAAGCTAAAATTACCAAAAAAATTTTTAAAATTTTTAAAAAATACTTGGTAAAATTTGATTGCATCCAATTTTTACCGTTTAAATGTGGACACGGACTTTTACTTTTCTGCTAAATTTGAACTTGATATCTGCCAATTTAAGACACTTAACACATTTCTTATTTGGCACGGAATATCGGGAACACCCTGTACAATAGGTGAAAACCTTAAATACAAAAGTTTTAGCTGTCTAAGCGGGCTATAACGCAATATAAAAGAAAGTGAGAGTATGTCAGTTATAACCAATTTTCAATAATAGGAGGACCTATTTTTCAGTTTGTTTGAATTTTCGGCCCACCCTGTATATTTTTGAAAAATTGTCAACAATAAAAGTTTATGGAATCGTATCTTCTGCGCCTGCTGGTTCAAGAATTTTTTTGATCTCGTGAACGCTTTTTGAAAAATGTTTTTTGTAGACACGCGATTTTTTTTTAGACTACTTCCCGACCCCCCAGCACCCCCATTTTCAATAAGTTCCATCATGGGGCAATTCGATTTCATCGATTTTCGAAAGTAACAAGTTATTTGGATTGTTCACACAATGTCTCATTTCCACATTTATACGTTCTAGAACACTGGAAATACTCAACAATGGAGATAACAGCCGAGAACCCAATAACACGACGACCAATTCAATCAAACTGCGCATAAGCATGTTACAACGCTGTATTGACGCTTCTGCGCCAATGCTGTTGCTTCGCAGGGAAATCTAATATTATCCGGCGTTGCCAAATCACATTTAATTTCATAAAAAACAATTCATTTAAAAATCATGTCTAATAGAATATATATATATATATATATATATATATATATATATATATATATATATATATATATATATATATATATATATATATATATATATATATATATATATATATATATATATATATATATATGATGACACTATATTCCGGGATATCATCCGTTCGCTCGTTGAACTCCGACTGGAATCCTGCTTCCGACTGGAATCCTGCAGACGTTTCGCCAAAATCTCACTTGGCATCTTCAATGCTCGCGCTCCGAAAACACTTCGAACACTGGGAGGTTATCGGCGGTGCGTGTGGTATTTATACTCTGCGCCGGAGATGGTAACGGTGCTGCTTGTGCGTGGGGGGAGGTGGCTCCGCCCCCTGAATTGTCGCGTTGTTAATTTCGCCCGATCGTAGTTGCGATGTCCCCGTTGGCTGCTGCGCATCGCTCTGCTGTTTGATTATCGTTCTCCACGTGTTGGATAAATGCAGAGCGTCGTCTCTCGTATTGAGGTGTCCGGACTTTTCTATTTCGATGGCCTCTCGTATAATCCTAGTCCTAAAATCAGGAATATTAGCTATTTGTTTGCAAGTGCCGAAATCAATTTTATGGCCTGTCTGATGTTGGTGCTGAAACAAAGCAGATGTTGTTTGTTTGTTTCTTATGGCTAAACGATGTTCCTCGAGCCTGGCTGAAATCCTTCTGTTGGTCTGTCCCACATACGTCAGGCTGCACGATCCGCATGCTACACTGTATACTCCTTGGTTTTCCAGAGTAATTTTTTGTTTTGGGTTTCTTAGTATTGCTCCGATGGTATGGTCAGGTTTGTATGCTGTTGATATGTCGTGTTTCCGTAATATTCGGCCGATTTTGTCAGTAACCCCCTTGATGTATGGCAGGACAGCGATCGATCTTCGTTGGGTCTCGTCCTGCACTCTCTGCTGCGGCTGTTGTTGTTTATTGATTGCCTTGTTGATGGTGCGCCTTTGGTATCCGTTTTGTTGAAGACAGGTACTAATTTTCTTCAGTTCTTTATCTCTGTTCCTCTCGTTTGTGAGCCTGAAGGACCGAGCAATTAATGTATTTGCCACTGCCTGTATCTGTGATGGGTGGTGATGAGATTTAGCGTTCAGATATCTATTAGTGTGTGTTGGTTTTCTATAGACGGTGTGTTCCAAGTGTCCATCTTCGGTCCTTGTGATGTGCACATCTAAAAAGGGCAGACTGTTATCCTCTTCAAGTTCTATTGTAAATTGAATCCTTGGGTGAATGGAATTCAGATGATCTAGGAATTTCAAAAGCTCCTCCTTGCCAAAAGGCCATACAACAAATACGTCATCAACGTATCTTGTCCATAGTTTTGGCTTCAGATTTGCCTTCTCTATTGCTTTCTTTTCGAAGTAAATCATGAAGAGGTTGGCAATCACAGGTGAGAGAGATGATCCCATTGCTGCTCCATCTATTTGTCGGTAAATTTTCCCGTTGTGCATAAAGTAAGCGTTTTTCAGGCAATGTCTTGACAGATCCATTATGTATGGCGGAAGATCTTCGTTTTCTTCTATAAGCAAGAGTGCCTCTTCTACTGGAATACTCGGGTAGAGGGATTTGACATCGAAACTTGCCATAATGTCGTCCTTGTCCATCCTGAGAGAACCTAAAATCTGAGTGAAATGTTCTGAGTTTTTAACATAGGAATCTGCCTTTTCCACTATAGGCTGAAGTGCACTGGCCAGATGTTTTTCCAGCTTGCATAATGGTGAGTTAAAGGCGCTTACGATTGGACGCAGGGGAACCCCGTCCTTATGGATCTTTGGGAGCCCGTAGAATTTTGGGCAACGACTCGATTTTTCCCTCGCCATACATAATGGATCTGTCAAGACATTGCCTGAAAAACGCTTACTTTATGCACAACGGGAAAATTTACCGACAAATAGATGGAGCAGCAATGGGATCATCTCTCTCACCTGTGATTGCCAACCTCTTCATGATTTACTTCGAAAAGAAAGCAATAGAGAAGGCAAATCTGAAGCCAAAACTATGGACAAGATACGTTGATGACGTATTTGTTGTATGGCCTTTTGGCAAGGAGGAGCTTTTGAAATTCCTAGATCATCTGAATTCCATTCACCCAAGGATTCAATTTACAATAGAACTTGAAGAGGATAACAGTCTGCCCTTTTTAGATGTGCACATCACAAGGACCGAAGATGGACACTTGGAACACACCGTCTATAGAAAACCAACACACACTAATAGATATCTGAACGCTAAATCTCATCACCACCCATCACAGATACAGGCAGTGGCAAATACATTAATTGCTCGGTCCTTCAGGCTCACAAACGAGAGGAACAGAGATAAAGAACTGAAGAAAATTAGTACCTGTCTTCAACAAAACGGATACCAAAGGCGCACCATCAACAAGGCAATCAATAAACAACAACAGCCGCAGCAGAGAGTGCAGGACGAGACCCAACGAAGATCGATCGCTGTCCTGCCATACATCAAGGGGGTTACTGACAAAATCGGCCGAATATTACGGAAACACGACATATCAACAGCATACAAACCTGACCATACCATCGGAGCAATACTAAGAAACCCAAAACAAAAAATTACTCTGGAAAACCAAGGAGTATACAGTGTAGCATGCGGATCGTGCAGCCTGACGTATGTGGGACAGACCAACAGAAGGATTTCAGCCAGGCTCGAGGAACATCGTTTAGCCATAAGAAACAAACAAACAACATCTGCTTTGTTTCAGCACCAACATCAGACAGGCCATAAAATTGATTTCGGCACTTGCAAACAAATAGCTAATATTCCTGATTTTAGGACTAGGATTATACGAGAGGCCATCGAAATAGAAAAGTCCGGACACCTCAATACGAGAGACGACGCTCTGCATTTATCCAACACGTGGAGAACG